GTCTCACTTTTCAGCTTGTCTACAGGTTTCCAGCCAAACCATTTGACAGATTCATCTGAAATTTTCAGGAATGTTTCTACTTATCAAAGTTAAGAACTGATTAGTTTTTGGGCATTCTGGGTAAATTTTAAGGTGGCCATTTTGGATTTTCTGTCCTAAAATCTTCACTTTCAAGACTTGTCTACAGGTTTCCAGCCAAACTATTTGACGGATTCATCTGAAATTTTCAGGAATGTTTCTACGTATCAAAGTTAAGAACTGATTAGTTTTTGGGCATTCTGGGTAAATTTTAAGGTGGCCATTTTGGATTTTCCGTCCTAAAATCTTCACTTTCAAGACTTGTCTACAGGTTTCCAGCCAAACCATTTGACGGATTCATTTGAAATTTTCAGGGATGTTTCTACGTATCAAAGTTAAGAACTGATTAGTTTTTGGGCATTCTGGGTAAAATTTAAGGTGGCCATTTTGGATTTTCCGTCCTAAAATCTTCACTTTCAAGACTTGTCTACAGGTTTCCAGCTAAACCATTTGATGGATTCATCTGAAATTTACAGGGATGTCCCTACATATCAAAGTTAAGAACTGATTAGTTTTTTGGCATTCTGGGTAAAATTTAAGGTGGCCATTTTGGATTTTCCGTCCTAAATTCTTCACTGTCACACTGCTGTGTTTTAGGTACGAACAGTTCACGTCTGTGCCTTGTTCTATTTTGACTTACTTTCCGGACACCATATCTCAAATACAGGTCAAAATGCTTTCTGACAGCAAAATATATCGCTTACTTTTTGCTATTAGTATACCAAAGGTCCAGGTGCAGTATGGGAAGTGATTTTAGGCAGTCATATCTTTCACCATGAGTACTTTCTGGCCATAATCACAATGGTTTTTATGAAACAATATGTTTTCTTTCAAGTGAAGTCCCCATGATAGTAAAATATACATCCAACTCTCTGAAAAATTATTGATTAGGGCCCCACCTTGGCACTTTTTAAAGAAAGTTAGGCTTATTTTGTAAAAAGAGGATCGTTTTTCTCAATTTAAACATATCGAAAGTTTCTTCTACACTATATTAATTTCTGAAAAGGGGATGTGTATTGAAATGTGTTAAAGTTAAAAACCACATATCCCATGTTATTTTCCCATAGGGAAAACTTGTGTTATCCATTGTTTTCAGCATCATTTTGGTCATTGAAAATTGATAAATTCACTAAAATTGATATTGATACCATTTTATTTTTGAAGATGTTTTAGACCCCTTGTTGAATAATCTTTTCATGCAATAAAAATCAGAAAAGGAGATCCTCTTTTGAGTAAATAGGTTCAATATTTTGAAAAAAATGTTGGCATGGGGTCAAATCGAATTTTTCAATTGATATTTTTATCATCATGGGTACTTCACTTGAAAGAAAACATATTGTTTTAATAAAAACCACTGTATTTATGCCCAGAGAGTACTCATTTTCAAAAAAATCTTTTTTCCCATTGACTTAACATGGGGCACCAAATTTAGCGATTTTTGAGCTTTCAGAACGCCATAACATAACTCGGATCAAAATTTGGTCTGCAGATTCTGATTCCTTAGAAAATTCTACACTTAATAATTAATCACACATTGAATTTAGACCTCTTTTCCGGATGCCATATCTCAAAATCGGTAAGAGATATTAAAAATTAAATTGATCATGAGTTCTCCCGCTTTTTTATGAGGAACAAAATGAAAAAAAGGAATAAAAATATTGAAGGATGACTGAGAAAATTGAAAAAAGTGACAAAGTACTGGATTTGACCTAGTTCTTGACCTTTGACCTAGATAAGAAAATGACCAAATTTCCGAGGAACTAGATACTGTACATAAATTGACCATATGATTGCCTTTACTGAATGTCTTACGGTTGTTGAGAAAACTGGTTTAGAAAAATAATAAGTAGAATAAGAAAATTACTCTTTGCATTTCTGTTAATTTCGATTTGAGGTTCAGCGTTTATACATTTCATAGGTCGGTAATGAATACATTGTAATATCATGAACAAATTGATTTATTCTTATACAATACATTTACTTTTCATAAGAAAGGACATACTACAGGCTTTAATTTGCTAGCAAAAACACCAAAAACGACCAGTGAATGACTAAGATACATTAAAATCTATGTATTTTCAAAGCTTAAAGAAAATGAAGCGTTACCATGGCGATAAGCGTTTTATAGAATTTACAGCATTTATGTACCAATATTAAATTTATTATAGTAAACTTTAAAATGCATTATGGCAATATTACCTTTTCAGTGATACCAAATATGTTAGCGACTGAGTTCCTAACATACAAACATAAAATAATTGAAATAGTTTATATAAACTCATTTGAAGCACTGCATCCAACCATGCATGTATAATGAATTACCGGAGCCACATAATGAACCATGTATTTTAATTCAATTCAGCGTTTTGGTACATATCTTATACAATCTTGAAGAGAAGAACCCTTGGCATATTTTAGAACCAGATATAGTTGCATAAATGCATTATGTTATCATTACAAAGCTATATAGTGTTAACATGGGTAATATTTAGTCAAAATAATGAGTTATGACGTCACAATATATATGCAAATGAGCTAATTTGCATATTGAGCACATTGGCTGAATCTCTGATAGATAAGGTTTACAGTGATGCAAACCAAATTAAAATCGGAAAGAAACTGATAAAGTTATAGCTACTGTTTTCTAGTTTCTATCATGCCATGGGAATGTACTAAAAAACCCTTGACCCTTTGACCCTACGACCCACAACTTACTGGGCGTCAAGAATCTTTGGAATATATTTTTATAAAAGCCCTTCGATCTTCAATTTCTCAGTCCATATGAAGTTGCTGGAAATATTACTATGTGTATAGAACTTAAGAATCTGTCCCTAGAGAATTAAAGATATTTGTTGTATTCAAGCTTTTCTAGATTTATTTATTCCTCTTCACCCAATTTAGGGTATTAGAGTCTCAATCAGTACAAAATTTTAGCAACAGTAATTAAAAATAATGTATTTAACATATATACTGTCCCTTATTATTATTTCGAATGTGAACGTTTCTTACCTCCTCCATTGGAGAGTCAGTAAAAATATTTGAGTTTTTCCCATCATATTGTAACAGTGGGGCATCGTGCTATTTTCACGAGGTCAAATTAAATTTTAGATATAGTTTAAAATAGTACTGTCTTTTGTTTTTATCAATTTTGATTCCATTTGGATTTGTATAGTTATGAACCTAAAGCCGACTAAATAAGTAGGGCCATAAGAAGTACATTCTTTGTTTTGCGTCCTACAAAATCCAAAGCATGCAAATGTACATGGAAAATAAACACAAACTCAAGAAAAAGCACAAACTTGCAAGCTAGGTTTGTAATCAGGTTTGCAAACAGGTTTGTATATAACCAGCTTTTGCCAATTAAAGGGCTCACAGAGTTAAAAACGCAAAATAACACACATTAAGATAGAAGCCAGAGATTTCAAAATGGCCGCTTACTTACCAAAGTGTCATAAGATAGTATGTCATACTTATGAGTATTCACATATTAAATATGAAAAAATTGCTCCATAGCCTATTACTCTTCCCAGTTACAGCAACAATCATAATAAAATAGCAAGATGGCCACCCTGTTTTTTAAATATTTAAGTTTTAAAGTTAATCAATATCCTATATTTTTTGCATTCAAAATATAGTAACAAAACTGTTTTATATGTTATAACTAAAATGCCTTAAAATTTACACAAATGGCAGCCATTCCTAAATGAGGAGCCATTCTTAAAATTGGCTTTCGAGCAGAATTTGTGCTCCAATGGGCCGTATACATATAATTTAAACGATATTGGTCCAAGGGTATTTGAGTTATTGTCTGGACGGATGGATGGATTTATGTACTTAGAATTTTGACGCACATCAAATTGTCTGCTATTTCCGATTCTGATTGAACCAAATGCGATGGTACATTCAGACCCTTGGGGTTGCTATTTGGAAGTGACTGTTTTTTCTGATTTGCTTAAAATCTTGCAAGCAAAGGGATGCAAAACAAAATCTAATTCTTATGGCCTAGTCTAAATTAATGTGTTTGTTCATTTCCCGCCTGTCCGGCATAGAAGATAATCATTCACTTTCAGTTATTATTCATGTTCTTTCTGGTCAAATATAGAGAAAAGCACATGTCCATTAATTGTGAGAATTATTTCTTAAATCATCAGTGATAATGGTGTATAAAACTTCTATTTCTAGAGATATCATAATTTGAAAAGTGTGTTTTTCAGCGCGATTCTTATATTCCTTACGCAATTTAACTGCGCTATTCACACCTTTGATTGACAGGTTAGCGGTAGATTATTAATTCCTTGAATTAATAATCATCATAATAACATTTTGACAATGTTTTAACATGTACAAACCTTCTTAATTCATAAATATTCATAGTTTCATTTCCTTTTATGACCAGAGATTCTAGAGTTCTCACGATTTGTGAGTCTGATCTAATAACCATCATATGTGTACATGTAATATGTATGGGGTTGGTGTAAAAATCCGGTAACAAGAAGACTGGGTACCAACTATGTTTCCATTGAAAGAGTCAGTACATACAAAACATTTAAGATACACATTTAAATAGATTAAATGATCCTACAGGGAACTCAAGTTGGAACTATATAGGTAATCATGTATAAACTTGAAAACTGGACTGGGATATCAGAGGTCGAAGGTTTTAAGTACATTCCCAATCCCATGCCATGTCCAAAATGATAAGGTATTTAATAAAATTTTAGTTTTATTCATCAGGATTTTCATGACTGTTTTAAACATTTTTTGAAAAATGTGACTTTTGAAAAAAATGTTGTTAGCTTATAGGTTTAGATACCCGTTCTGAGGTCAATGTCTAATGACAATTTGACAAATAGGTGGCCATTTTCAAAAATGGCAGCCATGGCTATCTGATGGGGTTTGCTACGCCATGGCATTGCTGTTATCTAGTTCTGTTTTTTGGAATCAACTTTTGTGAGGCAATATATTAAAAATGAGATAGAAGCAATATTAAAAATTACAAGTACAAATACAATTACATTTTGAACTATACAGTCCTTGATTATTGTTTCACTTTTTGTCGTGGCAGGGGTCTCACTTTCCATAGTTATATCTAATTTTGTAGACGTTGGGCTTGCTATGGTACTAAAGGATGTTTGATCATATTTGGGTTGGGTAACCATAAGTTTAGTGGGATCAGGAGCTAGTACATAAATGTCATAAGCATGCTCTGCGTCTTTTTTTAAATTGAGCTCATAATTGCCATTTTCAGACTCATCGCAATTTCTGATATCACATACAACAGTTGTTGTATTGCTAAAATAGTTTATGACATTGAATTTCTCATTACATGCATATAACATGCATTGTCGCAAATCCACAGCATTAAAGGTCAAACTTTGTCCACATTCAGCTTTCTGACAAAGTGCCCCAATACTTCTGAGTGTGAATATATCTGAACCACAGTTTGGTGTACCAGGGTAAATTGCATTCCACCACTCTGTTTGATCTTCATCCTTATAGTGGCATTTGGTAGTGTAATAGTATTTAAAACCTGTTCCCTCTTCATTGCTGCTGCACTTAAATGCAAGATAACCCGTTTCTATTTGTTGAAAAGAGTTGTATCCATTGTCATACAATGAGTTCAAAACATGCTCGTTTTTGTCTTTGAAATACATGTGACCTTCTTCAACACATGCTGTTGGTTGTGGTTCTCCATAAATGGAAATTTGAACTGATTGTTTAAATGTGTGAAATGGTTTAGCAGTATGAGAAAGACTGTAAACATATTTAGGTCCACCTTTGTTGTTATCATCAGTTATCATATTGAAATTGTAATCATTAGATGCAGTGATCCATTTGCAGTGCTTTGTTTCACAAATGTATTCATTATTGTCACTTAAATAAAAGTTAAAAACATTTGCATTGTCTTTACATGCCTTGTCCATGCATTCTCGGAGACTTTGAACATTGTTGACAGTTTGTTGTTCTATCATCATAGAGGCACAATTAGATTTGAAATTGTTACTTTCATGCCATGTTCTTCGAACAAAAAATGAATTGTGGCACTTAGGAGTAGATGGATGTGGTCGAGCAAAGGTTTTCCCTACATCATAAAGCATTGGATTTCTTCCCCAGTTGTAGTCCCAATCTGACCCATCCACTTTTGATTCACATCTATAAATGTCACATCTCTTGTGCAGTTCATCAAAGTAAATAACATTGGCATCCATCACCATACATGAGCGTTTGAAGCACTGGTTTATAGATACAGATGCAGCTTGAGAGTAGTATCCTAGTAGAAGGTCACAGTTTGGTGCCTTTTTTTCACTTTCAAATGATGGATCATTTGATTTCCTCACCAACAGGAAATCTCCAGTGTAGCATGTTTCTGTGTCTAGAAAAAAGCAGTAGAATACATTTCTTGTTAAAATACTGTAAATCTTACCTCTCATCAATCATGGATAGTATTATCATGTGATTGTTTTCGCTGAGAATTAGATGTACAAGGCAGCCAGATGTCATTTTGGCATTATCTATCATACTAACTATTAAAGGCATCATGAAAATAAAGGTGAATATGGTGAGTCAATATAACTTTGGATGATCTTTCTAATTGGGGCTTAATGGTATATCACACTAGATACCATATATTAAGGTTTTAGTTGTAGCTTGGAGGACAGGACTTATTGATATCAAATTCAAATTTTCAGGGATGATATTTGGTATGAAAATCTAAAACTGATTAGTTTTTCGACATTCGGAGTAAAGATTAATTCAGCCATTTTGAATTTTCTGTCCTAAAATCTTGTCTGTAAAGTCTTGTCTATGCATTTTCAGGTTCACCGATTGAGGGATGAATTTCAAAATTTAGGAATGATTTATAATATGAAAATCTAGATCTGATCAGCATTCTGCGTGAATTTTAAGATATTTTTGATTTTCCGTCCTAAAATCATTTCTTTAAAGGCTTGTTTACTAATTTTCAGGATAACCATTTGATGCTCAATTTCAAATTTTCAGGGATGATACTTAGAAAGAGAATGTAAAACTCTTCAGTTTTTCGGCAAATTGGGTAAATGTTAAGGCAGGTTTTACGGATTTTCCTTCATAAAATCTTATCTATTAAGTCTTATCTATGCGTTTTCAGGTTGACCTTTTGAGGGATCAATTTCAAATGATGATTCTTAGTATGAAAATCTAAAAGTGGTTACTTTTTCGGCATCCTGGGTAAATTTATAGGCCATTCTGGATTTTCCGTCCTAAAATCGGGTCCGTTAAGTCTTGGTTATTCATTTTCAGGATAACCATTTGACGGATCCATTTCAAATTATCAGGAATGATTTATTATATGAAAATTAGTGGTTAGCTTTTTAGCACTATGTTGAGGCAGCCATTTTGGATTTTCCCTCCTAAAGTAAGTCTTGTCTACGCATTTTCAGTTTAACTGTATGAGGGCTGAATTTGAAATTTTAATAGATAATTCTTAGTATGAAAATCTTGAAGTTATTAGTTATTCCACATTCTGGGTAAATTTTAAGGTAGCCATTTTGGATTTTCCATCCTAAAATCTTCTCTGTAAAGTCTTGTCTTCATCTTTTCCTGGCGAACCAGTTGACAGATCGATTTGAAATTTTCAGAAATGATTCTTTGTACATGTATCAAAATCTCAAACTACTAAGTTTTTCCAGGTAAATTTTGAGGTGGCCACATTGGATTTTTGTCTTAAGATCTTGTCTTCACAATTGATTTGCAGTATATAGGATCACCCAATGGTGGGGACATGTTGTACACATTTGTGTTCTATTCTTGTTTCTTATTTACTTGTACTTATTTACCATGCTTATTACATACAAGCATAGCATTTGTGTAGAAGTAAATAGGAAAGTAATTAAGCGGGCTACAATATCCACCAATATTGCCCACTTACACCAATATCACCTGCTTTCTAGATTCTAGTGATATTAATGACATCAATTTCATGCAAAGGTCTGGAAACAATTAAATCATTCACAATGCATGTCCTTCAATATTTGAAATAGATAAAAAATACATTTTTGAGCAGCCAGATTAGATAGACATGAATATGTTGTGGCTGATGCACTCAATTAGTTTTTGACATCAAGGAAATATAAATTCAATTTTACAGTCAACAAAATAAGACATTTAATACTAATGTGTCTGACTATGACAGTTTTATAATGGGATAACTTAACACAAATCACACCTCCTAATAATCTATCAAATCGTCTGTGCTAACTGATAGTGCCTATTAGGTGAATATAACTATAACTATATTTAAATGTTTTAACAATTAAATTGAAAAATTGCTTTATAAAAATTATTACTTTTGGAGATATTAACATACTTACATGTATCTTTTGCTGCTACAGCTGCTAGCATGAAAAGAATCAGCGTTAAAGTTGTGGGAGCCATTTTGGTGTTGTTTGAGATAGAAGCACTATTCAAGAAAAATTCAAGAATATAAGATTACTTATTAACTTTTTTACTTTCTTTTTAAAAATGATTGATCTATGATAGGAGGACTTACAATAAACAAAATACTTGAACGATTATATCATATTCTTATAGCTCTTAACTGACAAGTTAGGTTAACCTCAAGTTCTGAAAATTTATTGTGATAAACTGATGACATCATTCTAGACCAATAAAATGAAAACATAAAATGTTGAAATCTATAATATTTTGAATAAGCATGTTTACATGTCCCATCTTCTTTAACATTATTTCATTTTCAGGATCCCACAATATTGTTGATTTGATCAATATCTCAATAAACAAAACACTTTGATTTGATATAATTGATTCTATGGGTATTTATAGTTTTGTAAAATTAAACCTCAAAAATTAAATGAAAATATGCATTTGATTACTTATTATCGATATATATTAACCGCATCTGAGGTGATTTCTAGCAGATATCAAGCATTTGAGCAAGCCTTCTTCATACATTTATATTACCGTTTATTATTGAACTGGCATAATAGGTTAAATGACTTTCACTAAGAGTCACAAACTGGTTCAAAACAAATTGTAACCCATATTTTGAACTGTTGGTATACTTCAGTGATGAACCTTGCTCCAGGTGCGGTGTCCTCTTTATGTTTCTAGTAATTAGAAAGCTATATAAAAAACAATGCTATAAATTAATATGATTAATGGTCAAAAAGACATTAAATTAAGATCCGGATTGTTACTTGTTTAGAGGGTTTCCAAAACCTTCTTGTAATACACACTTTGTTATACTTTTTGTATCAAGATTTTTATCTTGAATTTGATGTTTCATCTAGCTTTTTGCCTGGGTTAGAAATTATATATTCTCATAGATAAAGGTAGTTAAAAAGAAACATTTTTTTTTATTATTAAATTTATTTCAATAGAATACAAAAAATGTAAATACAGACATGTAAATTCTTAAATCGCCACGTTGGAATTGATATTTTGGCCATCCGTGAAAATATCTGATCTTCTGATAACTCAAGATTACTCCAACACTTACTCTCACACTTATGTTTTTACTCCACATAATGTCACAATTAAAAAATTGTTAGTTTCAACTTCTTCTGAGCTGATTTAGGGGACATTTTTATCGGCACCTGTATGACCTTTTACCCATGTGAACATAATAGCAAAACGAAACCTACAATCTGTCACCGAAACTCCCAATCTGTCTCACCTCACTTCTCTGGGATAACAAAATTGTCAAATTGTGATTTGCTTAGCACTTGAATTTCTCAAAAACAATATTGTCAACTGACAAAATATTTTTGGATAGGATCCAATCTTCTAAAACTACTAGACTGATGCACCATTTCAGAAGGTACCCTCGAGTTTAGCTAAAAGGAGCCTGTTTTATCATCAAGTATATTTATTGTTTTAAAATGAAACATTCATTTGGTTATTTCTGTTCAAATATTTATTTGGGTTCCAAGAATATAAATCAACATGTAATTTATCATACCAGTATAATATTATTAAATTATTAATAAGCCTCTCATCCTATATGTAATGAAATAGTGGCTTTAGATTTGAGAGTATATCAATATTTGCATAATCCTATTTGGGATGTTTCAAACTTTCATTTGATGCCACTATCTTCAAAAATATACCAAAAATAATGAGGTAGCATCTCAATTAAAACCTGTATATACCTGAAAAAGTGACATTATCAGTTATCGGGGTACCAACTCCCAAGAGTTTGTTTAAGCATGTCAATGGATCTTGAATGGAAGGGAGGGTGCATAAGACATTGGTTCTTTTTATGTTGGATTATGGTTTGGGATAGTTGGGGTTTGTTTTCCTTATGACTGGTATATACTTATGTTTTCTTTTCTTTTGGGATGACATCTATAGTATAGAAAAAGTAGCATGTAAGACTGTAAAGCACATGCTCCAAGTAGATGGTGTGCTGTATATTAATAATATAAATAAGTGACATCTTTTAAATCTTATATAGAACAATATGCATGTGTCTTAAAATGAAATGAAAAATGAAATTAGAGACAGGCCAGCATCCCTTATTTCCCAATATCCTTTGCATTTAACGAGGATTATATGTTAGTAACTTATTATCAAGTTTTTTTTAATGTCACTCCAAAATGGAAGTTTCACTTGATCATTTCCTTTCAAATATTTATCTTGCTTTGTTAAATATAAAATTGATTAAACTGTGATTTCAATGTATTTTGCATACTCCTATTGGTATGATTCTGAAGCAATGTAAATTAGCACATCAATTATGGTTTAGAAGATCTTGGATCAAGCATTGCAATATTAGGTCAGCAGCTGAGCAAATTTTAAAAAATAAGTTTGTCCCCTAAGTTTCTCACTGGATTCATGTAGAGCAAGGTCTTGAGCTTATTTTGAGCTTGGGTTCTCTGTCCTAGCCCCGGCAACGACTGTGAAAACTGGCCCTATAGGTGGCGCCCCCTATAATTCACCCCCAAACTTAAAACTAATTATTATTTTCATAATTGAAACATAAAGACATCTCAAACAGCTTAAATTGATCAATGGTACATTAAATTATGCATTAAAAAAATTTTCAATGTGTGAAAATCATATTTTATGGAGAGATAGTTGATTAACCCCTTAAAACGCCCCTATTTTAAAGGGGGTACTTAAGTTAACTTCCGTAACTTTTGTGTTATTCAGGATTCTGGCTTAAAAATATTCCTAAACATGTATAATTATGCTGTTGAGAGATTGCAGTAACCCTATGTTCATAGCTTTATAACTTTTTGAGAAAAAAAATAAAACGTATTTCCATATAATTTGGTTTCGTATTATTTTCAGATAAACCATCATCTATACTTTTTAATTTACTTTCCACACCTTATACCCATGCATAGTATTGATAGTTTTCTTTCATTTTAGACCAATATAGATGGCTGGAGTTCATAATAATAATTAATAAAATAAAATTTAAGCAGAAATAATTGATTTACCCCTTAAAATGCCCCCTATTTTAAAGAGTGTGTGTGGGAGACTAAGGAAATATTTTTGAAATTCACATGCATTGAAAGCTTATGATGTTTGGCAATGAATGTTTTAATATGCTGGTATTCATAATGGTGAGTTTAATATTAATAGCAAATGTAAACCATCCAACATTTCTGAATAAAAGCAAAATTATAGTCGATTTTACATCATGAGACAACCCCAAACCTGAAATATCTCCTAGCGACCATTAAGTCCATGTTTTCACCAAGATCCACAATCCAATAACTGAGTTTTACATACTCTAGCATGTATTCCAAGAGGATGAACCAATGTATGGGCTTATATAATTAAAGATTCAATCTCTCCTTGCAGGTTACTTACTAACATGTAATTAAAACAATTACTACTTAACATATATTATTTTTGGACTGTGCTGTTACAATGACTGAATTGTGCTGGCACAATCACGTCAACACAATCAAGAGGTACATTTATTTCTCTTTGTTTGCTTTATCAAGTGATCTGAAAGATGAGAAGTAATAATGTACATACAGGGTATTTCATATCTTTGCACCCCCCCCCCATAAACTCATACATCTAGCATTGCTACCCTATCATTTTATGTATCATATCGAAAGTTACATAGGATTGCAAAGTTTCAGAATCAAGGTGTATCGCTGAAAAAAGATACATTGTATCAAAGATTGCGGGTACGGGGTCATTTAGAGGGCATTTCCTGGTGATTTTTGGACTCAGGCCGGTGATCTGTGCACTTTTTCTCGTATCCATTTTTAATGAGAGAGGTCGCACCAGGGTCCCTGGCCTCTCCATAAGCCACTGCAAGAATCTTATCTATACATCTTTGTGCATAAGTGTCACACTCATGTGCACTGAACTCTGCCATGATGACAACTGTTTGAAATTTGCAATACAGAAACTCAATTTTCCCTTAAAAGTGCCTTCAAACTCACCAGAAATTCCCCTCGAAATGACCCATACCCACATACTTTGATATGGCATTTTTTCAGGGATACCGCTGGATTCTGAAACTTCGCAATCCTATGTTACTAATAGGATGCTAAGGAGCAAAATATATATAACATGATGGTGTGGCAATATGTATGACTTTATGGGGGATGTATACATATGAAACACCCTGTATGCATATATTAGTTAAAGTGTACAGATATAAATATTTCTCCATACAAAGAAAGATATTTACTGGTTGTGTTGAAGTGATTGTGCCAACAAAACCCAGTATATTGTGTCAGCACAATACAAAAATGATAAATAGATAGCTCCAATTAGCTCTTCTATAGCCTTTGGTGATTCCCTAGAATGCCATGGAGGTGCTTTAATAGCCCCCTTTTATTCCTTAATAGCTTTACTGATAGCCAGTATGCCCTGGTTGTGCTTTAATAACCCCCATTGATTCCTTAGTAGCCCTTGGGGACTGCTTAGAATGCTTGGTGTCTGATTGTGCTTTAATAACCCCTATTGATTCCTTAGTAGCCCTTTGGGACTACTTAGAATGCTTGGTGTTGTTTTAGTAATCCTGTTTGGTTCTTTAATAGCTTTAGTAATGGCCTTAGTGATAAGATCGCATGCCCTGGTTGTGCTTTCATAACCCTTATTGGTTCATCAATAGTCTAGGCAATAACCTAGTATATCCTGGTTGTGCTTTAAACATATGGTTCCTAATAGACCTTTGTGATTCCTCTGTATGCTTGGTTGTGCTTTGATTTCCCCCATTGGTTCATTAAATAGCCTTAGCAATTACCTACATGTAGTATGCCCTGGTTGTGGTTTAATACACCAAATTGGTTCCTTGATAGTCTGGTTGTGCTTTAAACATATGTTTCCTAAAAGACCTTTGTGATGCTTGGTTGTGCTTAACTCCTATCAGGTTCATGAAATAACTTTAGCAAAAACCGAGTATGGCTGGTTGTGGTTTAATATCCCAAATTGGTTCCTTTAAAGTGATAACCTAGTATGCCCTGATTGGCTCTGATTGAACTTTGATACCCACAATTGGTTCCTTAATAACACTAAGTGATTCCTCAGTTTGCTTAGTGATGCTTTAATAATCCCTATTGGTTTCTAAATCTGCCCTAGTACTCCCTAATACGCCTTGCTGGTGCTTTGATAGCCACAATTGGTACTTTAATATCCATTAGTGATTCCCATAGATGCCCTTGTTGTGCTTTTGTCACCCACATTGGTTCCATGTAGCCTCTAGCGATTCCCTAGTATACCCAGGAAGTGGTTAAATTCATAGCTCTTGGAGACCCCTAGTATGCCTTGTGGTGCTGCAGTATTCCTTCATGGTTTCCTAGATACCCCGATTGGTTCCATGGGCTTTCTCTTGAAAGCTCATGATGGTTCCAAGTAGGTCATCATGGTGTTCTGTTAGCCCCTAAAGAGCACTACAAGGCATATTAGGAAGCAATAATGGGTATTTAGAAACTAATTAAAGCTCTCTGGGTATACTAAGGAATTGATAAGGGATATAATGAAACAAATATGGGGTATTATGGCACAACCAGTGCATATTATGATAGCACTAAGGCTATAAAATAACCAAAGAACCAAAAGAGGATATTAAAGCACCTCTTTCAGTCTTTAGCTTACTAGGGGTTCAGTTAAGACTATTGAAAAACCAATTAGGGATATGGTATGTGTACTATTTTTGTATTGTCCTGACCTAATTGACTGGGTTGTGCTGGCACAATTCCTGCAACACAACCAATAAATACCTTTCTTTGTTTATGGAGAAATATTAATGCATGTACACTTTAACAAATATATATATTATTTCTCGTCTTTCTGACAAATAGATACAAAGATACAACATACGAAGAAAAATACTTCCTGCTGGTTGTGTTTTGATGATTCTTCGAAAAAACATACATACAGTATCACAGTGACATCAGATTAATAAGTTCATGCATTACTTACAACACTTTCTAAAAGCTTGATTAGATGGTAATTACAGCTACCACTTCCCTTGCACTTACAAAACATGCAACAATTAATTTTGTTCAGTTCACATAATCTGTTTTGTACCACACTTACTATAAAAAATTAGATGGAAGTAGAAATAATCTTGATTTGCGCCTTTAAAAATTAAAAATTCAGTCAAAGTGATATCATATTTAAAATCTACATGTAAAATAACATATGTGGAAGGAATGTGTTTTTGCAACTTTGAAAATTTAATTTTCTTTGAAAATGCAATTTCTAGGTCAAAGAGATTCCCCATAGACCCCATGTTAATAAAATCACAAGAAGTGAAATATCTTTGCTTGTACTGGACAGATATTTTCTTTTACTGGGCATATTTTTTAATTTGTACTGTGTATAACTATCAGATACATAAGGTGATATGAAAATTGAAACACTAAAGCTGATGAATATTCAAGTTTAGGGGAACTTTCTAATACCCTGCCATGTTATCGGCCCCGAATTAGCCTCCTGGCGGTGAAACTGGTAACTGCCTATTCGCATCTGGTTTATTACATTGTAAAATCAAATCATCAGGTGATATACAGAATATCCTTTGTATCAAGATCATTTTCAAGAACAAAGCCATATTCCAATGGGTCAAGCTGAGTATTTGATAAAGTCAGATACCATTGTCACAAATGGTGGACATAACTGTCGCTTCAACTCTTTAATCACTTGGTCCTCGTTTCTCATGGGATTTTATCATCACTAATTCTGTGCATGTATTAAGCTCATGTGATGATGTATTATCACCCTATGCAGACAGAGCCTGTGGGAAATATTGGGTGCGGAGCAAATGAGCGGAGGGTGCGGAGCTAACGGTCATTTTTGAATTTAAATTTGGAATATGTCTGAAACTAAGCCGTTTTGGGACTTCAAATATACCAAGATATGTGTATTTGACAGCTCCATAAACGTACCTCCGCACCCAATATTTAGAGGGGGCTCATATCTGAAGAACATTTCCGAATTTTTATAAAATCACACAGATACTGCCTGGCTTCCAAGATGCAAAAATAATTTGCATGGGTAGTGTATCTTGAACACCATTTTTTATGAATGCTGGGGACGCAGTATTAAAAGGATAGTCTTAAAATATATAGGTCTGGGAAATGTTTAAGGCATACTGCGTCGCTATAAAATGAATTGCACTACTATTTTCACAATTTTATTGATATTTGGTGTCAAATACACATATCTTGGTATATTTGAAGTCCCAAAACGGCTTAGTTTCAGAAATATCCCAATTTTAAATTCAAAAATGACCGTTAGCTCCGCACCCTCCGCTCATTTGCGCCGCACCCAATATTTCCCACAGGCTCTGCCTGCATAGGGTGATTATATGAAATCCAAATTTCTATCAAATGGGGTCGTGAATCGCCACAATATAGCGTCTTCGATATCGTCAATGACAACAGAATCTGAATTTGAGATAATTTACAAAGACAACAGCATATGGTAAATTATTTATTTATTTAGAAGCAAAGGTTAACTATTAAGTCTCCCACACACACAAGTCTTCAAATTCAAATATTTTCAAGCCTAAATATTGAATGAAACATAAGTTACAGTGAGTTATAGAAGCTATAGTGTATGTATCCCTTAAAAGGGGTATTTTAAGAGGTAAATCATTAATTTCTGCTTAAATTTTTTATTATTATTTATTTTAAGTGAACTACAGTCATCTATATTGGTCTAAAATGAAAGAAAAGTACTAATACTATGCATGGGTATAAGGTGTGGAAAGTAAATTAAAAAGTATAGATGATGGTTTATATGAAAATAATACAAATCCAAATTATATGGAAATACGTTTTATTTTTTTTCTCAAAAAGTTATAAAGCTATGAACATAGGGTTACTGCAGTGTCTCAACACCATAATTGTACATATTCAGGAATATTTTTAAGCCCAAATCCTGAACAACACAAAAGTTATGGAAGTTAACTTAAGTATCCCCTTTAAAATAGGGGGCGTTTTAAGGGGTTAATCAACTATTTCTCCATAAATTATGATTTTCACACATTGAAAAAATTTTTAATGCTTAATTTAATGTACCATCGATCAATTTAAGCTATTTGAGATGTCTTTATGTTTCAATTATGAAAATAATAATTAGTTTTAAGTTTGGGGGTGAATTGTAGGGGGCGACACCTATAGGACCATTTTTCACATTCGTTGCCGGGGCTAGGACAGAGAACCCAAGCTCAAAATAAGCCCAAGACCTTCCTCTACACGAATCGAGTAAGAAACTCAGGGGACAAACTTATTTTTTTAAATTTGCTCAGCTGCTGACCTATATGCATGTTAGTTAGTTTTTATCTTGAAATATTCAATGAGCTATATTGAAATCAAATCTTATCTTTCTTGCACATGTTTTTATACTGTTCCCACCAGAAGTGTTGACATATTGTTTATGTCTCCAATATCTGTAACAAATGGCAGGTGGTGACATTTTGCATTTTAATGCCTTGTTAACATTCTAGGAATCAAAGAAGGAATGCACTTTAATATGTATACATTGACATATTAATTGCTATTTTAATAACATTGATCTGTTACTGCCTCTGATGATTTTTCAGTTGAGTTCATGAGATTCTAAATTATCTTTTTGTTCCAGGACCTTGAGGACTCAGAGTACAATACAGATGAGAAAGCCCTGGAGATACTTCTGGCCATGGACAGAGCAGGCTCAGCTAGGAGGCAGAAGAAACACACTGTAGTAGTGGAGGACCCCGTTGACCCTGCAGTCTTACCACCTCCCCCTACTCAAGGTATGAAATAAATGATTTTTTAACTTATTATGCAAAATGGTAAACTTAGTTTTTTTGCAAAACAGCTTTCTCTGAAGTAGTCAAAAGTGTTTGACCATTTCTTGCAGTTTTTTGAAAAATCCTTTTATATTGATTTTTCTGTCCCTAGCTTATCCCAAATATTTTGGCCAAATTCACGTAGGAAGTAATTTTGATGCTCCAAGAAGTTTTTGTTGGCAGTGTATGGTGATTATAGTTTTTCAATATCAGGTCTTTCACATAATGATAAACTATATTATGTATTGTAGGTTCTGGTAGATCAGGCACTGGACTCAATGATGACCTCATACTCCTGGGGGAGACACTGGTCTCTGTGACAACAGGATCATTTTCAGTGAGTAGGCATTTCATTTAACAACAAACAAATAATCAAACAGAATAACGCAACATACTTTTGTATTCCCTCACTTTATTGTTTAGTCATTTGAGTTTAATCACTCTGGAAGTTTAGTCCAAAAATTGCTTATTAATTGCTTCTTTTAATTTTGACCAAATTTAATTGTACATTTCTGTTTATATGCAACATGTATATTTGTAAATATCGATTTGAAGTAAAGATCTAAAATAAAAGATTTGTGACCTGTTCATTTCCAGCCTGATGAGATGGATATGGACATTATGGTTGATGCAGCTTTGTTTCTATGGAACAAATGTAAGGCAGTCTTCCAGAAATACCAGACAGGATCAGCTGAGAGTGCTAAGTACCTCAACAAAATGGAAAACCCAAGCAAGGTAATGGTTCAATCACACTGAAGAGCTATATATGTACTTACATAAAGTTAGCAAACAACATCTTGATACCATTGTGACCATGTACCTTGTGCCATATTGGAATGCTTAATGTGTACATTTTTGCATCCTTCGAACACAGGCCTCCAGATCTCATACCTTAACCGGAAGGTAGGAACATAGTGGACCCCTGCAGTTCGGAAGATGATATTTTTGTTGCAAGCTCAATCTCAACCAAACACTATTTTTCCAAATATAGATGGCAGTATTGTACAACATACCCAAAGTATAACATAGGTGCCAATCTCAAGCAATTTATTTTCATTCTTGATCCACTGAAATCTGAAATCAACATCGTATTTTTGTTCTTAGTACATCTTGATGTATATTTTACATTTTGCAAATTTTGTTTCCAGTGGGTATACATACTTGACATGGTCCACCAAGTTTTGGGATGGTGTGGTGTGTCCAGTGTGGACCCAGCACTCACAGCTGAGGTATCCCTCCGCCTTGGAATGGTGCTAGAAAGTAGTGCCATGCTGGATGCCAAAGAAGAGGCAAAAGTGAAAGATGCTAAGAAATCGTCACGATCTAATTTAGATGATTCTGAAAAATGTAAGTAGATGTACATCTAAATTGGGACAATCTGAAGTAGAACACAAGTTGCGTGAGTGGAGATCATTAAAAAGTAATCTGTCTGATGTAATAGTTATGTAGGGGTGACATTGCTACAACTACCATATTTTCTGTGTCTGGCATTCATCTGTAACAATTATTACATTTTTCACTTGTGAAAATTGTCATGTTAATGCCTGGATTATTTTTTCATATTTCCTGCTTGTAATGTTTTCAATGAATAAAACTCCATGAGCATTATATACAGCTATTCTAAATTACCTGTACACAAAGATAATGGTTTCTATTGCTTTTATATATAATTTTACTTCATAAATAAAGATGTCAGTTGTAAATATTGCTCATTTTACTACGCTGTATTACTGTATTCTACAAATGACCATATTTGACCATTCAACAATCATACAACTGTTTCTTGTCTTATATAGTATTCAGTGAGTCAAAGACCACGCTGTCTGATGCCACCCAGAGTCGTCCAGGCAGTCGTAGTGTTGCAAGTCGCTCCAGTGTTGCATCAATCTCAATGTTGAACCAGTCAGTACGTGACCAACTGATGCAGTCTAGGGACATACTAGAGCTGGGATTGCAGAATATCTCATTTGCAAGGGAGGTTGTCGCAACCACTGATGGCAAGAGCATTGCTGATATAAGCTGGGTCAAAGTAAGTTTCATCATATATTTTTTTTGATAACGAAATTTGATTATATGATGAATTAATGACTTTTAGAACATGTAGTACTGACTCCTTATCAAACCCAATGACTCACTAAACTGAATTTATCTTCAACAATAATTTTGACTATCTTGGACCAAAAACTAAAACATTTCATCATTTTGTACTACAGGAGTTCAACAAGGAGCTATTTGAACCTGTGATCCCTAGCACCACCACTGACATACCTACAGAGAATGATGAGCCTGACCAGATTCCCAATATTATGTCCAACAATGACTCTGCTGTATGGAACACAGTGAAAGATCTCCACCTTGAGCTGATCTATATGTACCACAGGATTTGCCTGAAACTGGCCAAGATGGGCCCAGGTAAGTGCAAAATGTCCATTTTCTCACACAATACACAAAACTTAACATAAATTAATCATGAAAATGTACCTTATAATATTTTATTTTGGAATGTGTTTTTTGTATAACATTGATGCACCATTATGTTTTTTATAATATATGGCATAATTGGTTGATGAGTATATGTTAACTAAAAGTCTGACGATTGCATTTCATATCACAAAATACTTTAAAGTTAGTGAATATTGGTTATCTCAATGAACAGGGAATTAATTACAATATAATTGTAGATAACAGTTTACCCTTATACTCAAGGGGCGAGGAGGAAAATTCTCAATAAATGGTGTATAGTTGGTTTGGCAGCATTTTCAGTTAAGGGAGAGTCTTGGATGAAACTTCCACCTAGGTGATAGCTTCACAGAGTGGTAGGAAGTTCTTTTTTTTGAGGAGTTAGCCCCCCACCCCCCAAAAACACCCCACCCTGGGAAAAAAATTGTTCACACTAAATAACCTTAGATATTTTGATGTTTGTAAGTGACATACATAGATATTATATATATGAATCACTTGCAGTATAATTGATGCTGATAACTCCTAAAGAATTTGAAAATTAGTACAAAGTATGTACCCCAGGGGGCAAATTCGTGACTCATTTTCTTACTATTTTGATTCTAACTTTTCAATTAGACACTGTAAGAGGCTGGAAAAATTCATGTGAAGTGCCCAATAGCAGGGTTAGTAACCCTGAAAGATGCAAAGCCATGGAAGAGGTAGGAGCTGAGAAAAAAATTGTTGATTTTTCGAAAAATTTGACATTTCTGACAGCTGGATTTTGTGTATGACTATAGCTGACCCTTATAATTTCTAGATTCATCCCTCTATGATGATATTTATGGTTTTATAGTGTGAAACTAAGATGTAAAATATAATTTAGATGAGTTTTAAGGAAGTTAAAGGTTTTAAACAAGTCCAAAATTTGAAAAATTGTAAATATAAGGTTTCAAATTTACGAATTCCAGGTATAGCCATGGCTGACCCCTATAGTTTCTAGATCCATCCCTCTGTGATGATATTTATGGTTTTGCCATGTGGAACTAAGATGTTAAACATAATTTAGATGGGTTTTAAGGAAGTTAAAGGTTTTAAACAAGTCCAAAATTTGAAAAATTGTAAATATAAGGTTTCAAATTTACGAATTCCAGGTATAGCCATGGCTGACCCCTATAGGTTCTAGATCCATCCCTCTATGATGATATTTATGGTTTTGCCATGTGGAACTAAGATGTAAAACATAATTTAGATGGGTTTTAAGGAAGTTAAAGGTTTTAAACAAGTCCAAAATTTGAAAAATTGTAAATATAAGGTTTCAAATTTACGAATTCCAGGTATAGCCATGGCCGGCCCCTATAGTTTCTAATTCCATCCCTCTTTGGTGATATTTATGGTTTTGTAGTATGGAACTAAAGATGTAGAACATAATTTAGATGGGTTTTAAGGAAGTTAAAGATTTTAAACACAGTCCAAAATTTGAAAAATTGTAAATATAAGGTTTCAAATTTACGAATGTTAGGTACAGCCATGGATGACCCTTATGGCTTTTTCATCCATACCTCTATGATGAAACATATATTTTTAGAGTGTGAAACTAAGAAGTAAAACATACCGAAGATGAATTTTAAGGAAGTTTAAGAATTTTAACAAGTGCAATGTTTGAAAAATTGAGAAATATCAGGTCTCAAAGGAGCACGGAAAGTATTGCAACATATTTCAGACAGTCATATGTTAGATTTGTCTGTTTCCTGAGGATTTAAGCAGGTGCATATGATAGGCCATTGCATTACCTACAGGAAAAGAACTCTTAGAGATGATAAAATAGTTTGGACTTTGAGACAGCGAAGGTGCAAACAATCCACCCACATGTTTTTTTCGGAAATGTTGTCCTGATTTTCAAGCGCTTTCACCCCTGCTTTTTTCAATTTTTGTTGCATCAATATGTTGCGTTTTGAGACATAGTTAACCCATAAAAAGGAATGATAAATTTCTTTTAGATAAAGCAGAAAACAATATTTTCCTGTTATTTTCCCATAACTCAGGTGCTCCATTACTTTCAGCTTAATTTTGGTCACCCATATTTGATATCTTTTAAACCCCTGATGGAATGCATTATTTCTTTAAAGGGGTTAACTGTGCATCAAAACACAACATATTGATGCATGTGGGTGGGTTGTTTGCACCCTGTCTCAAATAGAAATTATTTTATCATCTCTATGAGTGCTTTTCCTGGAGGAAATGCATTGGCCTAACATATGCACCTCCTCAAATCCTCAGAAAATAGCAAAAATCCAACATGTGACTGTCCTAAATCTGTTGCGATACTTTCAGTCCTCCTTTAAGATTTCAGGTTGTCTTGGATGTCTCTCTTTTTGAATGTATGACTTTTTAGCTTAGAAATTAGATGTTGAAAATATTGTGGTCAGGTTTGATCCATGTTTCAAGTATTGTTAAAAGAAAAATCATTAGAGTTGAGGACCTTACCCTAGAGTTCCTAAGGGGGTGAGAGGTTAATGAATCCCCCCCCCTAAAGTGTAACTGCTCTTAGGGATATCGTATACAGTGTAGTAATTGATTGATTATATGGATTATAACTAATTAATTATTATTTGATGATATTTATTATGTGATATAGCATTTTTACTTTTTCACATCAACATGTTCGATGTAATGTTCTACATTGTCAAAATACATAAAGACATGGTTAATTAAAAGAAACATGATTTCTCTATATTTTGTTATGCCCATACTGTAATTAAGCAATGATCATCTCCAAATACAAAATATTATTATAAATTATCAAATTATAATCACTACACTCCCAATAAAACAACTTGTCATCAGGCAACAGTAATTATTTGGGAAAATAAGGATTATAAGGATCATACCCCGCTGGGCCTAGAAACTCCCGTTAGTGCAATGTGCAATGAGATTAGGAATTCCAGGGTAATAGGGTCTTGTCACACTAAAATCTTCATGTAGATCAAAAAAGTATATATGGTGATATATATGATCAATATGTTTCAAACAAACAGACATTGTAGAAAATGTTTACATACTGACTTTGCAGATGACATTTTCTAGCAGTTGAAGAATTTTTTACATTTATTGAAATGATAGTCATAAAATTAGAATATCAGTGTCATTGATGCAAATTACTGCAGTCCCACATGTTCTCCTACTGAATGTAAAACAGAGTGAATAAGTTTAAAATCAGCCTCTTCAAGAGTGGAATTTAACAGGGGATTTCAGTTATCATTTTCACAGATATTTAAGTTCTCTCCAATAGTTCCACTTAAAACAATCTTGACATTTGGCACATTTTTAGAATGCTGCTTTATCAAATTTCTTTGTAATCTTTGAAAATTTGTTTTATATGACTTGGCCAAAAGGTATTCATATTTTTAGGTAATGGTGTAATTTCTTCTTTGGATTAAAGTTCAGTAGGGGAAGCATCCATTCTTTGCATTCTTTCAGAATCCTTTACTGATGGAGACTACTAGGAGTCTAATATGAAATCTATTCTTTGGGCTCCTTTACTAGATTTGATGGAGTAGTCAAATATAGCTTTCCAAAACTCTCCAAATTTCAACATATAAGTTAATCTTAATTTTCCTTTTGTCATAGCACTGTATCGATCACGAAAGTTTTATCAATTTGTGGTATGGTTTCATCGATCTCCATTTCAAACCCCTTTTTAAGTTCTGATTTTACAGGATAAGATAGATGATCATTGTCAAACGAACTGTTTGTATCCATATAAGATCATAGTTTACTCACACATAGCCAGGCAACATGTGTCCAATTCCAGCCAATTCAATACTTCATATAACTGCATTCCAATTTACTACTCTCATAAACCCAAAGTCAATTTTAGATTCTAGAGAAAGTAATGAAACCAATAAGCTGATCAATAACATTGACTAAAAATCTATAAATAGCATCATAGGGAATAGCATGCCAAGTGCTTGAATTTATGTGGATTACTCATTTGGTAGACACCTTTATCAAATCTTAAAGTGTTGTTGATTTTCAAGTTGTACAAGCAAAGTGTCATGGGTGCTTTCTTTTCCTGACATAGTATTAACATTGTGGTAAAAATTATCAAATGCGCCTAGTACAGTAGTTCTAGTTCATCATCTTGTATAAATGATATATCATCAGTGAAACCTGTATATCCCAACATCTGACTATTGTGAAAACCTACCAATCATCCCAACACCTGACTAATCTGAACACCAACCAATCTGAACACTTTTCCCAGTCCAAGTTTTCCTCCCATTGACTCCTATGTTTAAAAAATCAAAATCTGAACACCTTTTACTTCGAACAGTGAACACTCATATTTGAAAAATTAACCTGTCTAACTTGAACGCTTTTTACCAAATATCACATATTTCTTACAAAATTCCTCAAATGTTGTCAGTTTAACACTGAATTGTTATGATATCAAAACTTTTGAATTGGATTTTGGAATGCTATGAAGCTTTTTATGTGGTTAGTATAAATATTATTAATATTTTTCATCGAGAATGCATTCAAATTTCTTCAAAATCCAGAACTTGTATTGTAGATGTAAAAACCTCAAAATTCAAACACTCCTAATTAGAATGCTTTTAGCTGGTCCAAATACCAGTAGCATTCAGATTAGAGAGATTTTACTGTAGTTCACGACTTTTCACTCCATCTATATGCAGCAGACTAACTGCTGCAACAGGTATATATTCTACACCTGATATCATAGTTGATACTATTATGCTCATAACCTTCAATTATCAGGGCTCATTCAAGGCTGTACCTGAATAATGTGAATTTGAGACCAATTTTGAGATCAATTTTTCAAATTTTGGACTTGTTTAAAACTTTTAACTTCATTAAAACCCATCTAAATATGTTTTACATCTTAGTTCCATACTATAAAACCATAAATATCATCATAGAGGGATTGATCTAGAACCTATAGGGGTCAGCCATGGCTATACCTGGAATTCGTAAATTTGAAACCTTATATTTACAATTTTTCAAATTTTGGACTTGTTTAAAACCTTTAACTTCCTTAAAGCCCATCTAAATTATGTTTTACATCTTAGTTCCACATGGCAAAACCATAAATATCATCATAGAGGGATGGATCTAGAACCTATAGGGGTCAGCCATGGCTATACCTGGAATTCGTAAATTTGGAACCTTATATTTACAATTTTTCAAATTTTGGACTTGTTTAAAACCTTTAACTTCCTTAAAACCCATCTAAATTATGTTTTACATCTTAGTTTCACACTATAAAACCATAAATATCATCACAGAGGGATGGATCTAGAAACTATAGGGGTCAGCCATGGCTATACCTGGAATTCGTAAATTTGAAACCTTATATTTACAATTTTTCAAATTTTGGACTTGTTTAAAACCTTTAACTTCCTTAAAACCCATCTGAATTATGTTTTACATCTTAGTTTCACACTATTAAACCATAAATATCATCATAGAGGGATGGATCTAGAAATTATAAGGGTCAGCTATAGTCATACACAAAATCCAGCTGTCAAAAATGTCAAATTTTTCGAAAAATCAACAATTTTTTTCTCAGCTCCTACCTCTTCCATGGCTTTGCATCTTTCAGGGTTACTAACTCTGCTATTGGGCACTTCACATGAATTTTTCCAGCCTCTTACAGTGTCTCATTGAAAAGTTAGAATCAAAATAGTAAGAAAATGAGTCACGAATTTGCCCCCTGGGGTACATACTTTGTACTAATTTTCAAATTCTTTAGGAGTTATCAGCATCAATTATACTGCAAGTGATTCATATATATAATATCTATGTATGTCACTTACAAACATCAAAATATCTAAGGTTATTTAGTGTGAACAATTTTTTTCCCAGGGTGGGGTGTTTTTGGGGGGTGGGGGGCTAACTCCTAAAAAAAAAGAACTTCCTACCACTCTGTGAAGCTATCACCTAGGTGGAAGTTTCATCCAAGACTCTCCCCTAACTGAAAATGCTGCCAAACCAACTATACACCATTTATTGAGAATTTTCCTCCTCGCCCCTTGAGTATTAAATTGTTGGGCTACAGAGAATTACACCAGGAATGTCCCTGTAATGAATATTGGAAAACTCAATGAACTAGGAATTAATTAAAATATGATTGTAGCTAACAATATTTGAGAAATTGTCATATTCCCTTGTATTATAATGTTTGCTTTAATTTCACCTGCACGATTTGTAAGTTTTGTTTTTATTTTTGTGTAGCACCAGGTCTGACCAAGAAACCAAGTGGTACGTGTTTTGCACTTATTTTTAACATCCCTAAACATCTAGATGTATGTACAGTAAAACTAAGTGGAAATCCTTTGGTATCTCTAAAACAAAAACCTTTCCACTTATGGAGATGTTCCACTTAAAGAAGTGTTACACTTAACATGTTTTACGATATAGGCATATTTGTAGTCACATAATGATAGTTCCATTTTATTCGATTCTTTGAAACAATTAACTCTTTTTATGTCACCACCAAGAAGTAACATTTTGTGAATTTGTCATTCAATGTTGGTATTTGGCATTGTAGATAATGTCCGTGACAATTGGCTATACTGTACTTTGGTCATGTAAATGCCTTGTATTTTCTCATCATAAAAATTCATGCAGTAGTATTGTATCAAATATTTTATTGACAAAAATCAAAAGTGGAAATATGAACAGAATTTAGAAGGGTTTAGTCATCCCAAAATTCATATTAACCTGTTAGTCAAATCATGTATGGTACAATTTCGTTTATTTTATTTCAGCTCCCAAGCAAACTAAACCATTCAAGAGAAGAACATGTTCCAACTTGGATTTTGTAAGTTGTGATATTTTTGTTTATTGATTATAAAACATTTAAAACTATAATTATGAGTCTTTTTTGTCAAAATCAATGCCTTTAAGGAAAATGATTTATGTGAATATAAATGCAAAGAAGGTTTGACTCTCAGGCACATGTACACGCTGTATTTACATTTGCTTTCTTCTTTTTGTCTGATTGTTTGCTTGTTTGCTTAATCTGTAGAATGAATTAACTTGCTAAGTCAAAGATGAATTTGCAATAATCTGTTGAAAAACTTCAATATTCTTCAAGGTGCACATACTATAGAAGAATCATTGAAACCTGGTTCTATTTTCAAAGAATTTCAATCTCAAAAGTCTATCAATTGTAATTTATTACATGTGCTTTCATTAAACTGGTTCAATGATACAGTATACAATTATTGACCTCTCCAGAGGTTTACTGTCAAAATTATATCCCGAGACTGTAAACCGAGACCTCGGTTTACAGTCTCGGGATATAATTTTGACAGTAACCGAATGGAGAGGTCTATAATTGTTTTGTTAGTCCAAAGAATATCTTAGATTTTTTCTGATTTGGGTGGTTTTACCTTTTCCTGACTTCTGCAGTTCCACAACCATCGCTTTGAAAACATCGTTTGATGCCTTGAATTCAGACTTGGTAATGTCCATCTTAAGTGTCTCTCTGATGTATCGTGCCACTCCCCATTTAAGAAGCTGAAATGATTTCAACTTATAAAGTCCACCGTCTTTTTTTCTAATACCAACGTAAAACTTTTTCAAAAAATTATCTACATCTGCCACGGCAGTAAGTTCACTCAATGCTAATGGAGTCAAATTACTCTCCTGGGGGAAGTCTACTAAAAGCTTTGTACAAAGTTTTAGATTTTTCTTCGTATTTTGACTGTCTTTACTCTCTAAGAGACTAATAATATCCTCATCTTCAACATTTTTGAAACGGCTAGTGCTAGCGGCGGCCATTTTATCGTCTGATAATGACGTCATTTTAGTGGAATGCTGGGAACATTATTCACCGGCAATGCATTGCGCGGTGTACAGTTAAAATTATTCACCGCTCGTTGACCAATCAAAATCGAGTATTTCAACTGAGGTACTTACAATAAAACATGTATATCAGAACGTTACATCTCTCTAATCTGAACACCTCTCAATGTGAATATTTCTTTGGTCCCATTTTGCCATTTTGCAATCTGCCATAGATTACCTTGTTAAAAAACTCAAAATGTGAATACTTGCTAATCAGAACACTTTTGACTAGTTCAACTGTTATTCAGAGTAGACAGGTTTACTTTACTTCAGTGTACTCAATAGTATACACCATCAATGTGGAACTCCCATGCATGATTCAGCTACTAGCACTCCCATTATTACTCTTATACTGGCATAACTAGTCCTATACAGAGTCAGATTAGTAAGCAAAAAACCAACTATGTACATGTAGAATTACCTATTTTGAAAAATGGAATTCCCTCAGATGGCCTGACACTTGTTTGTTTTCTAAAATAAAAACTTCTGAAAATCAATCAGTGATATATAGAGATGAGAAACTCCAGAACCAACTAAATGTAGAATTAACTGTTAATGTAACTGCTTTCAAATGTTTTCTATGAATAAAAAAAGTAATAAAAAAAAAAATAAAAAAAAAATATTTTGAAAAATTGTAGAATGATCAGTGTTATATAGAGAGGAGGGAAAACTCCAGAGATGACTCATGATCTCTTGTTTACCACCTTCCTTTGTCTGAATTTCCCCCATCTCGATCTAATGTGTTTTAATGGAAGTAAACATATTCTTTCTCTCTTTCTTTATATTGATGTGAAATTACAAGTAATAACGTATTGGTATTTCCAAATATTTCTGCCAAAATTCAAAATAGTTCCCACATTTTATAGAAAATTGTTGATAACTAGAATACCATTTGCCAGATTTGGTTCAGTTTTATGTGCTTATGTCTTAGGAGAAAGAGGACTCTGTTCAAAAAGGAATTTTTAAGGTGACTGTTTCTGATAGCACAAATACTACTTATAATATTTCTTCCAAATCCCTTAAAGGCATAAAACAATTTGAGAAAGAATTTCTAAAATGCACGCCATGAGCGTAGATTTTGCCAAAGGAGGCATTATTACTGCCTGGTCATTTCTATAAGTAATGTACAAAATGATTGGTAATAAGATAAAATGTGTTTTGATTGGTGGTTGTTTGCTGTTTTTCTATCTGGGTTGGACCTCACTATTGGTCCACTGTTTATTAAAAATATAGAGGTCATTACAATACATATAATAATGACCATCTTGCCCAAGAGTAAAAAAATTCAAAAATTTCATAATCTACCTCATTAACATAATCGCACTATTTATATGCTTTCTATTACATTTTTATCTTTTATTGACATTTCATATCGTTTCATGATACATTATAGGTACTAAAACACAGACTACAGCTACAACTGCAAAAATACAAACTATCATACACTGGGATATATACTTAACATATTTATTTAAATTTTAAATCTATGGTAAATAAATCTAACGAACCTGTTCTTAGATAAACATAATAAAAAAACAAGACCAATTACTAGAATTATGAAGGCAGACCAACCAATACCAGCAGCAACTTGCAATCCTGTTGTATTAGATTTAATGTTATTTGAAGTTGGATTTCTAGGAGCCCGGGTTGTGGCTGTAGCCACTGTTGTGTTTGGGGTAATGGTTGTGGAGTTGGAATGGTGATAAGCTTGAAATGCATAGACCTTAAAGCCTGGGGTTACACCTTGTGTTGTATAATTTAAGTCACGCTCATCACCATGAATCACAGGGCATCGACGTAAATCACACACAGCAGTTAAGGAATTGTAATTTATGACATTATAGTGTTTTTCAAATGCATAAATCATGCATTGTCTGAGATCCTTAGTAGCATAGATGATCAATTGATGATCACAATTTGCCTTTTGGCATATTCCAGCACTGCGCAATGTGAATGTCCCATTATTAAACCTTGGGATAGCAGGGGGTGGCAAAATGTACCATGATTTTGTGTCGGTTTTTTTGAGAGGGTAGCACCCTTTAAAATGTTCATAACCTGTTTCTTCCGAATTTGTCTGACATTTATACGCTGTATATGTCTCATCTATGAGTTTATTGTATTTCACAAAATTGAATCCAGAATCAAAGAAATGTTTGAGATGTTCTTCTGTTTTACCCTTAGTTTTGTCATAGGCGAATCCCTTACATCTACTTGGTAAATGCAGGTTTAGTGTGTAATGTTCGGGTAATTTTATTGGATGTAGATCCTGTATATTGACAGGTTTATCAGGATGGGCTAAACTGTAAAAAATCTGTCCAGAAGTTGATGTAAGGTCCATTTTATTACCAGCACAAAATTTTGTTGCGCAATACATAACTGATTTTGTATCTTGGTAGATAGTAAAAGCATTTGCTTTATCATGACATGCTTTTTGTTTGCAATGGGCCAAATTATTCACAGTTTTCTCACTAATTGGGGTACAGTCTGATTTGAAATTCATTTTCTCCCAAGCTCTTGGAATGAAGTATGACCCATAGCAGTTATAGTTAGATGGGTGAGGTAGACTGTAGATTTCTCCGACAACATTTTCCTGTCCCCATTTATAGTCCCAATCTGATCCATCTTTGGTTTCGTAACAATGAAATATGGTGCATTCAGAGTTCTTTTCAAAGTAGATCACGTTAGCATTAGGAACCTCACTAAATACCTTTGAACAGAGTCCAAAGGATGATGCATGTTGTGTATGGTGGTAACCTCGAAGAAGGGCACAGTCTGGGCGTTTTGTGGTTCTTTCAAATATCCCAGGTTTTCTAATCAATTGTAGATTCTCACTTGTACCCATACCTGAAGCAAAATGATTGTTTACTTCAAAGCCATCTAAAGATTCTGGAGACCATAACAGAAACTTGGTAAACTTAGGGATTTCTAAAGTCAATAAAAACATAATATAAGAACAATTTATACTTAATTTTATGAAGTTTCTGTTTCTGCAAAATTATGCTTGTCTCATTATCTGTAGGGTGTGGCTAATAAAATAACGAATTGCACACTGTGAAAAAGCTCTTATTCTCAAAAACATTTTTGGATATAATTCTAGAAGTAGGAATTCCAAAATGGCATGTATATTTTAGTCCTTAGTTATAGTTATATATTAACAGTCATAGAATTGTTTAGAATGCAGTAAATCCTTTGATAGTCTATGAATGAAATAAAATACTTAAGTTTACAATAGTGATTGTAAAAAGTATATATATATCCAGTAATTTTTGATTTTACGAGTACATTGTGGAACATAGCTTTGACATGATTATTTCTATAGATATTTAATACTACAAAATTAGAGTAATGACTTACATGTACTTAGGAAGGTAGTGAATATGAGTACGACTGTTGACAATGCCATACTTTATTAAAAAGATCTGTCTTATGTATGATCCCAGTGTAGAACTCTGTTGCTTTCTTCTTCCGACAGTTCAATTTGTGCTTAGTGAAGTTGTTTCCAAGATCCCCAATCCCTGGGTGTTTAATAAACAAACTTTTTTATCATGAGGTATTAATGCTTCTATTTAGCACGTGTCCATGTATGACTATAATTTTGTAATGAAATCCAGTGAGGACTAGATCTGGGGGTCAAAGGTTAACAAATATTGCGGGTTTTCTTATTCTGTGACACTTATATTCATTTATCGATTTTTCAATGGACGGTCTATTGCAATGAAAATTGTATTGTGTCTCTTTAAGTTTATTGACATAAGGAAATACATTAAGTTCAGAATTTTTATCTTGTTACCAAAAGGGCTTTGTAGTGTTATTTTTATGACAATACTTTTCTCAGCAATTTTTAACTCATTGTCACTTTACAGAAAGGCAAATTAAATCCCTCATTTTCTAAACTAGATTTTTGATTCCAACGAGTCATTGTTTTTAGCATTCATTTATTTAAAGGCCAGTAAACAAAGTTTGGCTGAGACATATGTTGAAACATTTGATGATCTATCTGAGGCCACCAACAAGAACCAACTATCCAAGGCCCTGTTGTACACACAGAAGGCCCTCATGTCTGGCTCACATGGAGGCCCTACTAGGGAACAGATTCAGCTCATTGAGGTTAAGATATTTCACATAATATAGTAACAGTGAAACAAGATTTGAAATAATACTATACAATTATTTCCTAAAACATGTCAATTTGACATATGTAAAAAATATCTAATCGAGTAGCGGTACCTGCTACCAATAGTTTGTAAACCACTGAAATGTATTGCAATGTAAAATCAATAATTCTGTTGAAAGAGAGTGTAACCTGTCTGACCTGTATGATTACATTGGAGTGGAGTGGTTTGATGTGTTGGTATGTTTGCATGTTGATGCTTGTAATTTCCAAGTGGAGTATTGTTTTATGTTGGCAACATAGCTTATCTCATTTTGTTAATTATAAAATTGTAGGATGCCATGGCATTCATCACTAAGGCATCGACAGAGGAGAGACGGCTTTACCTTGACAACAAGATCAAAGCTGATCTGACCCCAGTTGAGGGTAAAGTTCCCCCTGCTCCCCAGCTCCTTAGTAGGACAGAAAGGACTATGGTCTTCAGGCCCACACCCTTTCAACCATCTACTGGGGAAAAGGTATACTTAATTAGGAAATTACAATGAGTCACTCATTTCATTAATTATTTTTTATCATCTATTTTTCTCTCTTAGAATATAATTAATGATCTCATATTTTGTTTTGCACATTTACGGTTATTGTTAAATTTATTGATTTCGTTTTTACTGGCTTTCATTAAGGGTATTGGAAGTGTTCAAAAGGGCAACATAACCTTATTATACCTCAAAATGCAAAATATGCACTCTACAAAATAATGATACAGCATATTGTTTACCATGCTGTTGTATATGAAATAAGATATGATTTTCCTTTATATACATGAATCTATTTCTCCTGTTTTATGTACTCAATAGTATACATGTACTTGCATATCAAAATAGAAATAGTGTAAGATTTCCAAATGTGTAATGTATTAATCACTGTACATGTACTTTATTGCAGGTTGCGTGGTACAGGTTATTTGCTAGAAGTGCCGCAGGAAGCAATGTGAAAGTGAGGCTGAATGACTACCATCTGCAGGGCACTGGGGAGGAGATACCTTCGTTCAGGTGAGGGTGTCCTGAACTGAACATGTGTGCGGAAATAGTTTTCTGATACAAAAGGCCAAGTTTTGGAAACTTCTCACACACCAATACACTAGTTAATTTATCCCACTAATATAACATTTTTACTGAAAGACAATAGCTAGAATATATGCTCTTGCTATACAAAGTAATAATTAATATTAAGCCCTTAACCCTTTCACGACGATAGGCTCCATATGGAGCCCTGTTTTGTAATACCTTTCAGGACGATAGGCTCCTTTTGGCACCACTATTTTTATTTACATACATGAATGAAATGACAATATCTCCAGTTCTTTTCAGTATTTTTACACCAAATTTTGACAAGATGTTCTGATGTTATGATATTTACTGAAAATTGTATTTCAGTGATGAAATTCAAGGTATAGGTCCCGGGGTATAGGCAATTTGCAGTTTTCCCCTAAAAACTGCTCTTACTTATCCGTCACAACAGCCAACTTTTTCCTCTTATATTCACGTCGGGAAAGGGTTAATATTGCATTAAATTATTTTTAGAAATTGGTAGATAAGCTTAGAAAGTTCCATTTCGTCTATGTCTGAATCATGTACAAGTACATGATTCAGACATAGACGAAATGGAACTTTCTAAGCTTATCTACCAAAAATGAAATTCAGACAGTCTCAAGCAAACTTACTACACTGTCTTATGTAAAAGTTTGAGCATCCAACTCCTCTTATTATAAAATCTAGAGCCAACGGTAAGAAACTTTTTGATCGGCCCTTGTAGAGGTTTTTAAATGGTCACATTGACCTAAAAAAATCAATACATTCTTTTGTCATGATGCATACCCATATATAGATGAAACTGATGATGCCATTAATACAATACAATAAAATAGTTATGAGCAAGTACCAAGTACAAAAAAGTTACAGAACACAGCAAGAAAAAGAAAACATTTAAGAGTACACAAGGAAAACAAACCTCAACTATCCCAAACCATAATCCGACATGAGAGGAAAGCATTTCTAATACCCTCCTCCCACCATTCAAGTACCAATATCACAATCCGAGACCATAACACCAAGGGGCATTTCATTCATACTAAAGTCATTACAATACATGTTGAAGAAAATATTTTGAATTGATAGCCAATATTTATAGCCTCATTTGACTTTGTGTAATTATGTAATGTTCTCTTATATTTGTTACAGGTCTGAGATCCGTGTGTCTGGTTTGACCCCTCATGAACGTTACATATTTGCCGTGGCTGCGTACACTGAGGAGGGAGCTCTGATAGGTGGCAGCATAGGAGAGTCTAGTAAACCAATCCTTGCGTCCCACCCACTTCCTATACTCATGGCATGGGCATATGTGGCTCAGGTATAAAATCATAATGTTTAATGATTCGCCTAGTTTGCATTAAATATGGATATTTTGTCTACTTTCTCAACTCATTTATTATCTTTGAATTCACTAACTTTTATGAACAATACATTCAAAATATGTCATAAAATATATGGATTCTACTAGAATATCAGAATAATGTGTTATCACATCACATGAAGCAAGCAATGCACTGACACTTGACCAATTGAAATTCAGTACAAGTATAACCATGCATGGTCTAGGTCCAATGCATGAGTTTATGAATGGTTTTGAGTTCTGATTTTTGTACATTCCAAACACTGTTCTAACAAGGTGTTCGTGAGAGCCAAAATTATATGTTAAAAGCTCCTGAAATGCATTCAAAAGTAATGCTATTAATGTTATGGTATTGCAGACTGCCTATCAGGTGGGTGTATACAATAAGGCTAGGGAGGCATGCAGGGTTCTCTGGGATCATTTTGTAGCTGAACCACCTCCACCCCAGGGAGTCACATACACCACAGACAACAACAATGACTTCAAGCTTATTCTGCATAGGTATGTACTATTGTACTATGTATGGCTCTGCTATTCCCTCATTGACTCTTTGTTGCCTTGTTACATCTCCTTGGTAACAGAAGTTCTCCTATATGAGACAAAAAAAGGTCCGCTATATGGAAGGGCATGACATAGTTTGAGATATGAGGGGTAAAAATTGTGAATATAGTAGAAAATACAAAATCTAGACTGAGAAACTCAGAAATAGAGAATGACCTCAGAAAAATATTGAATGTAAAATACATACAAAAAGTATGGAAGATGAAAAATATGTACAGTGACTATAAATGGAAATAATTTGCCTGACAGGGAAATAAGATTTGGTTTAAATTGAGCCATTTTACATAAGAGTAATTTGCTCTTTCCCACTTTGCAAACTCTAATCTATAGCATGTACTTCTTTCTTAGGCTTAACAAGAAGGTTGTCAGCATGGCATCGCCAGTCCTCCTCAGGATGTTCCTGACCAGTGTTTTCATACATGTGGATGTCAATGTGAAGGAACAAGCTTTGTATTGTGACTCACTTTGTGATAAAGGACCACTTTATAAGGGGCAGGTATGTAGTACTACAAAAGCAAAATCCTTTCCTATCAACACAACACAACAAATCCTTAGAATATGTAAGTTAGTGTTACAATTAGACCTACTACACAAAGATGATGTTTCATACCATAACACTTCATTCCTCAGTAATTGTGATATTTTCATGGGTATCTTTGGTCCCTAGTGAAATATCATATTAGATATCTGTATAAAACATCCAACCCAGTAAATAACCTCTGATTCACTTCATAAAATTTTGAAACTGACGCTTAAAGGCAGTTATACTATACATATTAGTATTCCCAAATACTACTTTTAGAACTAACACATTCTCGGATTGTGAAAAAAACGCATCATCATACTCTAACATGACGACATCTATTTGTGATATACCTCTTCAACAATTAATGTCAATTTGACATTGATGTTATTTGAAGTGTTATATCTCAATAGAATCACTTGTTTGAAGTACTAAATTGGCGTATTCAAGATCTTGAACACTTGTTCAACACTTAAAGATAAATAATACACACACACTTAAATGACAATAAATTGGGAATTTTAAGTGTTTGTTTTATCATTTCACACTAATTTTTTAATCTGATTGATATGTAATTGATTGCTACAATAGACTAGTTGCGAATAGAAATAATCTTGATTTACGTCATTATATATATTCAAAATTCAGTCAAAGTGATGTCATATTTGAAATCTACATGTAAAAGTACATCTAGAAAAATGGTTTCAAAAATTGTTTATCAACTTTGAAAATTTAATTTTTTTTGAAAATGTGACTTCTAGCTCGGGTTGATTCCTCATAGACCCCATATGTTACAAAATCACAAAAAGTGAAATATCTTTTCTTGTATTGGACAGATAACATTTTCTTTTACTGGACATATTTTAATTTGCATAACTATTAGATACATAAGGGTTATATACAAATTGAACCACTAAAACAGATGTAATTTAAGTTAAAGGGAACTTTCTACTATACCCGCCATGTTATCTGACCCGAATGAGCCACCTGGTGGCGAAACTGGTAACTACCTACTCGCATCTGCGTTATTTGATTGGTATGAACCCTTTCCATTTGACATTCATTTATAGTTTTTGGACCATAGGGGCACATAAAAGTGCATGTTGGTATCATTACTGGAAAGTTAATGCTTTGTAAATGGGCATCTGTTTCAATTGGGTCCATGTAAACTGCAACTAGGCTCGTATTGTTACCACTATTAATTGACTACATAATAACAAATTTTAATCAATGAGAGCCAGAGTAACTGTGAGCCTAGTTGCAGTTTGCACGCTTCTGTTACAATTTTGCCACATTACTGGAAAATGGTTGGTGTTTGGCATTTGGTGTTCTGTGTCTGTAACAAATGGCTGGTGGTGACATTTTGCATGTTAATGTCTCGTTTTCACTTTTAGATTGAGAGGCTTCACCAGTGTGAGAAGTTACTAGTTGCTGTTGAATTGTGTGGCTGGCTGAATGAGGGCAATCTAGCTCTACAAGCTGTTGTACAGTGCTATGGCTTGGTATCCCCAATCATCCACTACAAAATACCATCTGTACCAGTCATACAGGTAAACCCATTAGTCAGTCCTTTGTCTTATGGCAATCATGTTTTCATGATAAAGTCACTCAAACTAGAAATATGTGAGATCTGTTTCATCCCTTTGTTGTGATTAATGTTTTCTTTGCAGTGGTAAATATGTACCAGGGATGAATGAATCTTATGATTATTTCACTGACTCAGTGCTGAGTCCTTAAACTGTCATATCTTGAAATAGGAATTAGGACACACCAATTCTCGAAATCGTTGTTCCCTCTTCAATAGAGGAGAAGCGAAAATCTTTCCTTATAAGGTCAAAATATTTCCCATGATGCAGTTCGCGGAGGAACAAATTTATACTTCCTTGTTTTCCCTCATAGGTTTAACATGGGGATTTTCACACCTATTTTTCAATCGATATATTCGTTCATATTCCCGTACGAGAGTACAGAAAAAATTATGAGAAACGATTGATCTCTTATTAATCTTAATATAACAGCTATTTTTTCATTGTATTGATTCATGGCGTGGTGTAAACTATGATTGAAAAGTGAGAAAATATTCCGGAAGAGCATGTCACATGATCAGTTGACTAGTCGCCATATTAGAAAAAACAATTCCATTCGACTTTCAATACTTTCATGCCAATCTCACCGCACTACAAACTGCAACATCGATGCAACAACTGAATAAAATTATTCATCTTCAAATTACATTATAGAGTTACGTTGAAAACCCCCAAACAACTGAGCAGTAGACTAAAGAAGATGCATCGCTATTATCTAGGTCAGTCTGTTCAGTGGTCCGAAAGCAAATCTATAGTACTTGTCCGAATTTTGTTGTTCATTGTACAATCTTTTATTGATTAAACTCGGTATACTGACTATTTAAGCAATGACAAAGAAGAATACTTCCGATGGTGTCATTGTTTTATTTAGCGTAAGGGTGTTAAAACAAAATTGGGTAATTAGTTTGATTTAGAGCTTTCGGGTCACGCAAATAGCTACGCGAAATGCACAGTGGGAAAATATTGACCAATCAAATTTTGTCCTTTTTGAGTGCTTTTGAGTGCATATTTGCGAACGTTCTGATTCAAAGGGCGAACCGCGAAAGGGAGAATTACATCTAGTAGCTGTTTGAACACATCATATTTTTATGATCAGTAATTCAGATGGGCAATTTTCTGAAAACATAAATTATTCAAATCTGTTAAGGACATGGATTGTGTATTTAATCCCATGTGTATTGTTTCAACTGTTTCAGGTTCTAGAAAGATGTCAGGCTATTCTACAGGAAATCCCCACTGGTCTTAGGCAGAAGAGGGTTGGAAGTATCAGTGATAGCCTACACCATATGACTGCCTGCCTCACCTACCATATGGCCAAGGTAAAATGCCAACAATATTATTATGGTCTCATATATTTCAATTCCCCTGTTTTTCATCAACTCTTATCAGATATGTGTCTATGCTTATAGATTGTTTCTGTCCCTTTAAAAGCTTCTAACTAAAAATGTTTTATCTCTTAATTTCATATTTTTTTCTTGCCATATACTGTACATACTTTATTTTATGCTTGTATAGCAGAAAGCAATGTTCCTTTCTATGACTTTCCTATGCCAACTTGTATTTATCTAGGTTATAAGAACATGGGGGCAGCGTAACCTAGCCAACAACCTAAATGATGTTGGACGCAAACTTCTTGCTGTGGATGACAAGGAGAAAAATGCTGAGGGTGACTCTGGGAAAGACCCCTTAGCCACAATAGATCAAACTGAAACAGGATCATTGACTCTCACTGCCTTGAAAAAGAAAGGTGCAAAGAAAGGATTACCTGTAAGTTGGATAATGAATGATGATCATATCAAAAGTTGTAATAAATAACTTCGATTGTGGTTGGGAATTTAGTATACATTTTATAATTGGCCAGTTAGTTTTAAAATTGAATATTAGTTAATGAAAACACAGAATGAAATCTTGTGCTTAGAATAATAATGAATATAAAAACAAAAAGCAGATTTCTCATATTATATTTAATTACCATGTATAGTTTTTCAGGAACCCATACACTATGTAAATACTTTGAAGAATAAGTGCAAAATGTATATTTTAGTAAAAGTCTACGTTTTTTAGTCAAAGTCCAGTTCAGTTCTTTTGGGAATATGCTGAGATATGTTCAGAATGAACCAAAGAGGGTCTAATTATGAAAATTTTCTGGGAGCACGCCTTTCGACCCCCTAGATTGGGCTTCGTGTGGGGTGCGCTCCACGCATGACCCATCCATACCTCAAAGTTGCCCCCTCCCTTGGCAAATCCTTCTGACGTCCCCGTACATGTATGACTTAATTGTTCATGTAAGACTGTTCATTATTCTATAAATCAAATTCATGAATTGATGTTTATCAGGTTGAGAAAGAGAAGGAACCTGATGGTCCTGTGAATGAAGAGCTCAAGGCACTGGAAGCCCATATGCTGAAACTATCAAAGCAAGGTATGTATTTACTTTTAGTGTATACGTCTTACATGAACTAAATTCATCAAATAACACATCTAAGAATTCACTAAATGCTTATGCCACATGATTGTGCATGTTTTATTTCATTTTTATAGCTATTTTACAATTATTCTGTTTTTCTGCTGAATGTTTAATGTCACATTTAATAATTCTCAAAAAGTACATGTATAATGCCTGACAATTTTTATTATGAACGAGTGGCTCATATGTTTCGGGTGAACCCCGGGTGATGAACTCTCTATGTATATGTGCTGCATTATGTCCTTTGCTTTAAGAGCTCACATACACCATTGATACTAATGTATTATCATACTATTCTACGCTTATTCAGTCTTGGAGGAAAACTTTCAGAGTCCCAACCTTGTGGATTATGATCGCTATGGTAACTGCATGGCCATGTTGTCTTGTTTTGTGCAGAATTTTCTCACATCTCTTTAAGAACTTTGATATTTGAAAATATTCAGGAGATGTCTTACCTGATTGTATGTATCGATGCTCCCCAGAATGTGTGTAGTTTGTGTTATATAGGAACAATATTAAATGGGGTGCAGTAGCTATTTATAAGGGTTTGTTATGGTCTGGCTGTTAGAGCAGATTCCCCTATGATGTACTTGTATATTGTAGATTTTGTGTTTGTTTATGTACCTGTATATAAAGCATTTACATGTTTGTAAGATATGTGTTTTTTTTACGCATATAACCCTACTATCACACCAAACTAGTTCTCACTGCGTTCTCAAAAACGGGCTTCAACTGCATACGAACGGACTGGACCTACTAAGAACCGTGTGGGATCTATTTACAAACTTCATCGAACGTACTCGAATGGGTAGGTCCTCTATAACTTAGACAAAGCTCAAAATGTTCTCGTGGTCGTCACATTCTACAATTAGAACGAGTGACAACGTACTAACGGAGAGCTGGACGTACTACGAACGGAACCGTCGTACTTCAATCCTACTAGGGGCGTTTTAACAACGAGTTGAACTGTCGGAGGACGTGTTGAGAACGAGGTAGAACTAATTGCAAACGGGTTTAAACTGATTAAGGACACTGCTTATGAACGAGTTAGCAAAAATATAGCTATCACACCAAACAAGTTGCCACTGCGTTCTTCAAAACTGGTTTTAAACTGTGTGCGTACGGAATGAACGTAGCTGCAACTTTCTAAGGTCTATTTACGAACTTTATGAACGTTCTCAGATGGGAATGTGATTTTAGAATTTTGAATCGATTCAAAATTCGATGACGACCATACCGTTCTGTAATCAGGTCATGTTGACCTTCTAGACTAAGGGACGCGTTCTACGACGTTGCACACCCACGTGGTGCGACCTGAACGAACTGCGAACAAGATGGACGTATTGAAGACTGTTTAAGAATGAAGAAGCTAATTATTTCAGACATATTTCCCGACCACAGCCAGATTGAGCCCGTTTTACGACGTTTTCGTAGGTCTGGCAAGAACGGGTAAGAACTAGTTTGGTGTGATAGGGGGGTAAGCAAATACGTACAGTACTGTATTGTATTTTGCATATTTCCATGTCATAATGTGAATTCGAACATGTTTGAATTGTAATATTGACCTCAGAACAGGGGTAATATCGTTGAATACACCCCTTACGGCTAGGCACAAAAGTTTTCAGTCGTTCGGGGTACAGAAAACGTTTGTGCCTAGCCCTGCAAGGCTAATTCAACAATATGACCCCTGCTTTGAAGTCTATATTTCTTAAATGAACTACATGTCATCTTATCACTAACATACATATAACTACCTGTTTTATTTTCTTCATTGAGTAATGTTCACTTCTATGCATGAACATGTTGATTTTATAAACAATTTACAATGCATTGTATACACCCATCTCCATTTTTTTCAGCCCAAAGTGAACATGCATTGACTGGCAATGAGGACCCAAGTATACTACATGCCTATATAGCCTACTTACCCAGTAGATTGGCCTATAAAGAAAGTAAGTACATAACATATATCTTCTTCAGGAGAAAATGGGATATACAGTTATGTCAGTTATTTATACTTTTCACTTATGAGCTTCATTATACCTGTATGTACAATTGAGGGCTGTTTAATACATACTATGCATGCAATTGCTAAATTGAATCAAGAAAATCAGTGATTGGATATTTACATTGTAAAGTGACAATATTATCCGGTATGTTTTAGTTCTAAAGTTCAAGCGTCGTACCCGCTACCTGGAGTTCTTTGTGCAGGTGATAGAGAAGGCCTTGGCAGAGGGACTGGCTGACTATGCCATTGATTGGTGCCAAGACACATTCAGTTGGCTTAATAAGTAGGTGTACTCACCTCACCATGTGTCTCTATCATCAAACAATACAGTATCAATTAAGAACAGTTCTGTATAGCTGGTTAAGCAGAATTGTTTTAGAAACTGAAGAATACTGCTAACTTGGCACTGTGTTTGATAAACAGTGCTATACAGGCTATTTGAGATTTGCCCAAAAAAATGTCAACAGAATACAATAATTCCACAATGCTTCATTATATGTTATAAACAATGCAAGATATTTATTTGTATTTTGATGTAATTTATACACTGTGCATTTATTTTTGGAGTACAATGTACATTTATTACTAGGGTCTCATAAAAATCTAATTAGAGGTACATTAAAATCTTTATTGTAAATTAACATGTTTTTACCAATTTTAGGCGTAATGAGCAGATTATTGGCAGCAAGGCTGTAGTGAACAAACAACCAGGTGTTATGGCTATAGCAGGTGATGACCCTAAGAAATACGCTGCTGCTATGATGGAGTACAACAAGGAAAAGGTTGGTCCACAGAATGTATTTAGAGGTTATGTCACTATGACGTGAAATATGCCTGAGTTCTCCCAATATAGGCCGACCTTGGGAGGCTCTATATTTGGGCAAGAACGAAGGCATATTTCACGTCATAGTGACATAACTGATGTATTACATGCCTTTGTTCCCATGGTTACTTTGTATCAATGACGTGACGTCATGATATTATCATGGTTATTAAAGAAATCTAATATCAAAACGAGGTAAGCGGGCTATATCGGGGTAATCGGGCAATATCGGTGGATATAGCTCGCTAACTTTCCCATTGACTTCCATACAAATGCTTCGCTAGGTATGTAATACATGATGATACGTTATATTTATCAATTCTTGAGAACAAAAGTGAATCTTTTAATTTAACTTGTAGTTATATTTATTAAAGAATGCTCAATCTGCAAGTATGTGTTTACATCGTATACACACTTGTTAGTTTTATGTTCTACAAAAAGAAAAAAAAATTGCAGTTTTTCTGCAGTGAATGGAAAATTGAAAAAAGAACGTGTTATGGATTATTTAGTGGGGAATGTTCACATTAACTCTCGCTTACTGTAGAATGCTCTCTTCACTTGTTTGTTTTACCATACAGAAGGATAGTCCTCGCACAAAGTATGCTGCTGCACAGAGAGCTGGTACCAAGAAAAAGAAACCACAGAAATACAAGGTAATTCAAAATTTTGAGGAATACTCAATTTTAAAATCCAAATATTTATGTAGAATAAAATCATATTTTCAGAAGTATTTTTGTCAACAGTATATTTCAATAGGGTTGCATGATAACCCCTCATTTTTGTTTGATAGGATCCCATGGAAAATGTAAGATTTTTAATCAAGTGAACAGATAAGTACTGTACATGTATAAACAAGTAGGCTAGTGCACAGAATTGTCATATTTTTGCACAAAACAAAATTCACTCAGTTTTAGGACATAGTTTCACTTCAACACACACTAGTATTAATGAATTAGTTTCAGCACATTTCCATGTATTTTTGGCTGCATTTTCCAACTTGCTTTCACCAGCATCATGCTTATGTTCCACTACATTGCAGCTATTGCATTCCAACTCCAACATGACAGAGCAGCAGAAAGAACAGCAAGAACAATTAGAGTTGAAAGTGAGTCACACACAATGCTTTTACACCTGGGCCATGTATCAATTATAATGTGGTATCGTTATGTCACCACCACAAGTGGTTACATCTTGTTGTAGTCTCAAACTTTTTGTGGGTGGGGTTCAATGGTTGGTGTTTGATAGTTTATGATCTGATTGTGTTTGGTGGTCATTGTCTGTAACAAATGGCAAGTGGTGACATTTTACATGTTAATACCTTGTTATAGTCTTGCATCAAGTCTGAACCTCTATCTTATCATCTTTACTTCTGGAGATGATGTGTGGAGTTGGGTACCTAAATATAAGGGCTTGAAGCGAGACTAAATTTGATTGCCAAATTCAACATTAAGGAGGGAGGGAAACCAAGGCTTAGATATGGAATGAACATTGAAATTAAGTGTGCTATAATTGTGAACCAAACACCAGTATTATGAATTCAACATCATGTTTCGCTAATAACAGTTATGTTTTATCTTTTTTGATCCAACTCATTCCATTGAAGTCCTTCCCTTTCATACAAGAGCCGCAGAAATCCTAAGCATCATAGGATAAAATTTCTCTTTTAAATCTATTTTTTATTTGTTTACTATAGTTGTCTGATAATATTAATAAGGGTGGGCACTTGATACCCGTAGGAAGATATTTCAGTGCATTTATCATAGTATTCATTGAAAGTAAAAACTATAAAAAATATACAATACATTGGTGTTAAAGTTGTATTTCTCACCATGGAACAGTACATTCATTTGGGTGAAACTATTTAACATTCTAGGCTATTGAAGTACTGGCTCGACTCCTCCCAGAGCTGTATAGAGGCATTCAGAGGAAGTGCAAACTGCGTAAGGTCTGTGTGGAGGAATTGCCCTGGAGATGCCAGCTGAACATATTGCTGGGTTTGAGCCATTTTGGTGTCTTTTTGCAAAAGTTGGAGGTTCGTGAGAAGGTGATTGGGAACTCTGCAAATAGTACATACAGGTGTGTTGAAATTTCATAGTTGTTCTGCATAACTTCAGGCCTAGCGCCTGTAGCTAGCTTTGCCAAGAGGGGGTTCAGTTTTCAAAAATTCTAGGGTGGTTCACATTTGACAACTTTGGCCCAAAATCACTTGAAAAGTGATTGAAAAAATTGCATGATTTTGAAAGAATTTCTGGATAAGGGGACTTTGCTCAAACCCCCGGCTAGGGGTCTGAACTTTGAAAATAATCTTTTAGTAGATATAAAGTACAGTTTACAGTTATGCATCCATCCCCTTACAGCATATAATTTTCTTATTCTATAAATGATACATTCTGCATACAGGACTACATTTTTGGACCAAGAATGGTTCACATTTGAGAATGCAGGGACCCTTGTTGTGGGCTGGGAGGGTGGTCCTCCACGCCTGGCCACCAGGGATGGGTATCCCAGCGACCACAGAGGAAAGGGGAGCCAGGATAGACCAAAGACAGGCATTGAGATTGCAGCTGCTGCTGCAACAGGTCAGTTATTGTGTTGTATCTTGTACCAGGTGACATGTTCTCTAGTGGGCTTCATACATTAAGTATTAATTCTTTAAAGTCAGACTAAGAGTTAGCCTTGCCCAAGTCGGTCTCTTTTACTTATCTACCCTTCTTGAAATAGCCTTGTCTTATATATTGTGTAGCAATATACAGACCCATACAAACATTCAAGTTGTATGCATATCTTCAAGTACAGTACCCCTTATGTACATACTGGTAGGTACAATTCAGAAATGTTAGATAATTTACTTTAAAAAGCCTCTTTTTAATATTGCACATATATGTTTTTGGAGATACAATTGTAAAAACTCTTCTATCCTGTATATTCCCTAGTATAGACTAAGTCATTTACTTTTAAGATCTAGGCCTACAGTTTGTATAATAGCTCATCAAGTTGAATGTTCTGTTGTTAAAGGTCACCCCCCTCCTCCAATGTTTGCTATCCCAGAGGAGGAAGAAGACACCCCCAGGACATACCGATCTGACCGTGGGGACAGTAAGGTGCCTAATGAGGTACCAAAAGAGCTGGTGACCACCAGGGAAACTATTGAGGCCCTTACAAAGACCTTTGACTTTTTCAGAAGAGCTGTGGTATGTAGACTCATAAAGAAAACTGTTTATTTAGGTGCCTACATCCATGCATTAACATGAGCTGAAATTGTACAATTTCTCCCTCAATCATGGATCCAGCAAAACCTCTTTTGTTGAGGGACACCTGTAACACAACTGGCGATTGGGTCCCTCGTGTATGATTGGAACATGAATTAATGGCAATAAAAACTGTTAATAGTCTCTTTCATAGAACATAAAATCTTGAATCCATGCAAAACCTTCTTGCAGGCTTACATACATCCATACATTAACATTGGATTATTTGTGCCTCAATCATGTATACATGCAAAACCTTCTTCCTGTAGGTTCTCTCTCACAGAGGCCAACATTGGACATTGCTACAGAATGCATGTAGGTCTCTGTGGAATGTGGTCCATACAGCTCTGCTGCGTGCCTTCTCAGACACATCTAACGCTAACCTGATCACAGTGGAGGAACTGAGGGAACTTGTATGGTTGCCATGCTACACAGCAGCAGATTGCCTGCTTGATTGCCTCTATGAACTGCAGATTGACATCACTAAACAAGCTGCAAAGGTAACACATAGTTTTATTTTTAATAAGCTTTATTTCTTTTTAGTGGATTTGAGCAGAAATAGCCTAGCTAGTAACAATCACCCACTGTCCATATGTCTTTCAGTCTGTCAGTTATTCCTTTTTTTTATTGTATCACCAGAAGTTGTGACATATTTTAATAGTCTCCAACTTTTTTGTGAACATTGTTCAGTGGCCGGCTGCCGGCGTCCTTAACAAATGGCAGGTAGTGACATTTTGCATGTTAATGCCTTGTTATTAGTTTGTTATTACTGTTGAATATCCTGATGATAAAAGAAACATTTTTTATTTCATTTGTAATTTTATCTCCACAGAATTTATAGTTAGATCATACGTATTAAAATGACTTGTGAAATGTGAATTGACTGTATGTGTATTTGCTAGTAATTGTATGAAATATAAAACGTTGGAACATATATTTCCAGAACAAGAATGGAGAGAGGCCAGTTGTTGCTGACACCTGGTCAGGTGACATAACAACAGAGAAAGGTGGCGCTAGTTTGAAATTTGAAGACCCCTTGGATGATATAAGTCTGGTTGATACACGCTGGGTGCGTAGAATCACCCTGAGAGTCATAGAGATGCTGTATTATGAGAAGAAATGGGAACACTTGGTAGATTTGGCATTTAGGTTCAATGCACTTACTAGGTAAGCTTAAAGTTTGAATATATACAGTTAGACTTTGGATAGTGTGACTGTCTGTAGATCAGTCTTCATTGGAAGCGTTAATGAGTATTCAAACATGTATATAAATCAGTGAACTTTACTTAGATGTCATTTTCACAATTTTCAAATTCATAATAATGTTCTATACTTTGCAGTTTGCCAAGGATTAATTCAAAAATATTTGTCTTTTGCTCTCAATTTGTAATTTTCCACATAATCCGCAATTTGAAGTTCAGAGTTCAAAACACTGTAACATACTCATAGTTTATTTTATTTTGATTTAAATATACAAGTATTTTACATTTTAAATTTCTTTTCCATCAGTGACCGTTATGTTGAGCAAGTGAACCCATTGGTAATCAAGGCCCAGAGAGAGTTACTGGTGAGAGTGAGCCAGGAAGGAGGCCATGTGCCACCACAGCCTCACTTTGTTGTATGTATACACATTTATAGATGTATTGATATGTTATACTAGGCTTTATCCCAGAAGCACTCGTTGCCATAAGTCGCGCCCTCAAAACCCGGGTTTGCCGCCATCCAAACCCGCCTTTGCAAAAAACGAACAGTGCATTATTTGACTCGTTCGTGTTATTTTCGATACTTTTCAAACCAGAATTTTCATTGTTTTTATTAGAAGGGTTCCTCGTAATTAACTCTTAACTATGGATATGTTGACTTAACTACAATGGACTTTTAACGAGATGTTTTGCGCATAGGATTATAAAGTGTCTTGTATGATGCGCCCTCAAAACCCGGGTTTGCCGTCATCCAAATCCGCCTTTGCAAAAATGTGAACGGTTCATAATTAGAGTCATTCGTGCTATTTTCGGGAGTTTTCAAACCTGGATTTAATTGCTTTTATTAGTGAAGATCCTTGTTATCAATTGTAATATTGTAAGATTTTGGCCCAGACTGACACAACAGAAATTGTCAACACTGGAGGATGGTAATAGCTCGTAATTGTATTTAAATCAAATATTATCCATATTTATGAATAAAAATAGTATGTCAAGTTGCTCATCTCTACTGGTCAATTTTTCTTGCTTTAGTAGCCATTGACCTGATACATTATCTTTGTCAAAATAGAGAACGAACGAATATAAGGGGTCTTCTAGCTTTGCACATTTTAGACCAATCATAATACATAACTTTTTCTAATATGTTTAACGTCTTGGTAGATAAAAATAACACGTATAAAATTCTAATAAAACAAACTTTTATATTTCGTGGCCTCATTAAACACTTATTTCGTTTGGAATGGCCTTAAACCCTGGTCCGCGAAACACACATTTAAATAAAGGGATTGGCGCACCCGGGTCTGACTGTAAACCTCCTGTTCACTGTCGTATGAATTATGAATGTAGTTTCGCACAGTTGTCAACGGAAACAAACAGTGAACCCTGCTTTCCCGAACCCGGGTTTCCAGGATTCGCCTAGCATGCCTTCGACTCTTTCTCCTTTATCCTGAGAAAATATCTTTATCTTTTTATATTAACTGGGAAACTACATTTAAGTTCACTCAGTCACACTTGATTTTTGTTCAATGATTTATTTTCAAAAATAGCTTGTATGTATTTCAGTTCACAAAAATTAGATATAACCTACACAAAATATACAGTGCCAAATATTGAAGAATCCTCAGAAGAAATATAAAAGTTGGTTTATGCATGGGCTATCATGACGTATCATATTTAAAACCAAAACTTGTCATGAATTTGAATCAGCGGAGAATTTAAACAGGAATAAAGGGCAGACATCCATTTTGCTCTTAAATCAATGGAACTACTTGGAACACGAAAGAAATTCATTCATTTTAAACACAAATTGTGTTGACAAGACTGGATTGGTTTATAATCGTTAAGGCTAGAACTAAATGAACACATTAACATTAATATTACTTTACAGAGTGCTGAGCGTGAGCTTGGAGAGAAGATCAGCGCTAAGGAGTATCTTGGGCTACAGCTAACAGTTGATGTGTCAGCTGAAAACTTACCAGCCATTGATGCTGGGGCTCATATAGACCCTGATGGTCATGATATATACTCAGGTAAAATAATGATATTTTATATGATACATTACATTATTTAACTTTTTTAACTTTAGAAACCATTTTATGCCAACCAATTTTTAAACTTTTTCCTATCTCTACATTTTTATTGTTTTATCATGCTTATTTTTATTTTTAAATAAATAATATTATTATTTTGTAGATAAACACATTTATATTCATCTCATTGATTTATTACATAGTTTATCATTACATTAGATTTAAACCATATGAAAAATGCTATATTTTATCATGCTAGGTGGCAAAATAAAACGTGGTAAGTATTTTGGGATAAGGATTCTGCCACACTGCTTCACTGTTGTAAATGCAAAATAATATTACAAGGCTCTATACACAGCTATTTTTCTATAGAATATTCTAGATGTCTTATATGATCAACAGGGCTTAAACATTTTTATGGAAAATACTTTTATTAATGTTTTTGTTATGCTAGTATGACCAGGCTTCCTGCCTTATATAGCCACGGTTACACAAAAAGCTTTTTATTAGAATTAGATGTACTTAAGAATCATGGATACACAAATAACTGTCATATATTGTACATTTATGTATAGATACTATGTAGATTTAGATGGTTCTTTGCTAGTGCTGCTAAAATAACATACACTATAAGCTAATTAATCTATTGTATAATCATCTTATTTGTCTATTATGCCCATTAGACTAGTTGGACTCTCATGGTCAATAAAGAATAAATTGCTTGTCATTTGTATCTTGTGAAATTCATATATTAATTTGTTTATTTTTATTCAGCTTGATATGAATATATTGATAGATCTTGAGGAAAACATTCCTGGGCTGTAGTTTAGATGTGCACATGGCTTTATTTTTAATCTAGATGTACATGTGAATATTATTTACATTTGGTTTTAGGTTTTTGTATTTTAAGTTCTGCAAAGCTGCAGACATATGTATGTTGTATGTTAGTTCTATATGGAAGTAAATCATTAATGAAAAATAAAAAAGGGATAAGGAAACATTTTTAAAATCATATACACTATTTGGAGAGCACCAATAGTTTTTTGAAGATTGAAAAGTAGAAAAGGGGAGGGAGTGAACAACAGCATCCTCCGATCAAAGGACTTCAAAATCCAGAATATATTCTTTCTTTTTACTCCCTGCGATAAGCAGTTAGCATTTCCATGATTAAGAACTCGCAATTTGATTGGCTGTCACAACACTGCGACAGAAATCATGTGTAAGTCACTGTGCATAATTAGATCACATGATTCAGTTTTATCTGGCGCTTCCAAATTGGTTATAGCAGAGGGAAGAAGGAGGTACGGATTCTGGATACCTGCTTAGGAGGATGGAACAATTTAGGCATAATGTGGGAAGCATCTGCCTCACCAAAATTTCAGGACAATATCTACTCTGACAATTTTTCAGTTGAAACTATGAAAAAGAAGTCAATAATATGTTTATATCTCATTTGACTCAAAGCCTCACTGAAAAAAATTTGCCTCACTGATTTAAATTTGCCTCGCTTATTTTCAAATCCTAGCTATGCCACTCAACAATATCATCCCAGAGAATCACTCTACAAATCGGATCTATGTTTGAATTACAAATACATTTACAATGTACATGTATTTCAACAGAAAACCATGTCACATCCCAGAAACCATCCTTAAAATAAAACATATTAGACAATCTATCCAATTTACTCTGCATAGAGATATAGAAATATCAAAACTAAAAAGGGAAAGCGACTTAGTAACTTATATCTCTGTATTAAGGTGGTGTCCATGCTCTGCGTAACATCATGGTTCCCTTAGATGTGAACTACACCCTCCAGGCACTGAGGACAGCACTAGATACCTCACAGTACAACTCTAGAGCCCTGCAGCACTCAAGGAAGCTACTCATGCTGTACCTATCTGGACGACAAAACAGTCAGTTCTTTTCATTTATGTTCATTTAAGGATTGCGAAAGATATTTAGGTTCCATTTGAATTGTGTTTTGGGGACAGCTGTTTGGGGAGAGGTAGAAAGCCTACATAAACAAAAAGTGGGAAGAAAATTTTATACTTTGGAAAGTAGTTTTGAAAAATATTTTGACAGTTTATCACACAGACTTTTATAATGCATGTAAATGTATCCTGTGGTTCCCTTGAAGAAATACCTTGATACATAACACTTTTCATACATTTTTTTCTTTTCAAGCTTACCTAGTTTCACATTCATCTTTTGTACAATTGCCATAATATTTTTCAGCTTCAGATGGAATTAGTCGAGGTCCATCGAGGGTTGAGTTTAGGGCCAACACTGCCCACCCCCAACCCATCATGCCTCCAGACCTGCGCAAACAGGAGTTCCACTCAGTTGATGACATACAGACTTCCCCCATGCCTGCCTCCCAAGTTGGAGTTGTTATCTCGTCATACAATAAATCAATTGGTTAGTGACACATATAGTATATTAAATATTTTGGGATATACACTGCATAAGTATTGCCCATGACCCATGTCCTAGAGGGCCCATATGCTATATTACGAGATAATGAAAATGTTACTCTCCCCACTATCATTGAAATATCCAACACATCAAAGTAACAAATTGAGAAACACAATGATCAACCAAAACTTCATTTTAATCATGAGTTGCTGTAAGTCTAGATTTTATTCAATGAGTGTGTCTTTAATCAGATAAATTGACAGTAATATGTGTATTTTCAGAGATGCTGACAGCCAAGAACCAGAAGGGTCTGAGCAGTCAGGCTCTACATGAACTAGGCAATCTGCAGTACCACATAGGCAATGTGAAGTAAGTTCAATACATGGGGCTTAACTCTTCCACTTAGCAAATTCATCTATCTTTCAACATCATTTATGTAGACTGGTAGACAAGAGCTTCCCAAACTATGGAGTGCTTCATTCATATCAGGAAAGCATCGCATTCAAAGTGTATTTTAATGTTTACAGGGCTGCCTACAAGAGTTGGTCGGTTGCTCTGGATGTGATCCTTGGTATAACAGATGCCATTCACACTTGGAGAGGCCACTTCAACACAGATGAGGACATTGCCTCGCAGCTTCTCAACAAATGTGGACTGTGGGGATGTGTACTAGGTGGAGTGTTGGCCTCTAACATATCACAATATGTCATCACTTCTAATCTAGGACTGAGAATGGATTGCTGTTTTCTCTCTGGATTCTTTTTCAAGGTACATTGGTAGATTGGCTATATAATTATGAAGGAGTAGTGTTTACTGCTGTTATGGCCAAATGTTTATCTGCGATCACTTTCCAAATGTCTTATTTGCCCTTAAAATATTGTTCTTTGGTTTGTTTTATTATTAGTAAAAATCCATTTTAATTAATATATTCAGTGTAGGGCTGGCACGGAACGGAATTATTGTCCGAACCGTCCGATTTTGCCTTCGGAAACGGACTTTCGGACCTACCTTCTCATATTCCGATAATTTTCGGAATTTTTATTACCCGTTAAGAACATTCACTTATCATTATAGCGACACGCTAACTCGCTATAGCGAACGAGCTACTATGAAACGAAATCAATAAATACATATAATTATTAAACATTTTTACTTGGTAAAGTTGTTTTATATGTTATGAATGATTGAAATAAATAAAGTATGATTGTTTTATAAATATTCAGTACCTATAAGAAAAGACAATTATTGTAAGAAAGACAATATACAATAAGTAACATTATACAGTAACAGTTGTATGCCAAGGTGCCAAGAAGGCAAGGACATTAACATTTTGCCATTAGTTTTGAACATTTATGCCACTTGTTCTGGCAGTTAGGTAGTGTTAAGAAGTGTTTGTATTTAATAAACATAACACAACTTATGTATATATAGTTGTACACTGCTGTTCCAATGGTAACAAAAATGAGAACTTAAGGGGAGAAGTAGGAACTATTTTAAATAAGGTCCGAAATTCCGAAAGTTCCGAGTTCCGAATTCCGTTCCAATTCCGTTCCGTTCTGTGCCAGCCCTAATTCAGTGGATGTACATATTCATTTGAAATATTATGAACATTTAATTTTAGAAACATATAATGATTTATTCCCGATTTATTACTTGCATCCTCAATTAGGAGTGTGCAAAAGGTCTGTGAAAGACCAATGAGGTCGTAATCATCAACAAAGTGACTCTATATTCTAGGCGCTATTTAGATCATCTCTGCCCCACCCCCGTGCAGATCGTGACTATGCCTTGTATGACATAGGGGAGGGCTGTGAGGTGACAAATCTTGTCCCTGGGGTGGATCTGCTCTCAGACAGGTTCAGAGTTGATGGCAGGACCCTCGTCTCTGCTTTACGCTGGGTCACTGAGGAACTTGCTCGTGGCAAGCACAATCTTTTTGTAAGTACTGGAGTATACTGACCATATATTAGAATTAACATCTTGGTTAATATTTTGGCAGAGTTTGATATTGAAAACATGGTTCAAAAGGGAAATTGTTGAACTGACATTTTAAAAACAATTGGATGCATTTTTTCTGTTTATTGAAAATCTATTGAATTATGACGGAATAAATTACATGTTACATGATAATATTATTATAATGAAATGTTATGTTTAAATACTGTGCTGTATATTATAGGTATTGCCATTGTTGACTCTCTACAACTACTTTACAACATTTGTATGCAGAGACATACAGCGTGCTGTAGATGGTAGGATCTTAAGGGTCCGTACACTGACTGATCTCTGTCTTTTTTCTGAGGCCTTCATTACTCTTCAGAGGTAATTACACATTGAACTTTAATATATACAAAATTTCATCAATTGCATCTGATCAGTTAAAATATTGCATAAGATCAACCATGAATGACACAGTTAAACATTACACATGTATTGCCTTTCATAAAAATAAATCAACTGTCTCAAAATGAATAAATCAAATTAACAAAAAAGATGAAAACTTAAACAAACCGTCTCTATGATAGTGTCATCAGCATAACTCAGTGTTCACAGTTGCAGTTTACTATATTTACACACCTCTTGTTTGTAGATTTTGTACTTGCTTGTCTTGGGAAGATCTCTTCTAAATATGCCTGTTGTTTTCTAGACTTTTGTATGGAGAGCGTCTTCCCCACACAGCTGACAGTAACTTCAGGCAGGTGGAGTCGAAGATGCCATCAACAAAATTCAACACTTCTAAGCCAATCATGGATGTTGCAAATCTCAAGGTACATGTATTTCTTATCATATTTATTATATTATTGCTTTTTAAAATATTTTCAGAAAATCACAATACTGTACACACATCAACAATTTTCAACCAAACATCAAAGAAAATCAAATTAGGTTGCACCATGCAGTAATAGATCATATGAATATGAACAAGATGCTTTACAAATCTGTATGCTGCATCACATCTCAATAACCCAGATGCGAGTAGAAATAATCTTAATTTACGTCATTCAAAATTCAAAATTCAGTCAATACTCAAGGGGCGAGGAGGAAAATTCTCAATAAATGGTGTATAGTAGGTTTGGCAGCATTTTCAGTTAGGGGAGAGTCTTGGATGAAACTTCCACCTAGGTGATAGCTTCACAGAGTGGTAGGAAGTTCTTTTTTTTGAGGAGTTGGCCCCCCACCCCCCTAAAACGACCCACCCGGGGAAAATAATTGTTCACAGTAAATAGCCTTAGATATTTTGATGTTTGTAAGTGACATACATAGATATTATATATATGAATCATTTGCAGTATAACTGATGCTGATTGCTCCTAAGGAAATTGAATATTAGTACAAAGTGTGTACCCCAGGGGGCAAATTCGTGACTCATTTTCTTACTATTTTGATCCTAACTTTTCAATTAGACACTGTAAGAGGTTGAAAAAATTCATGTGAAGTGCCCAATAGCAGGGTTAGTAAACCTGAAAGATGCAAAGCCATTGAAAAGGTAGGAGCTGAGAAACAAATTGTTGATTTTTCGAAAAATTTGACATTTTTGACAGTTGGATTTTGTGTATGACTATAGCTGACCCCTATAGTTTCTAGATCCATCCCTCTATAATAATATTTATGGTTTTATAGTGTGGAACTAAGATGTAAAACATAATTTAGATGGGTTTTAAGGAAGTTAAAGGTTTTAAACAAGTCCAAAATTTGAAAAATTGTAAATATAAGGTTTCAAATTTACATATTCCAGGTATAGCCATGGCTGACCCCTATAGTTTCTAGATCCATTCCTCTATGATGATATTTATGGTTTTGCCATGTGGAACTAATATGTAAAACACAATTTAGATAGGTTTTTAGAAAGTTTAAGGTTTTAAACAAGTCCAAAATTTGAAAAATTGTGAATATAAGGTTTTAAATTTACGAATTTCAGGTATAGCCACGGCTGACCCTAATGGTTTTTTCATCCATACCTCTATGATTAAAAATACAGTTTTAGAGTGTGGGACTAAGATTTAACATATCCAAAATGAATTTTAAGGAAGTTTAAGGTTTTAAACAAGTCCAAAATTTGAAGAATTGTAAATGTTAGGTTTCAAATTTATGAGTTTCAGGTATAGCCAAAGATGACCCTTATGGTTTTTACATCTATACCTCAGGGATGAAATTATTATTAGAGTATTTAACTAAAATGTAAAAGATACCTAAGATGAGTTTGAAGGAAGTTCAAGGTTTTAAACAAGTGCAAAATTTGAAAAATTGATCTCAAAATTGGTCTCAAATTCACGTTATTCAGGTACAGCCTTGAATGAGCCCTGATAATTGAAGGTTATGAGCATAATAGTATCAACTATGATTTCATAACTTAGAGACCAGGTGTAGAATATATTCCTGTTGCAGCAGTTAGTCTGCTGCATATAGATGGAGTGAAAAGTCGTGAACTACAGTAAAATCTCTCTAATCTGAATGCTACTGGTATTTGAACCAGCTAAAAGCATTCTAATTAGGAGTGTTTGAATTTTGAGGTTTTTACATCTACAATACAAGTTCTTGATTTTGAAGAAATATGGATGCATTCTCAATGAAAAATATTAATAATATTTATACTGACCACATAAAAAGCTTAATAGCATTCCAAAATCCAATTCAAAAGTTTTGATATCATAACAATTCAGTGTTAAACTGACAATATTTGAGCAATTTTGTAAGAAATGTGTGATATTTGGTAAAAAGAGTTCAAGTTAGACAGGTTAATTTTTCAAATATGAGTGTTCACTGTTCGGAGTAACATTCAGATTTCAATTTTTTAAACATAGGAGTCAACGGGAGAAAAATTTGACTGGGAAAAGTGTTCAGATTGGTGGGTGTTCAGATTAGTCAGGTGTTGGGATGATTGGTAGGTATTCACAATAGTCAGATTTTGGGATATACAGGTTTCACTGATGATATATCATTTATACAAGATGATGAACTAGAACTACTGTACTACGATAATTTTTACCACAATGTTAATACTATGTCAGGAAAATAAAGCACCCATGACACTTTGCTTGTACAAATCAACAACACTTTAAGATTTGATAAAGGTGTCTACCAAATGAGTAATCCACATAAATTCAAATACAAACACTTGGCATGATATTCCCTATGATGCTATTTATAAATTTTTAGTCAATGTTATTGATCAGCTTATTGGTTTCATTACTTTCTCTAGAATCTAAAATTGACCTTGGGTTTATGAGAGTAGTAAATTGGAATGCAGTTATATGAAGTATTGAATTGGCTGGAATTGGACACACGTTGCCTACCTATGTGTGAGTAAACTATGATCTCATATGGATACAAACAGTTCGTTCAGAACTTAAAAAGGGGTTTGAAATGGAGATCGATGAAACCATACCACAAATTGATAAAACTTTCATGATCGGTGCAATGGCTATGACAAAAGGAAAATTAAGATTAACTTATATGTTGAAATTTGGAGAGTTTTTGAAAGCTATACTTGACTACTCCATCAGATCTAGTAAGGGAGTCCAAAGAATAGATTTCATATTAGACTCCTAGTAGTCTCAATCAGTAAAGGATTCTGAAAGAATGCGAATTTTCAAAGATTACAAAGAAATTTAATAAAGCAGCATTCTAAAAGTGTGCCAAATGTCAAGATTGTTTTAAGTGGAACTATTGGGGAGAACTCAAATATCTGTGAAAATGATAACTGAAATCCCCTGTTAAATTCCACTCTTGAAGAGGCTGATTTTAAACTTATTCACTCTGTTTTACATTCAGCAGGAAAACATGTGGGACTGCAGTAATTTGCATCAAATGACACTGATTTTCTAATTTTATGACTATCATTTCAATAAATGTAAAAAATTCTTCAACTGCTAGAAAATGTCATCTGCAAAGTCAGTATGTAAACATTATCTACAATCTCTGTTTGTTTGAAACATATTGATCATATATATCACCATATATACTTTTTTGATCTACATGAAGATTTTAGTGTGACAAGACACTTTTATCCTGGAGTTCCTAATCTCATTGCACTAACAGGAGTTTCTAGGCCCAGCGGGGTATGATCCTTATAATCCTTATAATCCTTATTTTCCCAAATAATTACTGTTGCCTGATGACAAGTTGTTTTATTCTGAGTGTAGTGATTATAATTTGATAATTTATAATAATATTTTGTATTAGGAGATGATCATTGCTTAATTACAGTATGGGCTTAACAAAATATTGAGAAATCATGTTTCTTTTAATTAACCATGTCTTTATGTATTTTGACAATGTAGAACATTACATCGAACATGTTGATATGAAAAAGTAAAAATGCTATATCACATAATAAATATCATCAAATTATAATTAATTAGTTATAATCCATTTAATCAATCAATTACTACACTGTATACGATATCCCTAAGAGCAGTTACACTTTAGGGGGCGGGTTGGGATTTATTAACCTCTCACCCCTTAGGAACTCTAGGGTAAGGTCCTCAACTCTAATGATTTTTCTTTTAACAATACTTGCAACATGGATCAAACCTGACCACAATATTTTCAACATCTAATTTCTAAGCTAAAAAGTCATACATTCAAAAAGAGAGACATCCAAGCAATACCTGAAATCGTAAAGGAGGACGGAAAGTATCGCAGCAGATTTATGACAGTCACATGTTGGATTTTTGCTATTTTCTGAGGATTTGAGGAGGTGCATATGTTAGGCCAATGTATTTCCTCCAGGAAAAGCACTCATAGATGATAAAATAATTTCTATTTGAGACAGGGTACAAACAACCCACCCACATGCATCAATATGTTGTGTTTTGACACACAGTTAACCTCTTTAAAGAAATAATGCATTCCATCAGGGGTTTAAAAGATATCAAATATGGGTGACCAAAATTAAGCTGAAAGTAATGGAGCACATGAGTTTTCCCTATGGGAAAATAACAGGAAAATATTGTTTTCTGCTTTATCTAAAAGAAATTTATTATTCCTTTTTATGGGTTAACTATGTCTCAAAACGCAACATATTGATGCAACAAAATTGAAAAAGCAGGGGGTAAAAGGGCTTGAAAATCAGAACAACATTTCCGAAAAAACATGTGGCTGGATTGTTTGCACCTTCGCTGTCTCAAAGTCCAAACTATTTTATCTTTCTTTTCCCGTAGGTAATGCAATGGCCTATCATATGCACCTGCTTAAATCCTCAGGAAACAGACAAAATCTAACATATGACTGTCTGAAATATGTTGCGATACTTTCCGTGCTCCTTTGAGACCTGATATTTCTAAATTTTTCAAACATTGCACTTGTTAAAATTCTTAAACTTCCTTAAAATTCAGCTTCGGTATGTTTTACTTCTTAGTTTCACACTCTAAAAATATAAGTTTCATCATAGAGGTAGGGATGATTTTGGACTTGTTTAAAATCTTTAACTTCCTCAAAACCCATCTAAATTATGTTCTACATCTTTAGTTCCATACTACAAAACCATAAATATCACCAAAGAGGGATGGATTTAGAAACTATAGGGGTCAGCCATGGCTATACCTGGAATTCGTAAATTTGAAACCTTATATTTACAATTTTTCAAATTTTGGACTTGTTTAAAATCTTTAACTTCCTTAAAACCCATCTAAATTATGTTTTACATCTAAGTTCCACACTATAAAACCATAAATATCATCAGAGAGGGATGGATCTAGAAACTATAGGGGTCAGCCATGGCTATACCTGGAATTCGTAAATTTGAAACCTTATATTTACAATTTTTCAAATTTTGGACTTGTTTAAAACCTTTAACTTCCTTAAAACCCATCTAAATTATGTTTTACATCTTAGTTCCGCACTATAAAACCATAAATATCATCATAGAGGGATGGATCTAGAAACTATAGGGGTCAGTCATGGCTATACCTGGAATTCGTAAATTTGAATCCTTATATTTACAATTTTTCAAATTTTGGACTTGTTTAAAACCTTTAACTTCCTTAAAACCCATCTAAATTATGTTTTACATCTTAGTTTCACACTATAAAACCATAAATATCATTATAGAGGGATGGATCTAGAAATTATAAGGGTCAGCTATAGTCATACACAAAATCCAGCTGTCAAAAATGTCAAATTTTTCGAAAAATCAACAATTTTTTTCTCAGCTCCTACCTCTTCCATGGCTTTGCATCTTTCAGGGCTACTAATCCTGCTATTGGGCACTTCACATGATTTTTTCCAACCTCTTACAGTGTCTAATTGAAAAGTTAGAATCAAAATAGTAAGAAAATGAGTCACGAATTTGCCCCCTGGGGTACATACTTTGTACTAATTTTCAAATTCTTTAGGAGTTATCAGCATCAATTATACTGCAAGTGATTCATATATATAATATCTATGTATGTCACTTACAAACATCAAAATATCTAAGGTTATTTAGTGTGAACAATTTTTTCCCCAGGGTGGGGTGTTTTTGGGGGGTGGGGGGCTAACTCCTCAAAAAAAGAACTTCCTACCACTCTGTGAAGCTATCACCTAGGTGGAAATTTCATCCAAGACTCTCCCCTAACTGAAAATGCTGCCAAACCAACTATACACCATTTATTGAGAATTTTCCTCCCCGCCCCTAGAGTACAAAGTAATATCATATTTGAAATCTACATGTAAAATAACATCTAGAAATGTGGTTTTAAAAAGTGTTTATCAACTATGAAAAATTAATTTTCTTTGAAAATGTGACTTCTAGCTCGGTGAGATTCCCCATAGACCCCATGCTATAAAATCACAAAAAATGAAATATCTTTTCTTTTAGTGGACAGATAATATTTTGCTTCACTGGACATATTTTCATAAGTATAAGTATCAGACACATAAGGGTTATATGAAAATTGAGCCACTTAAATTGATAATATTCAAGTTTAAGGGAACTTTCTTATATACCTGCCATGTTAATTGACCCGAATCAGCCACCTGGTGGTGAAATTGGTAACTACTTACTCGCATTTGGGTAATTGATTATTGTGAAGAGTACATATATTATAACTGTTTGTGATAAATGTAGGAAAGTAAACTATGAATTCAAAAAAAGTTAAAAAACATTTACATTATTTTGTAGAACTTGTTTCAAGTTTCAATAAGATATATTACTTTAAATTAGTTTTTTATCTGAGAAAAAAACTTTTTCATTAATTTTTAGGTTTTGGAAAATGTGATAGAGAAGCGTCTATCATCAAACTTGAGCACCTTATATGGTCCTCACCTGACCTGTCACCTATCTTTAGTTCACGCCCACTTGCTGGTTGCCCTATCAAACACAATGCCTGTTCTGCCGCACTTTGAACACCTCATGTAAGTATTTGGTTAAATCCACCTACACAAGATTTGAAGTATAAAACATAACATAACAAAGGGGGGGGGGGTAAGCCAGGCACCTCATGCATGACAAAGTAAGTAATTGTGTGTATGGTACCTTACTTCTTGGAAATGATCCTCTATGTTTATTGTTTGTAATGTTTGGTTTTTATTTCAGGGGTCCTGAGGGTCCTAGAGTCCCCCACACTCTGCCTTCTATGTCTAAAGGAGGTGGTAAAGGTCCCAAGATGTCAGGATCCTCCAGCATGACTGGCCAATCTTCACGCACTGACAACTATGGAGGTAGGGGTTTCTATCAGATGACTTTAATTGTGTCAACCAATCAATCTGAGCTATCGGCAATTTTATTCAGGCTATCAGCCAATCAGATTCAGGCTATTAGTCTATCAGAGTAAACACAGCAGGTTGTAGGGAACCATTTTATGAAATCAGAATATATCAAAATTCACAATGATACAGTAAAAGAATTTGTGAAGACTCGATGAAGACATTTCGCAAGTCTGGTAAAAATAAATTGAGAACAATAAGAACCTGAAAGAGGAACAGTCAAGTTTAATTACATTTTCAATGAGCTAAATTGTTGCAAGAATATGATCAGCAAAAAGTATGTGAACTTGGTAACATATTAGACTAGTATAATATACATCCAAAAGTGAGCACAAGTTCCTTAATTGCATGAATGGTTTCATATTGATTGTCTCATGTAGGGTCCTCTAGCAGTAAGTCATCAAGGCTGACTCACCTGTCCAGGGGAGGTACATATACACACACATTCATGTACATGTTCACAGCATAGGCACTAGGTTGAAAGAAAGATGGCAGTGGAGGTCTATAGAAAGACTTATGCTGCCATCTTTATATCAATCCAGACACTATGGTTCACAGCTGACTGCACTCTCAACTATGTATTTCAATTTTGTCCAATTTTCAGTACTGGCGCCTGGCCGATGAGTATCTTTTTCAAAATTGCATTCAATTTTCAACAAAATACTCACCACCCTGGTGCTGGTGTTGAAGATTGGAGCAAATGTGACCATGGCATAGTTTGAGGATGTTTTGAGTGCTGTATATGTTAATGTATTGTAAACACTATGTTATGAAGGTGTGTCCTATGATTGTTAATGTATCAATGTTTTGTTTCGCCAGATGTTTCCCAAACACCATCTGTAGCTAGTAGCCAAGGGTTTTCACCACCGAACAGAGGTTTGAGACACACATATTCTCTCAATTAGCTCAGCACTTCAGTCCATCCATGTTCATTTGTTTTTGTTGAAGTTGTGTCACTTCTATTAACATCATACAGTACTTGTTGTATTTTACATTTTGAATTTGATAACCATATTGGTATGATTGATTAATATGGCATATTATGTTTTTTAAAAGTTTACTTCATTTGAATTAATCCATTTGTCGTTTGATTGTTGGTTAAAGAAGACATGTGTGATTGATGTTAAGTAACGATAACTGAGAGGGAGTGAGAGAGATTGAAGTATTTTGCCTGCTAATGCACTGGATTACAAGCACATTTCAGCTGTTGTCACAAGATTCATTTTTACCACACTGTGATAACAAGTTGCACATGCATGTTATAACACATGGTTTCAAAATCACCTCAATATTTAATATGGAGTATAAAAGAAACTAACTAATGAATAAATATTTTTATACCTTGTAAATTATTTAAACCAATATTATTGTAAGACATGTTTATAATATGAAACATTGATGTTCAAGTGAAAACAGACTGGGGTCAAGATATACTGTATATGTATATACACATCAGTATCAAGCCCATAGCCTTGTTTTACATTTCACAACTTTGGCCCAAAATCACTTGAAAATTGCTCAGGAAGAATTTTTGCCGGGGGTCTTGAACCTCCCGAACCCTCCTCTGGGTATTGGCCTGAGTATTTTCCTTAACTCCTTAAAGATTTTCCCCAACCAATGGGCTTGTATCTATATTGTAGATGATGATACAGATACAGGTATGAGTGCCTCCCAGGCAACAATGCCATTCACAAGTGGTAAGAAGACTGTTGATCAGGAGTTCATTAAGGGGACTCTACTAGGAGTGGCTGATCAGATGTTAACTGCACTCTCTGAGATCCTCCTGGAGACTGCTGAGTATGATGGCGGAGGTAAGAACATGTACAAGGTGTTTCACTTATAAAGGCTCATTTAACATTAAGTAATTAAAGTTGGTCTTGGGACTCTGAAAAAGTGTTCCACAAACAGAGGAGTTCAATTTCTAGAGGCGTTCCACTGTTTCACTGTAGATAATGAATTCCATCATATACTGTAGTTCTTTGAAAAAATCATCACATTGATCTGTCTCTTTATGCAATGGCATATTCCTGCTTGGTTTCACATTTTTATCTAAATTGATCTAAAATTACAATTTAAATTTAATTTTTGGTTTCTGTCACCTCTGCTTATGAATAGCCTCAACTTCATAAAGCTCATTTCATGTGCATTGAATTATGCTTTTAAGAGGTTTTGTGAAATTCAGTAAAATTTACTTATGATACAGCCCTTGTAAACACTCCCGTTTCCTTTGATTGTTTCAGTTGTTGAAGACCTTACAGCAGCTGAGTTAGAGCTAGTGGTCCTTTGTAAGCAGGAACTGTCCAGCATTGCCACCCAGCGCCACCACTCAGCCATGGCCTCACGATCTGTACTCGCAGCCTTGAAGCTCTTGCAGAGCTCAAGACTCTTCACCAAACAATCAGCATCTCAAGTCAAAATGTAAGCCAGCCAAGGGATCACAATTTTTTGGAGGGCATATTTTTTAGAAATGTTTCCTTTATAAAGAGGACTTCAGTCTTGCATAGTCTTTGGATCTTTGGACTCGACCCCTCTATCTAACTATTCTTCTGTAAGGATGAGGTATTCGTATGGTTTGGAGCAAAGCAAACCAAAATATTTGGTGTAATGCAACACATATTCAGTCTGATACAATATAGTCAGGTGGCTGCTAATCCCTACTAAGAGTGAAAATATTGTATTTCAGGACCTTGGGTGGAGAGCCCTTATTCAAATCTGAGTCTTCTGTACGTATCACCCAATCAGAAAACATCCAGTTTGCCTACCAAAATTTCCAGAGTCGTTCTCGTCTTGACGCACGTCTCTGGCTCGACTGTCGTCTGGCCCTTGTCAAAAGCATGCTGGGAGAGGTGAAAGGCATGGGAGATATAAAAGGTATGATTTCACTTGCAGTCAGTGATATTATATAAGATACATGTCAGATGAATTCAGAAAGTACATAAGAATGTGAAAATGTGAAGAAATGTGAAATGTGAAAAGTGCAAGGAAAGCTTAAAATGACAGTCTTGATTTTGCCAGTTGTTTTGCTTGTTTGAAAAACTAGAGTAGATATAAAACTTTAAAATGTTAATTATACCTAATGTAATGAATTTGGAAATATCAGGGAATGTAAACAAACATAATGAAAATTCTCCAACAGGGCATGACAAGGGAGTTGGCGAGGAGCTGGCTGAGTGTAGGACATATATAGCTGAAGGTATAGCAGAGTCTGAGGGATGTGGGGACGTAGAGATGCAGTGTGAGTTCCTTATGCAAGGTGTTCACTTGGAGATCATGGAAGGCATCAGGGTTGAGCTCATCATTGAGAGCCTACAGGTTAGAATCAGGTTCTAGTTAGCATGCAACATTCTTAGTACAGTTTGAGGCACATATTACATGTTGGTCAAATTAGTATATAGTATATAACATGCTTTGTATAGTACAAGGGACATGATAGACTGTATTCAGAAACATGTTCATCAAATGTAGTCTATTGTTATTGTTAATATGTATAAGGTGCTGATATTCCCTGTGCTTTTTGCTGTTACATTGAAACAGTGAAAATAAAGTCTATTGGAAATGTAATTTTTTCTGTAGTTCAGTAGAGAAGAATGATACAGCTACAAATATAACTTAAAGGACAGCAACTGTATGATCTTATACTTGTATTCTAAGCAAAAAAAATTTGTTTACAAGTTTTACCTTCATTTCTCAGGAAATATTAGAATTGGTCGAAAAGGCGACGAGTCCTGCTCAGTCCACGCAGTTGCTCCATGCTCTTGCACTCGTACATCTAACTGATCTGATTGGTGCATCTGGATTACATGACCCAGACAAGGAAACAACGGAAGTGACATTACCCTCATATGTCAAGGCTCAAATGCTGCTACTTTCTCAGGTGTGTTATAAATTGAAAACAATTTTTGATAGAGTTTCTTTCTATGGTGTCTTGCCTCAGTTCATATTATATGATTAATATTCGAGGGAGTTGCATGGATAGGATGGTAAATTGCTTGAATATAACTTGAAATTATATATTGTAATTTGTCTGTTTGTTGCAGATGGAAGATTTGGGTGAGAAGATAACACATCGCTACCCAGTTGGTGCGAATCTTCACTTCTCTACACCAGAGAGCCCTCTATTGAACGTTTATATCCCTCAGCTGCTCCATCTGGTGGAGGTTAAATTGAGAATTGGCCACGCCATGGCACGTAATGCCACTAGGTCCATCAAACGCAGGTATTGTCTGCTTTAAATGTTATTAGATATTATATCAGCATGGTAGCACATGAATTGAATCATGAACTTTAAGAAACATCTCTTCATTTTCTCTTTTAACAAAAATAAGAACAAAAATAGTACATTTTTATGTACTCTGAGTGGTCTCGAGAAATTATAATTTATGACTTATTAAAATTTCAATATAATCAATTATATGTTGATTGTGCATTATTTGTTTATTTTGCATTATGTGTTGATTGTCCATTAGTTGATTGGTCACTATTTGTTGTTTGTGCATTTGTTGTTGATTATGCACTCAAAGATTGAGTGATAACACACTCTAGCAAAGCTGCATATTTTGTTCTTAATGTATTTTTGTTGTTGCTATTTTTGTTGAAGTTTGTTAAGGTGGGTGTAGTGTTATGACATTTTGACTTGTTTGCATACGTCAGTATGCATATTAAAGGTCCAAGTCATATTACACAATACACTCGACCTGCCCTAATAAGTAATTTGTTTTAGTTGGTTAACCATGTCACGTCATGGCACTCAGATGTCTAACATGGCAGATGATCCTAACAACCAAGGGATGCCAGATGAACGGTAATCAGGAAATATTGATTTTCTTTTTGATTAATTTATTTTTGGTTTTATTATTTTTTGCACAGTTTTGAGATATTTTTATTTGATTAAATTTTCATTTTATGATTTGCCTGCTAAAATGTTGCACTGTTTTTTCAATACTCAGAGATGTAAACAGAGTGTGATGCTACCATCGTGGCTATTCATGAGTCCCCTCTCCCCCTGTTTGGTGCATATTAGTGAGTTATTGGTTTATTTAGGTCTGCTAGGACAGCAGCGGAATTCTGGATGGTGCCACTTGGGGTGCTGATGTCAGGATATGAGCTGAGTCGGGCCAGTGCTACAAGGATAGCATCATTGGAGGCAGAGATACTACTCAATATAGGTACATTCTTAGATAATGAAATCGAACGAATGGAAATCAACATTTAATATTGCCTTGCATTTTCTGTTGAATTTAAAAATGCTTGTACAGTAAAACCCATTTAAGTGGAACACCTTTCCAGTTATAGAGGTTTATTTAAAGGGGCAATAAGGACTGTAGAGAAAATAGGAAAGTTTTTTAATTTTTCTGAGCTATCAAGGCAACATTTGGTTTAACATCTTCTTTGACATACCTATTTTCTTAAAACGTATGGATAAATTATCAATTTCAGCATGAAAAAGTGTAAATTCAGTTCAAAGCTTCAAAAAGGGGACTTCCACTTTTATATTTTTAAGATCCACCATGTTTTAAGAGGAATACCAGCTGAAATAATGTTTATATAGGGGGTTTCTTTATAGATAATAAAAATAGATGTTAGTCTTGATGAAATATCCAAACTTAAATATATTTTGACACTGGCCCATGATCGTTGAATGACCCCTCTGCACTAATTATTGCACCTTTAACATAAAGTCAGTTGACCTTGAATCTCTTATACATGTATTTTTCTACTACACATAAAAGGAGGTGACAAAACTGTGTGGGAGTAATATAAATAAAAGATGTGCCCAAATTCAATTTGTTGTTAATTGATGACTTACATGTACTTTTCTTCATAAGGAAAACTTCAGAGACAGCTTTCCCAGATTGGTCGATTCAACTCCCGCATGGCTGTTAACACCCTGATTGAGGCAATCAAGACAACTTACATAAACGACCATGACCTTGGGTAAGGAATAATCTATAATTCAGTTAGGATTCAGAAGATACAAGGGTTATGTACTGGGAGGTTTTGAATACAGGGTTTATTGCAAGGGAGATACATGTACAGTAAAACCTGTCTAATTTAAATGCCTTTGGGACCGAGCAAAAGCATTTAGATTGGCAGGTGTTCAGATTTCGAATTTTTTGTTGTTGGGGACATATTGTTATGGCTTCCAACTTTTAATGCGACGGCACTTGGCATTCAGAGTTAGGCGTCTTAATGCCTTGTCTATATATTGCTTTACCATTCACCATGTAGTGAGACCGTATAATGAAAATGGAAAGTTTTTTCATCCACTATTCCAATATTGGTTTATGTTTTCAGTATTATTCGTCAAGCTTACTTGGAGATTGCCCTGATTTACCTGGCTAGCAGTGGGGTGGTTAACATGAAGGAAGGAACATTTGTCGAGTCCATGTCTGATTCCGACCATGAGGAGAGTGAGCGTCAACGACGTAAAGGTCGCAAGAAGAAATGGGTGGTAAGTTAATTTGATGCATTCCATTAAAATACAGTTTCGGACTTTAATTCATTCTAATCATTATTTGAGTATATATAATAAGTTTGAGTAAAATATCACGTTTTGAATAATAATCACTGGAGATATTCACGTTTTATTGTGATAATAAGGATTATGTGAAATGTTAACACATTTTGTTTGCAATATATTTTATTTAGTCTAAAGACAAGAAAATGGTGAGAATTGTCTAAAAATATGAGTGGCTTATATTAAAATGTTAGAAAAGCTTCTTTCAACTTATCAACTTTTTGACTTTATATTGTACTGTAGCAATATCTGGTACTGACATATTTCACCATAGCAATATCTGGTACTGACATATTGTGGTGTAGAAATATCTGGTACTGACATATTGTACTGTAGCAATATCTGGGACTGATATATTGTACTGTAGTAAGACATATTGTACTCCTGCGATATCTGGTACCAACATATTGTACCGTTGCAATATCTGGTTCTGACATATTGTACAGTTGTACTCCTGTGATATCTGGTACCGACATATTGTACTGTTGCAATATCTGGTACTGACAATATGACATATATAGAGGATATCCTATGATTTATGAGTGATATGATTTTTATCCACGAATGGATATGATATCTGCACGAGCGAGCGTAGCGAGAGAGTGCAGATATCAATATCCATGAGTGGATTAAAATCATATCACGAGTAAATCATAGGATGTTCTTTTTATTCCATAGTTAAAGTCATCATCAGAATTGTCGGAAATTAAGTCATTTAATTCGAATTTTCCAAACGATCCGGCGATGTTGACACTTAGCCTCGTTTTGAGTCTGAAGTAGCAAAAATCCATTAACCATCGCATACGACGTCGTATGTCATGGCTAAAAAACCGTATGCTATGGTTAAGTGAAAATTTGTCAAAAATATCATATTTTACCACTGATTACAAAAATACCGTTTTTATTTTCACATGTTATCCAATGAATATCATGCTAACTATGGAATAATGTTGCTTATCTGGAACTAAAGAATTGATGTGTGGTTTTGATTGTAGGATTATAGTAGTAGCGTATGTATTTCATCTTGTAGGATGCCTTTATTATTATACATTAAGAGCTTTCCAACCCTTCAGTAATATATCATAGTATATTAGTATTTTCCTTGTTCCATCTCGGTTTTCATACTACTCAGTATTTATATACTCTTCTTGTGCAGTCCTCATACTGCACTGTCCTTCTTTCTTGATGGTGAAGGCCTGATGTTTTAGATTTTCTAAAAAAAAGAAATTCCCAAATACATCACTGATATGCTTATCTCATGATTCTCTGCTTGGTTCTTGCTTTTGCTTTATTTAAGTTCATTATTAGCTAAATAAAAGTATTCAGTTATGAAAGTCAAATTTCATTAGAAACTCTTTATTTTCAGGGGTTGCTCAGAATTGGCAATTTTGTTAAAACTTGCCAATTTGGGATTTAACCCCAAAATTTGTGGAAAAGCACACTTGTCTTGAAATTTTTCTAATTAGAAATTAGGTTCTAGGATTCCTCCCGAGTCAGAGTATAACCCAGAATAGTATATGATTTAATTGAACATCTTTGTCTTTATTAACTAAACACTTTATTTCTAACTTGCTATCAGGAAGATCAATCTACTGAGGAAATTGAGGTAAAACAGTATTGTAATGCTATAGCCTTAATTGTATGTTGTTGTATTATTTTTCAATTGATGTTATACTAGACAAGTATGGCCCCCATTTTATGTTGTTGTTTTTTTTTTATTATAGTTATCACTATTTGGTGTAATAGTATAGAGTTGTTATCATATTATAGCCAAGCTGGACATGATAGTCGTATGTCGTAGAAAAGTTACTTTACAATGCTGTCATCTTTTTGACACAACAATTTTATTGTAGCATTTACTGTTCAATGTTATAGTTAGGCCTTTTACACTACACTACAATATAATACAATACAATGCAATACAATAAATATTATAACACTCAATGCAATACAATAAATATTTTAACACTATATAGGATTTATCACACAGTGTTGTACTTTTCTATGTTAGTATTATTTTATCAATGCATGTATAAATATTTTTCATACTGTACATTGTTCTGAATTCATGATATTATTACATGTATTTGATAATTTTTATCGAACAGAGTTGATTATTGAAATGAATTAAAATTAAAAAATTAAAACCATGTGAACATTTTGAATAGTAGCAGTCAATACTTAATTATATCTTCAAAAAAATAATTTATCTATTTTTCTCATTTATAGTCGAAAAAGGACATGGAGAATATCAAAAAGCAGAAGAAACTTGTTCAAGAAAGTGATATATCAATGGAAAGGAATGCTGCATATGTGGCACTCAGATGTGCAGCAGCTGTATGTAATGCACAGCGGGAACGTGTCCTCCTATTGGGTGATGCAAATGTGATGTCACAAACCCCCAAAGAGAAGAGTCAAGCCGACATGCCAGAGTTTGCCATATTGGATTTGGTTAGCTCATATGTATTTGGAATTAAGAAGAAGATATACAAGAGTAAGTTCAACAAATTGTGGATATTAGTTGTAAAGGTTCCTAGTTTAATATTTTGGATTAATCTCTTGGCTCCTCCGCATAACTGAGATGTATATTAACAAAACATAATGCCATAATATTATGCTATATACCTTGTACACCTAGTCCCCTCAAAATTAAGGTTGATTGGTATTAAAGGAAGTAGATGTAAGTCCTGATATAAGACAGTATTGTAATATTTGTATTTAACTTTTTGTGTGAAATTTTGCTAAATTCATTCGTAATAGTTTTTACCGATGAGACTTGTTTGTTTACAGATGACATTGAGGAGGAAATGGCACCATTGATTGAGAGCTTGGAGCCTAAACATGTTGAGACATATGATGAGCAGGTTCACAAAGCTAAGCTCCTTGCCTGTGATATAAGTTGGATTCACTTGCTTGGATACCAAGCCATCCTGCAGAGATTGGGCAGCACAGGTGCACTGTCCACCAAGCCAGAGACGAAACCAGATGATGAGAACCACTCTCTTGGACCAGAGTTTGACATGGGATTCTTCAGCCACATGCAGTTTGACACAAGCCTCAATCACAATGTTGTGAGATCTCTTGCGATTGGTCCAATGTGGAGCATCCGATTAGCCCAGATGCACAAATATTTGACGTCTAATCTGACCACGTATGCCGTGAACTGCACAGCTATTTACCCTCCTAGTGCCATACAGCTTGGAATGGGAGTGGAGACCCCTTGGACTGCAGAGATTAAACCGGTGTCTTCAAGTTACCAGGCAAACTTGGTGTTTGCCTCAGACCCCGAACACAGCAAACATTTACCTGACTCCTCAGTGCCCCCTGGTGAGTAACAAATGGCAGGTGGTGACATTTTGCATGTTAATGCCTTGTTGAATGCTACTTGTGTTCTCGTTTAAATTTTTACATTTGCACCTTCTAATTGAATAGTCTGTTCATGATACATAACCATGAAAATGTAGTTCTGGCTGTATTCTGAAACTAACTGTATCTTATAGATTAAACATAAGTTAAAATCTATTCTTGCAATTCAAGTTTTGATGTCAAAACATTACAATTGTCTTGTTTTTGACTTAGGCATTGATCATTTTGTACATGATATAAATTACTTTACAATATATAAGGCTTTAAAATTAAACTCCAGACCTTCCCTGTTATCAATAAGTTAAAAAATGTCATTGAATGATTTTTTGAATGTGTTAATTTCCTTTTTACCTTAGAATACTTGAAGCATTGTACATGTATACTGTTTGACTGTAGGTTCTCACCCTGAAGCATACAAACCTAACGACAAAGCTATTGTTGGACAGACAGAGGCAGATCTGACCACTCAGTGGTACCAGCCTAGCCTGGAGGAACACTTTATGCCAGCCACAACTGTGTCAGGGAAGAAAGACAAGAGAGTCATGTTGATCTACTCCATGACTAGAAAGACAGGGACATTCCACAGTGCCATGCAATGGGTGTCTCTGAGCCAGCTCACTGATTTACATGATAGGTAAGATTTTGGGGAAAGTTCACTGATCTACATGATAGGCAAGATTTTTTTGTCCTCATCACAATTCCCAAGGTCTCAAGTGGACAGTGTTCAGTGATTAGTGTTCAGCACTTGATCTTTTGGGTCGACATCTGTACGAAATGGCAGGTGTTGACATTTTGCAAGTTAATGCCTTGTTGATAAAATATTAGGAAGTTCACTGGTCTTGAATGACAATGACAATCCACTATTCCACTCACATGCTACTCCTAGTTGTAATACATTTACTGTATGTGGTATTTTATGTTTGACAGGCTTTCTGTTCTGAGACAGAGGGGAGAGATATCTCTGGGGGATAAGAAGACAAAGGAGTCAGTTGCTTCAACCCCAGCTGCTCCAACCAACACTAAGGGCAAGAAACAACGCATCAAGGCATTGTCTCCTAAAATAAAGAAAGATGACCATCTAGAGGTAAGGATATCCATATTTCGAAGTTGTGGCGATTTGGCGAGTATACTTATGTCTGACTCCTAAATGTTAGTTTTGTTGAAATCTTATGACAAGGTGACATAGAGACACTAATACATCCTGCAGCCATATTAAATAAGTAGCACTAATTTGTAAAGTACATATTGTATATGGATATATAGAATATTTAATTTTGACACACTGAGATGACACATGACACACACTGCCATGACACTTTGATGACACACTGAGGTGATAAGCTGAGATGACACATTTTGATGGCACACTGTGGTGACACAATAATATGACACATTAGAATTACACAATGAGGTGACACACTTTGATAAGATGAGAAAGGGTGCCTGAATCTTGCAATTGCTACTCTCTTACAACATTGAGTTCTATTCCTGCAAAATGTCCCCTCTAGATATGTAAACAGAATTCCTTGTGGCATAATATGGAGTGGTCATATTAAACATTTGACCGAGTGCAATGTTGAATGCTGACATATCATATCTGTGTAAGTGACGTTTTTCTTCGTCAACCACCTTTCTTGTACCCTTGACCATTCCATTTGGCCCAATGCAGTCAGGATTTAAAGCACAGCGAACACAAGGTTCAATCAAATGCTGCTGTATACGAGGAGTATCTAAAAGCAACATCCGACCTGGTTCTATCATGACCTGGTCTTCGTATTTATCAGGTGTAGTGTTGAAGTATTCGAACATGTCTGGGTGTGTGTATTGTGCTGTCTTAACACGCACATGCCAAGATACGACTCCTGTCTGCATTAGTTGCTGTATGATGTCCTCCTGGTAGGATGTTTTAAACCTCACTGATGTGTCGCACCAGAAGATACTGCCAAATTCTCTCAGGGTCTCCTGAAAGTAAAAGGCTTTAATGGCTGAAAGATCCATCATGATAAACCATGAGATCTCATTTCTTCTCAGCCCTGAGATGCCCACATTTCAGGTGAAGCAGAAAGATGCTATGAGCATCAGAATGAAAAGATCAGGAATTCTGGCACTTCGACATGACTTGTACTGGGTTTGACTGAGTATTCGTAAATTTGGTATTTGAAATAATTTTAGTCAGGATATGAATTAATGGATAGGGCATATGGGGGGCTGTACTTCTATTCGGTTAGGACCAATTAAATTTTCGCAGATTTTTTTGGTTGGTTGGTTGGTCAGTTGTTTGATTGACATGAACAACTAAAATTGGTACATAGTTTGATATTAGGGGAGGGGTTGATCTTGAATTCTGTGATCAATATCATCTTCACAATCCTGCTATTATTGAAATGTTCAGTACATTGATGCGGTTACCCGCAATACATAGGCAACATTACTGTATGAATCATGTTCTGTTTCAATCAATCTTATGCGTATTCAAATTCAACCTAGGTAATTTCAAATCAATAAGAGTTATAGAAAATGATCTTCCAAAACGGTTCTATATTAACTACCAGGTTGCCATAACATTTGATATACTTAAAGGGTCTTTACTTTAACAAAAAATGTTATACAAATGTCATATTATACAAACTTAAAGGAAAGCCATGCCCAAATACTGTTTATGTTTCTTTATACACTAATTGCTAATGTTGCTCATAATACTGTACCTGGATGATTAGAACCTTAAAGGCATAGGTGCCAATGCTACTGACATGGGGAGGATAGCTTGAGAAATTGAAGTTCCTTATAATGCACTCTGGACATCTTGCCTCAATCTGAAATTCAACATACAATTTTAAATATTCTTGTACAACTATGTGCCAAGAGATATGCCCCATAGATCCTCTCTATAGCTAATGCCGGCATCTCTCAAGTTCAGGGGGCTACAGCCGCCATATCCTAATACATGTATAACCATATGTCCTTTATTCATCTATGCTTGCTGTATAAGAATATATGTTTATTTGATGATTAGTGCATACTTGGCTTTACAATAACATATATCTAGATCATCGGTGCATCATTTTTATCCAATTTTTGATATTCATACAATTAAAATCTTCTCACCTGCTCAGTGGCATTGCCATTTAGACCAATGTTATACACAATGTGCTTGTTGTTCACATGAAACTCCCTTTTGTTTTCAAGAAAAACCAAAAATTCATTCAAGTGATTTGAGCTCAAGGCACTGATAAGAACAATATCCTTAAACGTTATAGAATTGTTCGATTTTGTCATTTGGTTAATTAAAGGTCTGGTGTAATTTTGTTGATTATAATCCACTTCATGCTTTTGCATGTTTTTGAATTGTGCGTTATTGCAGGTTTCATATTTGCTATATAACACTATGAACACAATGGTCACCACTGTTGAAATAAGTAGAGTCTTTGGACTGGTCATAATGGTGGAATCAAATTGATATTGAACGAAGTACTGTAAATCAATTGGATTAAATTAAAATATTGTCTGCATGCAACAATTGGACATAAATCATCTACGAGTCTATTGTAATCAATGTCATGGTAAGCATCAACAGAAAACAAACATAATGGTATCTAACATGAATGTTCTCTCTATGTTATTCCATTAGCTAACTTGTCTAACAGGAATTTTCATTCTATGCAATTTCAATGGTTGTAATTTTATGTGGTTCTATCTATATCTATAATTTTATGTGTAATTTCAGTGGTTGCTAAGACAATGCATGACATGAATTTCCACTTAAATAATTTCAATGGTTGTTATTCTCTGTGATTTCAGTGGTTGCTAAGACAATGTCTGACTGATGCACAAGGATTGTTTGGAGTTGTGCCAGAGGAAGAGCAACCAGCTCTCATTGAGGTAATATACAATCATATATCATATATTAGGAATTTAGAAATACCAAGTCAGCTTATTTTCGTCTGGTTGTATGGTCTCAAGATGAATGCATAACAGAAAGAAATAAGATTTTTTTTTAAATTCGTGACAAAAGATTTTGAGATATTTTGTGCCCATGGGTGCAGCCAGGGAGTGCGATGGGTGCGATCACATTTATTTAAGGCATGAGCTATATACAGTAAAACCTGCATAAGTGGAACGCCTTTGGTACCTCTAAAAAGTGTTCCACTTGGGCGGTGTTCCATTTACAGAGGTTCATTTAACAATAAGTAAATATGTTGTGGGACTGTGAAAAGTGTTCCACTCATGGAGGTGTTCCACTTTACAGGTTTTACTGTATCAGATGAAAGCATGTTATATATCAGATGAAAGTGTTCAGTGTTTGAAATATGTTTGAATTTGATGTAGAATATGCTAATTGATTTAGTCGAACATGTATAATGATGTAACTTTATTTTCATTGCAGATACCCTTTGATGTCAACAAGACCAACATCCTTAACTTTGAGAAATTATTTGACCCATGCTACGGTCACGCCATCAAATCAGGCAAGATGCTGGACTGGTTAAGTAAACTTTTCCCATGATGCAACACAAATACCCACAGTATATCTGTGATAGACATTTACTATGACTGCAGTCATAACGACAGTATTTAGTTGAAAAAACAATGTGTGATATAGGACATCAGCTATTCAGCCTACTGATAATTTTTGGTGTATCATTTATAGTGAAGTGATATTTGAACAGTGATATGTTGTATTCCGTCCATACAATTTAAGAGTTTATAGCAACGAGTCTAATAGTGTTTACAGCATACTGTTGAGAACTTGATATATACTTTAGCGATTATGTTTATACAATACTCCGTCCAGAAATATTTATTCAGTCACATTTTAGCCTGTTTTATTGTACAATCATCATTCTTATATATAACTTATAATATATTCTTCTATATAACTGTTGTATTGTGTTTGTTAAACAGTCATAATCTTGTATCAAAATATTTTGAAATAAATTGTTTGAATATAGTTTCAGTAAAATGTGCTTGTTAGATAAAACATTAAAATGCTAAAACATGAAGCATGTATTGGTGAATTGTTGAAATCGTTTTGAAAATACTGTTTCCCATAAAATGTTGACAACAGTATTTGAGGTACCACCAACACCCTATGCAGACAGAGCCTGTGGGAAATATTGGGTGCGGAGCAAATGAGCGGAGGGTGCGAAGCTAACGGTCATTTTTGAATTTAAATTTTGGATATTTCTGAAACTAAGCCCTTTTGGGACTTCAAATATACCAAGATATGTGTATTTGACACCAAATATCAATACAATTGTGAAAATAGTGGCACAATTCATTCTATAGCGACGCAGTGTGCCTTAAACCTTTCCCAGACCTATATATTTTGAAATTATCCTTTTAATACTGAGTCCCCAGCATTCATAAAAAATGGTGTTCAAGGTACACTATCTATACAAATTATTTTTGCATCTTGGAAGCCAGGCAGTATCTGTGTGATTTTATAAAAATTCGGAAATGTTTTCAGATATGAGCCCCCTCTAAATATTGGGTGCGGAGGAGCTCCAATATTTCCCACAGGCTCTGTCTGCATAGGGTGACCATAGCAATGTTTGTGTTGTCAGGCTTTTGCAAGAAAAACATTCATCTCCAGGAATGTCTCCCTTACATACGACTAATTCAAGAGTACTTCACATATAGAACAGTAACATATATAATTGGTCACTTTTACCAATCTACGCACTACACTGGCAGGGAAAGGGGAAATTCCAAACCAAAGTTTATTATATCATAAAATTCTGGTTTCTTGCTGAACAACTTCTCTCAATTTTAATATATTTCAGGTGAATTAAGAATAAAAATGTATTCAACAGTTTACTCAACATAACTTTAGGATCAAAAAATCAATAGGATCCAAAATGAATTGAGTTTGGGGAGATATTTTGCCATGGAATGCAATCATGTTAATTTGATCAGAATGCTTGGGCTATTTTTAAAACTATTCAAAGCATACATACATAAACTTAAACTATTCAGTTAATTTCACCCATTTATTCATGCACTAGACAAATATATCCAGATTTTACAATTCACAAGATCTGTGTAATGAACAACTTGCCCAATTTTATGGCATTTGACAAAATATGAAGCAAAACAAACAAAAACATGCGCGCAATCAACCCCATGCGAGGAAACTGAAACTAATGGCACTTCAAATTTTATTTTGCCATCATTACAAAATCTATACAATCTCTGTAATCCAAAGATATACAGTCTTATCAAACAAACGCAACTTTGTACTGTTGTACCTTTGAAAAGTATAAAGTAAAATTTAAATAGGACATCTCTGATAAAAACACTTCAATTTTATTTTCACGACAAAGATAATTTGGAAATACTTTCACTCGATTAAAAAACTTGAAATAAACGTGAGTCATATTTCTAAATTGTCCAACTTTATACTTAACATATACAAACACATTATCTCATAAATATATGAAAGGCAAGATAGACATTCCAAATGTATATATTTTAGTCGTGCATTCTAAGACTAGAATATTATAGATTTCATAAATCAGTAATGCAGACAGTGACCACTGATTAGATTGTCCAATTTAATAAATAATGAACCAGGGCACAGGAAAACGGGTCTTATCACAGATTTTTTCAATGTTATGATTTTTTGTTTATCTTAAAAAGCACAAAGAGCCATGGCTTATATCTTAACTATTTTTCTTTGCAGATATACATGTAGTATAGACCATAAAAACAGAATTGATTTTAGCACATTTTCCTCTTAATCTTGGGCACATTTTAAGCTCTGTAGCACAATTTTAATCTTGATCAGAACGGTTTTCCTGTGTTGAGGCTCAAATAATACAGTTAATACCTCAATCAATAATACAAATGTAATTAGTAACCTTGATAGAGCAGACACCTTCAATAATGTAATAGTAATGACACGTTTTCATGTCAATTACCATTCATAACAAACATTGAAACATAGCAATAAGATGAGTCCTTTGAATAATAAAACAGACACTTAATTTCAAATTTTATGAACTACCATGCCATCTATTGAGAGACTGATTATCATATTTCTTCATTTTGAAGTGTAATCTGCACCTGAACACAATATAATTTCTTACACAACAGTGCTGCTTGCAACTGTCAAAAATAAAACCCAACTATTCATTTCTTTGATGAGAACAGAAAGTAGCTGCTCTGTAACAGTCTACTGCAGAACCCCAATAAATGAGGCTCAACTTGAGGCAACCCTTTCATTTATATACATGGGCCAGTAACCTGCTTGGTCATATTTACTGAGGCTGTGGAGTAGACTGGTTAATCAATCAGTGCAAATATATTGAGATTCATGTCTCATTCTTGGCAGTGTCACAATGAAATAATCAATCTAGCTACAAGCCTTTGTCCCCCCACCCAATACCTTCAGCACTATGAAATCAAAGTCAAGTAGTGGGAGGGGGGTCACAGGGGCTTGTAGCTAGACTATACAATGATTCAATCATTCCCTAAATTGTTGATTTCTAACACAGCACTGCACTCTGATACACATGGATATATAATTCAGGCAGGTATTGTACCTTGTCAAATACTCCAAGCCTTTTAAAACTGCAATTACATATTAAACATTAATGTCTCTTATTTGAAAGATGTGATTCTTTCATTTTTGAGATGAAACAACTTATCTTTCTATTTGAAAGACTTTGTTCCCTTTTAAAGATGTGCGTAGTATTATTTTAATTGTCACTTGATAGCAGTAAATGCTGCTGAGGGTCGAGGGATCCTCTCAAAAACTGCACAAAGTCTACAGGTAATCCCCTGAATTTTGTCCATTTTTGCACTTATGGGAAAAATACTCTTCTCAAACTATCAACTTTCAGTTAATGAAATGGCCTTTTACATCCAACTTACTAATACTAGAGAAAAGTGATGCAAAACTTTGTATGTTTATAAATTGTGTTTAATCCACAGCATCCATATCAGTGAACGAAGGTCCTGAGCTAGATGGGTCAATTCCTACTGACCCATACCCTTGAAAATCCTCATCCTCCTCATCCCCAGCCACACGTACATTCTCCAAGTCATCATCCTGACCAATATCCTTCTCCTTTGCTAAATCCTTGGCATTCTCCACAACAGAGTTAATTGAGGATGAAGTTACAGTAGATTTCTGTTGATTTTGATTTGAATTGTTTACATTGTCATTGTTTGTCTCCCTGATATTCTGGTCTATATGTTGCGCAGGGAGCTCCAGATAAGGGGAAATAGTGACATGTCTCTGCCTGTAGAACAACAGGTATGCCTCTCTTGTTACCACATGCTTTTCACTAGTGAATGATACTCTGCTATCATCAAACAAACGCCAATCTGCAACAACCACATATTCAGAATAAATGAATGAAATACAAGGCAATACATGCAAAATGTCACCATTTGCCATTTGTTATAGATTCCAACCACCAAACACCATCCACAAAAAGTTGGAAACTATAACTTCTGGTGGTGACATAATAGTTAACTACATTGAATTCCATCTTGGATTTTTTGAATTATATTCTGAAATCATAACTTGTTTTTCTCAGAGTAGCAATATGATGAAAGTTAAAAATAGCTCGACAAAAATGATTAGCTGTACAGTGAATATATATTGCATAGAACATGTCAAAAACAAGAGTTTATAAATGAAAGTTCACCTTTCTCATTTCTCTTCCAATCAGAGGGGTCGGCCAATTTAGCAAATGCTGTGTAGTGACCCCCTAGGATCCCACCATGATGGTTCACAATACCATACAAGTCATAGATAGGGGGAGCTTCGGTACATACTTTTCGGCCAATCAAAAATGGGCTCATATCAAGTCCTCTGAAAAATGGAAATAAAACATTGATATTTAGGGAAAATAAAAAGCTACTAACAGAGTGAAAAATATTTTGAATACTAATATTTACTTATTTACTAATCAATTGAATACTATTTCAAGCACACCTATATGTTCAACCATTTTCAGATCAACATTTCTTACACAAGAAACTGTTGTTTAATCACTTACCTAGTAGGGAAACTGACCATCTTGTCAATCTTATCTCTCCAGAGTAAGTTACGGAAGGAGAAGCGCTTTAGTTGTATCACCATGGTATGTGGTAGCTTCCATATAGATAACTGCTTGGAGGCTTCTCTGTGTTCCTTACATTTAGGACAGTACCTACAACACATAATATCATCATTATTACCCTGGATTATCTGGCTGGCAACCCTACACACTATTATAATTGATTCTACAGTTTTGATGCTTTTTATCTTTCACAATAGGAGCATGAAAGTGAAGTTTATGTCAGCTAAATTATAGGCTGAAGGAAAAGTATACATAAAATATTCAACAAAACACTGACTTGATCGGTGTTGAAGAATTATCTCTAATCTTAAAAGCACGGTTGAATTTGAGCTATTGGGAAGAGTTGCACATTTTGATGCAGTGGAACATAAGCCATAGTGCCTGGAATGATTAGCATCACAGTGAATCAAACTCATCAGAATGTAATTTCTTAATGATTTTTGAATACATCTGGGTAATCTGGGTGATGGTAGTGATATAAGAGAATATGATATTTACCATGCATGTTCTGGGTTGAGCACTTCAGGTTCAGTGAAGAGTTCCAAACATTGTTCTAAAGATATAACTCTGTTTTCATCCAACATCTCAGTCTGCATACTGGCATCCTCCACACACTCCTTCAAAATAAAACACAAGGCATTAACATGACAAAATGTCACCACCTAAAACAATTTGGTCAATTTAAAGCAAGTTGGAAAATACCTTTTGACCTTAAGAAGAACTTCTGAGAACATGTAGATGATTTTGAAAAAAAAATTAGTCAATTTGAAGCAAGTTGAAAAAAGACCTTTTTGACCTTGAGAAGGTCATTGAAGGTCAAAGGTCAAATCTTAAGTCAGATATGAACTTCTGAGAACTTGTAAAGTCAAATTTGAACTTCTGAAAAGATGTAGATGATTTTGAAAAAAAAATTTGGTCAATTTGAAGCAAGTTGAAAACAGACCTTTTTGACCTTTTTTGACCTTGAGAAGGTCATTAAAGGTCAAATGTCAAATCTAAAGTCAGATTTGAATTTCTGAGAACATGTAGATGATTTTGAAAAAAAAATTAGTCAATTTGAAGCAAGTTGAAAAAAGACCTTTTTGACCTTTTTTGACCTTGAGAAGGTCATTGAAGGTCAAATGTCAAATCTAAAGTCAAATCTAAAGTCATATTTCAATTTCTGAGAACATGTAGATGATTTTGAAAAAAATTTTAGTCAATTTGAAGCAAGATGAAAAAATACCTTTTTGACCTTTTTTGACATTGAGAAGGTCATTGAAGGTCAAATGTCAAATCTAAAGTCAGATTTGAATTTCTGAGAACGTGTAGATGATTTTGAAAAAAAAATTTAGTCAATTTGAAGCAAGTTGAAAAAAGACCTTTTTTGACTTTGAGAAGGTCATTGAAGGTCAAATGTCAAATCTTAAGTCAAATCTAAAGTCAGATTTGAATTTCTGAGAACACGTAGATGATTTTGAAAAAAATTTTTAGTCAATTTGAAGCAAGTTGAAAACAGACCTTTTTGACCTTTTTTGACCTTGAGAAGGTCATTGAAGGTCAAATGTCAAATCTTAAGTCAAATCTTAAGTCAGATTTGAATTTCTGAGAACACGTAGATGATTTTGAAAAAAAAATTCAGTCAATTTGAAGCAAGTTGAAAACAGACCTTTTTGACCTTTTTTGACCTTGAGAAGGTCATTGAAGGTCAAATGTCAAATCTAAAGTCAGATTTGAAGGTCAAATGTCAAATCTAAAGTCAAATCTAAAGTCAGATTTGAATTTCTGAGAACATGTAGATGATTTTGAAAAAAAATTTAGTCAATGTGAAGCAAGTTGAAAAAAGACCTTTTTGACCTTGAGAAGGTCATTGAAGGTCAAATGTCAAATCTAAAGTCAGATTTGAACTTCTGAGAACATGTAGATGATATAGAAAAAAATTGAAGTCAGTCTAAACAGTATTTGTTAAGTTATAGGAAGTTGTAAGAAATTGTTACAGACGCCGGACGCCAACCTCCAACCGCCGGACGCCAACCGCCGTCGCAAAAAAAACGGAGACCATAACAATATGTCACCACTTTTGGTGGTGACATAACAAGAGACAATTAGGTCACACTTCATGGGAAGAAAACTCCTAAGACTATTCGGATGCACAATTATAATTGTACAATATTAGATCTATACTATTTCTGAGCTAATAGATCGACAAAAAGGTGATCTCAAAGGCCAATATTATCCTGTTATCTACCCTATTTCAGTATTTTCAAAACTTTAGTTATACAGCCCCGGGTTTACATAAAATCATCTTAACAAAAATGTACCATAATGTGGAAACTCACCAATTCTTTGGTCTGTACAAGGACATAATGTTTCCACTTTTCATTATTTTTCCAGTCCATGGCTATAAATGGCTTGCCATTTAAGTCGAGAAGCTCATCTCCCTTGTCCTCAAGCCTCTCTCCTATTGGTCCTTGCAAGCCACGCCCCTCTTTGTCACAAGGTTTCAAGAAAAACAAGGGCACGGGTCTTTCAACGACGTTCTGTTGTATTCCTAGCACCATTTTAACAGGTACATTTTTCTTAACGGAGTTTCCCAGTGGATCCCTTTCCACATCTGACTTTTCGGGTGTGGTACTCTCTGTACTGATTGTCATCCCTATACCACTTTCACAGCCTTGTGAGTCACTGATACTCTGGTTACTGTCAAATAATCCCTGGCCTTCATTAGAGCTATCACTGTTCAGGCTGGATAGGTTAGAGCTAAAACTGCCAGTGTTTGAGGCAAGTACAGTGCCAGATGTACTAGTACTGGTACTGCTTGAATCTGAGGGATCAGGGGTAGGGACAGGGGTGAGACCAGGAGAGGGGGTCCCATCTTCCTTGTACGTCAACTGTTGTGAGGTAGGGAGTCCATCGTTGAGGTTTGGTTCCATACTGTCTGCTTCCCCATCTCCCTCTGTACCCTGTGAAGTGAAGTCATCATCTCCTGACACACCAGACACTGAGGTACTTCCAGTTTCGCAACTGGCTTGAGAATCATGTGATCCTTGAGTCTCTATACTGTTAATAGACGTGTCGCTGCTACTGAAGCGAGCCATGGTGGGGTTTGCCAATGAACTGGTGGATGAGGAGGCAGAGACGGATCCACAGGATTTCGCAGGTGAGTCTTGGGTTACAGGGGGTTGAAACACATCAACAGAGTAACGAGCGTGTCCCTCCATTAGTTGACAGACCCTAGCATAGGTCGCTTGAGATTCTGGGAGGCTGATGATGAATGGCTGGCCTACCAGCTCAGGCACTGGTCGACAGTTAATCTTGTGTACGGCCCAATGGTCCCGCTGACAGGATCTGCAAAGAAACACCACACTTCAATATATTTCAACATCAAAAGATTTATCTGACTTTTTATCAATAAAGCAAGTTAGAGTATAAGAGCATCCCCTAGAAATCAAAAGAATGAATTATTTTTCTAAATAAGTATTTAGCCTAATTAATGAGTTCTATACCTTTTGATGCAAAACATCACTAATTTAGACTACATAGACATACACATGGGATATGGCTGATGAAAATGATAACTTCGAAAGTTTTTTATGTACCTCTGCCTATCATAGAATACACTTTTAAAGTTACAAGCATTACAAATCACACATGATGATGAGCACTAGCATACCATAAGATGAACAAAGCCCTTGAATAAATATAGATTGTCATTTGTTTTTCATTTGGCTATGTTTACATTACATTTATCTCACAGTATAAATAATAAATTGATACAAATGAAAAAGTTAGGACAAAAGGCTGATGCCTTTGTGCTTTATGATTTTATGAATCTTGATAATCATGAACTTAGCTCTTTAACCTAAACGTGACTTCAAACATACAAGACGTGTCTGGATTCGTAACTCGTACTTACTGGTCGCAATATGATGCCTTGTAGCAGTTTGTACATCGCTTTAGTTTGCCTCCTGGTTCACACTCTCTCTTACAGAACAGACATTTAGTTTGTACCTGATGGGGCAACAAGGTACGCTGAATGATTGTGATTTCTCTCACTGGTTCACCAGCCACCTTTTCAGATAGCACCTCATTGCTGGAATTAAACAAATCCAAAGTCAGTTTGGCTTGATTTTTGAACCGTTACAAAGTACTAAATGGGACTTAAGATTTATATAGCGTGATAAGTTGCTGATTTCTGTTTCTAATGTAGATTAATTCCATTACAATTTATCTAATGTGTATCCATTCAGGGTACACTATAATGATTTAGGACCTACTGGTGCTTATCATATGCCACAATAATAATGCTATAAATACTATACTTACACTATGATGAGATCATTGCTTGCTATATTGTTAAGGGACATCCCCTTATCAAAGAAATTTATAATTTTGTGCCTATAAGCCTCAAAGACCCGCAACTGAAATAAAAGATTATATTCATAGAAGGAGAGTTCATGAATGCAGCTGGTAAATGTTTTCTATTAATGAAAGAATGGTTATTTTAACAAAGAGTTACTTCAATTCATCACTTTTATTATATAGCTTTCAACCAGAATGGGTACTGTAACATTCTTTAGGTCTCAGTTAATTATGAGCTGGTTTCGATAGTTGGCTTATTATTACATATAGTTTACTGGGGTTTGAGTATTTGCCTTATGTTGCCTGAGCTGCTATTTTCAATGAGATTTTCATATTTATGAATTTATAATGAAAATATTATGCTGTACTGTAAATAAAGGGCAAAAAATATCTTACATTACTAGGATGAACACCTGTTTTCTTGGATATTGCCTCCTTCAAGGTCTCCGTTACTGCATCCCTTGGTACTTTTAACATGTACTGAAATATAGCACAAAAATTTATTAACTTTCAACATGTGTTGAAATAAAGTAAACAAATATGTGCGCAAATACTGAAATAAAGTAGTTAAAACACAGTTTACCAATGACTAGCAATAAAATTACAAACAAAAACTGCAGTATTCAGAATTTTCAAATTTTTACTTTTCTTCAGAATTTAAATTTTTTACTGAAAAGTAAGATCAGTAGATTATGATTTGCTTTAGACAACTACAATATATATTTTTAAAGGTAATCTTTTATTGAAGAAAAAGCACTTCTGTTCTGGATTCTAAAAAGTTTGCAGATATTACCTTGACAGGTTTCTTATGTGGATCCTTAGCTATGAAGTAGACTTGAATGAGACGCTGTCTCTTTGGCAAGGGCACAGGCAGGTACACAAATGGATCAAACGTTATGGACACCTGAAATACAAAGTTTCAAATTATTCTTCTACTTCTGGTTGTGTTTGAAATTTGAAAATTCAGTTGCCTCGATGTCCAATACCAATCCCATTTGGTAATGACCCTCTGTAGTTTGCCAACCATGTTCTCAAATCATTGTGAAACCCTGGTATCAAAAGTCCTCTCCGAAAAATATCTATGCCAAGAGCAATTTCTGTTTAGCTCCAATATTTAAATATTTTGGCCCAAAATTGGGTAAGCTGAAATGAATCTATTTTTTAAATTAGTGCTCCTATTTTAGAGGCTTGACTGCATGTTCCAGAAAATATTACTTTTTTTGAAACTCTTACCTTTCCACACATTGGACAGACCAGTTTTGACTTGAACTGTCCATGAAGGTGATCTACAATAAAGGAGTCATTCCTCTGTTTATGAACCTCCCAAGCCTCCTGGGCTACAATCTCATCCGGTCTGTCATTAGATTCAACAGTCTGTGTATATGGCTTGTTACGTATGCGGTTCACATCCTCATGGAGGCCATCTAAGAGGAAGGCCATGAATTCCTGAGCATCATGCTGGGCAAAACCTGTGAACTGACTAGCCTTCATAGAGACCAAATTCTGGAACACACAAAATGATGAATTATGTCACTAAGATAAATGTGCCGAACACAAATGTACAACTTTGACAATGAATCTTTTAATAACTATGTGGAGTAACAGGTGCCGCTGAACAAAGCATACTTTACCTTATCATTTTGGACTTTACACAATAAATATAACCAGGAAATAGTGGTTTTGTCTCTTTTTGGAAAAATCTACACCAGTAATGTGACGTGACACCAGATGTTGAATTCTTTCTTGAGCAGAGGTCTTATCTGCAGGTAACTCGCTGGTATTATTCCTGAGAAATGGCGGCAACTTTGAGTTCAGTATTTCTTCTTGACCAGAGTCCTATGCCAATAAGGCATTAAGGTACATAAAATCTGAACCAAATCTGACAATTGGTATTTGAGTTATGAAATATACCAGCCAGTTTAAAATTCAGCAGTAATTTTAGAAATCTATTCTTGAGCAGATATCTATGTCCATATGGCATCAGCATATAAAATTTGAACCAAATTTGCACAAAAGAGTATTAGAGTTTGAGGGGGAGAGGGTGACCTTTCAGCACAGGCTTCCCAGACCACAATACTGATAGGGACACCCCCGGCAGGTAAGCACTGATAGATGAGCTGCCCTTTGACGACTCCGCTACTAGTCCTTATCTACCTATATAACCGTGGGTCAGTTTCACCTTATATAGGAACCTTCCTCATTCAACAAATCAATTGGTGTCTTTTAACACTTCCCCTCTACATGCCATAATATTGTTCTAGCTTTATTTCAATGGAATTGCCACTTTGAGATAAATATTCAAACATAGCCAAAGAACAGTCAGTTGGGAAAATTTTCATCATGTCAATTTTGAAATTAATTACTTCATTATATTATAATTAGTTGAGAAAACAAATACAAACACTTCCTGTTAGTTTGATGACGTATCATACAGTATCAATAATGGAAGTTGGGTAAAAGGGGAATCCCACTATGTCTCATATTGTACTGCTTCAACCATATCAAAAAGAAACTGAAACTGAAGCTGTGTAACAATATTGTAGCCAAAACAAAAAGCTATTGCAGAGACATCTTTACATTGATTCCATTAAGATAATGCCAAATATGGAGAGTACAGGACTTTTCTGTAAAACGACCATCAAAACAATTTTGATCAGTCCAAATTAGTGTTTAAAAATGTGGAAGGACTAAAAGTGAATGCATTCTTTTTATACTATGTTTATGAAAAATAGCAGTTATTTTGAATTCAGAAATCTTGAAAATTCCTTGTTGAGCAGAGCTCCTTTGTTTCTGAAGAATCAGCTTATAAAATTTGAACCAAATCCGTCAACTGGTATTTGAGTTATCAAAGTTTAAATCTCTTTCTTTAAAAGTTTGCTACGGGCCTGTGCTTGAGAATTTTCTATATCTAAAACTAAAAATGTTGAACAAAAGTTTTGATTCTTCTTCTTCAGCAGTTTTTTTCAAATTTCCCAAAAACCCTACCTTGAGCTTAGCAGGTGCGTAGGAGTAATGTTTTCCTGACCACAAAGTCTTCATGAGAACAGCAAATGCCACAGCCAGCTTACCCTGTGAGCCTAGGGGATTGTCAGAATTGATCTCTTTCTGGAAAGCACCATCTGGAAAAAGTAACAATAATGATTTCAGATTTGTTAATGCGAGAAGAACAAATGTTTATCTATTATATAATATACCATTGGTATCTATTTTATAGTAGTATTTGGTCTTCAAATTATACTCCATATATAACTAACAATATATAATTAATTATTTATCGATATTTTATGTCTCTAATACATACCTATGAAGAAATCTCTGAGTTCCCTTGTGTTTGCTAGCACCTGGATGACACTGTTCATGAAGCATGTGTTCCCAAGATTGTCTAAACCTGTCAAACCAGGGATGACCAACTGCTTGTTTTGGTCATCTTTGTTCAAAGGTGGCACAGTGCATACTGGTTTCTGAAACAACATAGGGTAAAGACATGTCACATAACTGATATAAAATTTCCCTATTGACAAAATAAGTTCGGTTGAATTAATGTTTATTTCTCTAATAATGATACTCATGTATAGCAAAAGGGGATGAGGACACATGTCTAAATATTTTAGCAAACTGAGATAACATGTCTTGCTGAAAATATATAATGGATTGAATTTGAGCAAAAAATCAACAAGTATACAAGATAAGTGGTATGTTAATCAATGCATGGTAAATCAATGTATTATAGCATATGTAACGTAACATTTCTTCAGAAACAGTTTATTTCGAATATTTGAGACTATAATTGGAAGCAATCAACAAACCTGTTGCGTAGAATTTTCACCCCTTTCTCCTAGAATCTTCAAACTGTTGGATCCTTTATTCATTGCATTTTTTCCTTCCACCTTTGACATTTCATCAAATATGACGGGTGGCTTCTGCTCAGATCCGGACCTACTTTCTTTGGTACTACTTTCTTTGTTCGGCATAACTTTGGCTGTTGCTGGATTTTTAGATGTGGAAACCCAGTTGGAAGAAGGTAATGGGAGATTGGTGGCTGAAAGATCAAGAACATACCATGTGCTTCTATCTTAGAAAGATGCTTCACATATATAGGATGTACATAAAGTATTTACATTTTACACAGAGAGACTTCATGGATACCCTGTATATTGTTAGTATGAGATATTAATATTACAAGGTAGCCAACCTTTTGTCTGATAATGAAGTAACATGTACTGGAACATGTAATCGAAAGAATTAAAGTTTGGAGAAGTGGTTTCATTTAACTACATAAAATAAAATGAAATGGCTGTATGAAACATTCCAGTTTCAACTGATACACACCTACAAGAGCCTCAAATACAGTAAAAACCTGTCTGATCCAAATGCCTCTGGAACTGGCCAAAAGTGTTCAGATTACTAGGTGTTTACATTTCACTGTTTTTCAATATGTGAGTCAATATGTGTGAGTATAGTACATAACAAAATTGGGGCTGAGAAAATGTTTATGTTGAGAGGTGTTCAGATTAGAAAGGTGTTTGGGTATACATGTACAGGGTGACCGGAAAAAAAGGAGACCATTGAAGTAATCAATTTCTCCTAAACTAGACAAGTGCCATCAATGAAATTTTGCATACACTGGAACAGTTATATGGAAATTTGTTACTGAAGGTTTCAATACAAGCATTCAACTGGTTCAGGAGCTATGATCATTTACATAACATGCTCTAAATAGGCACAATTGAGACCAACGCAGAGTTGGATTCATATGGCAAACTACCCTTACATGTTCTGCCCTCTATGGCATTATTATGGCATTACATATAGCAGTGATTGCCTTCTTTAGGTCAACAATAGTCTGAGGATTGTTTTGGTATAGATTGTCTTTCAAATATCCATACAAAAAGAAATCAGCAGGATTCAAGTCTAGGCTGTAATGGCAATGAAGGGTTATCTGACATGTGGTTCATCATCCTGTTGCCAAAGTGCTGATTTACCCAATCTTAAGAGTCACTTTAGGTATTGGGCATAGTGCCATGTTACTAAAACCACTATATGGCACAATTAAATCCCATATGGAAACCAAGGGCTGCCCAAAACCTCCTTAGGATGATACTGTAACTGAGTGGGACCACTGAGTCAGAAGCCATAGGTCAGATAAGCTTCGTCTCCATACACCTCAAATTTGAATCCACCTGATTTCTTTTTGTGGGGCAATTTGAAAGACAATGTGTACCAAAACAATCCTGAGACAATTGCTGACCTAAAGGTGGCAATAAATGCTAAATGTAATGCCATAACAAGGTCGGAATATGTAAGGGTATTTGCCAAATGTATCCAGCTCTGCGTTGGTCTCAATTGCGCCTATTTGGAGCATGTTATGTAAATGATCATAGCTCCTGAACCAGTTGACTGCTTGTATTGACACTTTCAGGAACAAATTTCCATAGAACTGTCCTGATGTATGCAAAATTTCATTGATGTCACTAGTCTATTTTAGGAGATATTGCCTATTTCAATGGTCTCCTTTTTTTCCGGTCACCCTATATAAGCTTCAAGTATTCAACTTCATACCTGATGCAGAGGATGACACCACGGGGGCCTCAAGACCACCCCATCTTATCGCAGCATTCAATTTCTTCAGATGGATCTCAACTCTGTAGCTGGACAAGTTAAAACTACATAGCTTTGGTTGAATCCTATCCCTGGAAAGAGTATGAAATCAAATTACAATTGTACCTTCTAACTGACTATCATGCCTTTGTGATATTTCCCCTCTACAAAAAAATTTGGGGAAAGCAGAAGAAAAGGGATGAAGATTAGATAAGAATATAACGATATATTTTCCTTTGAAACACAGATAAGTGCCTACTGCCTTTGCTTTTCATATATGCTTCTCTATTTTTTTAATAGTATACTGTACTCCTGGTAAATTTTGACGCTATAAAATTTCGCGATTTTTCAAAATTGCAATTTCGCGGCTATTTAATTTCGCGGATTTGAGTTCGCGGATTACACAAGTTGAATTTTTTCCTCCAGCTCTTGATAATATAAATATAATTACATGCCTTTTTACAAATGCATGAGCTTAGCAAGTACATCAATTGTTGATATAAAATTGAACAATACCCCATGTTAATTATCGCCCAACAACACTGGAGAAACGTTTAACACCGAACGAAACATATCAAAAGTCCTGGGTCAAATCCCCGGGGATTTAGAAGACAAATTTCGCGACGATAAATGTTCGCGATTTTACTACATTCGCGAACAAAGCGAAATTAAATCGCACGCGAACAATACCCGGAGTACAGTATATGATTCGGGTTCATTTGAATTGTTATACTTACTTGACTATTATATGCCACTTAAACATTGTCTCTTCACTAGTTCCCTCATAAAGACTTAGAAACCTCTGCTCTTTAGTTTGAAAGTAAACAGTGAATGTTTTCTCCGTGAATTCTACTCTCAATGTGTTCCTGTTGATCGACTTTACATACATCATAACACGCATGTCATTCTGAAAAAGTACACATCTTACAAATAAAACATTCTATATCATAGAGAAAATTCATTACTCGTATTTAAGATATTTTTTTATTCATGCCAAAATTTCCACAGAATAATTATGATTCACTTACAAAAAACTGAAATTTTTGAAATTGATTCTTCAATACAATCAACAAGTAACAAGGCACAGTGTATGAATATACAGTAACAGTTTGGAACAAGGTGAACACAAGCAAACCTTTTCAATGAAGTCATTTTTGACATGACTGATGCTATAGACATCTGTTGGGGGAGTGGGGATTATCCTCTTCTCATCTTCATTTACTGCTTCAGCATCACTCTAAAATCAACATTTTAATCAAAAATGTCACATCTATATATACACCACAAGCTTAGCGCATAACAGAAAGTAATTGAGAATATCAAAATGACTGGGAGTCCCCGAGAGGGATTATATTTCTTTGAAGTAAATGTATACTGTAGTACCTGTATGGACAACTGACAATAATAGATTTTTTCAGTGTGTGCAAAAACATGTAGAATTATATGCTTCAATAATAAGCCAAAGGACACACTTGTTTGGAAGGACACATACACAACTTTAAAAACAATCCCTGTGCTACAAATGCACAAAGTATGAGGGACAGGGGTCTGGGTTTACAATATTTATTCTATGCCTTATTTCATAACTGAAATGAGGCACGACTTACCTCTAATTTCTCCCAATGTTTGTGAGCTTCTTTCTTCATTAATTGCAAGATGAGATTTCCATCTTTCATATTGACACGAGTTTGTTCTTGAACTATTTTGTGCATCAGGGCTAATCCAAACTTTCTGCCATCTGTAAGTATTATCAAATATCATATTGTTAACAAAAGCCAATTTACTTTTTGCTTCTAACTTTTAATAGACTATCAATATGAAAAACCAAACTTGACATCATAGTTAATTTGGAAGTCTGCTAATATGGTTGTGTATGATGCTTAATAAGGAACTCGTCCTATCAATCCCTAACGCTAACTTATGTCTAATAACAGTAAAATTTAAAATACCTTTAATTTCAATTTCTAGACTAATATCGCTACACTGAATGTCTATATCATCTGGTTTAACATCTGCTCCAAGATGGAAAGATATCTGCATGGTCGTCGGATTTTGACTCCATTGAAAGACAACATTTTCTGAAAGTAGGGAAAGTATTATGTAATACAAAAACATATGTATAAATAATGTCAATATACCATTCAGCCTCTAAAAGTTGAAATGAGAAATGCAAGTGAAACTACTAGTAGTCAATTCTAAAAATTATCTATTCTATGACAATTCTCAGAAGTTAAGATGAAAAAGTTTTTTTAAAAAGGTAATTTATCCGTAAAATATAGGGGAAATGTGTCTTACTTCAATCTCGCCCATTGGGGATATAAGTTTTTTTTAAATTTTCAGACAAAAAAGAATATAAAACAGACTGCATGAATCAAAAATATAAAACGATGCTGAAATGGCATCTTGGGCAAAAAAACATGACCAAGTAACCCCGTTCGTGGAAGTTCGACATGTTTCCATTTGAAATATAAGTTTTGAATCTAGTTTTTTCTAAAATATGACTTTGTATTTTTTCACTGCCTCACTCTAAACAACCAACAAGTAGGCTATGGCAAATGAAAAGCAATTGAAATACAGTGCTGATATATAATAATTAAGGGTGCGTTTTCAAACTAAACATCGAGTGCTCCTATCAAAATGAATTTGCCTATATACCCCTGAGACTCTTATCTGATAGATAGAATGCACAAATAAAAGAAAAGTTTTGCTATTATAGGTAAAAAGTTCTCTTGAAATTTCGAAGTGATTTTACCTGTTAATTCTGTCCATGTCACGCCATTTTTGCGGAAGTTACACTGAAACGCAAACTCCATGAAACGAAACGAAATCACTAGAAAAAAACATGGCACACATTGTGCGCATGTGCAGCAAAGTTTAGACCAATCAGATTATTTGATTATTTTGCGCATATGAATTAGTTGCTTCTGAGCACTTACAAGCCTACCACAATAAACAAACCTGGCAGAGACTACCCTTAGCCTACTTCATTTTGGCGAAATTTCAGCTCAAACTCGTGACAAATGCATTATGCATACGCTGGTGTGAAGCCTTGGAGACACTTATTTGGTAAATATGATTTATGGGGTATACTTTTCTGCAGTTTGTGGGAGTTTGGGACATTAAATGTTAAAATTCAAGAAAATATGCCAATTAAACGACTGATCAATTAATATATACCAGCACTGTAGTTCTATCCAAACTTACCAGAATCACTTGTTTCTATTTTGGATCTTTTATCTGCGTTCTTTCGATCATTTGCATTGTTCTCGTGCGCAGATTCATTACTCGATTTTGACGCCATTGTTTTGCTGTTCCCTTCCAACTCGCCGTCTGGAGGAAACTTGCGTTTTCTTTGCAAATGATCTATTTTTCTGGGGTAACCAGACATAAAATATGTCCAGTGAGATTTCTGCTATTGATCTTTCTAGCGATTCTATAGGTTAACGTTTAAAACATCAGATATTCTGATATTTGTCGAAAAATCGAACACGAAAATTAGTCGGCCATTTTGAAAAGTCAATAAATGGGAGCTCCGAATTTGCGCAAATCAAAATGTCAATTTTCCCGGGGATGATATTTTCTATAAACGCCCGGCTTTCCATGTAGGCCTAATATCTGATGGCATTTCCATTGTCATTTGATCATGGCAAATTCAATCAAAATGCTGTATCAATATCATAATTCTCCTGGGGGATATTCCAGTCGTATTAGGCATATAGGGTTGCACGAATGCCGGGGGATCCACTGAGGAGCTATCAAGTTGGGAGGGGGCCACGGTTTCACAGGAAAATAAATTCCAGCTCGCGGAAAAGACCAAGTAATGCCCAAAAAGGCCGACTTATTGAGAAAAAAATTTTTGGGCCCAAAACATCCTCGGGGGGGGGGGGGTCCCATGCACCCCCTCCCCTTGTATCCGCTAGTGGGTTGACTCCCCGTAAAGGTAGCCTACTTCATTTATCTAATAACAATAGCCTATTTATATAGGCCTAGGGCAGGCCCGTAGCCAGAGGGGGAGCTGGGGAGCGGAAATTCTTTCAAAATCATGCAGTTTTTCACCAATCTGAGAATTTTTCGCATGATTTTTAGCCAAAATTGTGAAAAAGCTCCCCCCCCGGAAAAAAGCTCCCTCCTGGTAAAAGCTGGCTACGGGCGGCAAGCAGGGTGTGTCAAAAATACAACCCTATAATTTTGGAATAACTGGCCTCATATTACGACGGACTGTCGTCGATCCTGATTTTTTGAATTTACACCTTTCTACGCCTCTGTCACTGGTGATCCACTCGATTAGCCTACACTAGGTAGTTGGGTTCGGTTCGTTTCGGTAACATGTCGGAACATCGAAGTTACGATTTTTCTTTTTTCCTTATTTGACACCTTGTAGGCAGAATTCTCACGACATTTTTAACACAAACAGTAACATTTCTTTAAGAAAATGTACACACTTGCTAACAAATAGTTGAGAAGACAACAGAATCGTCGATTTAATTCCTCACTTAGGGTAAAGAAACCCCGGACAGAAACGGCATTTCGAAAAACAGTTAATGTCTGCACTTTTACCCCAAACCGTTTCTGTAACTTACCTAGCCTAAGTGAGGAATTAAATCGACGATTATGTTATCTTCTGAGATATTTTTTCGCAAACATGTACATTTTCTAAAACATATGATACTGACATATACGTTTGTGAGAAAAAACGTCGTGGGTCTGCCTACAACGCGTGAAATAGGCCTAGGGAAAAAAAGAAAATCGTACCTTCGACGTTCCGACATTTTGTCCCGGCATTTTGTTACCGAAACGAATCGTATATGTATAGGCTACTGTAACTAGGGTAGCGAAGATTAGTCAGCAGCCTATATTTTTTGTTCATATTCCAATTTTAACAGTTCGATTTCTAAAAATGATTTGCATTTTTTCATCGTTAGCCTAAGTTACTTCAAAATATTAAAATCATTTTTTGAACAAAAAATGATTTCTACAGTATGATGTGTCACTTTACTTTTACTTTCCATTTTAAGATGACGGTGAACTTTACTCCAAATAAACTTTAAATATGTGTTCGATCGCTAATTTGTCTAACAATTAAGTTGCGCTTGCATGGTACGTGGTTACACGCAGATAGGTACACGCAGGAAAACTTACAATGTGCGTCGGTGTTATGGCATTTGGGTATAACGCCTTTCGGTGTGCACGTCGGTATAATGGGTTTTGGTATAATGCGCGTCTGTATAATGGGTTTCGGTAAATGCGCGTCGGTATAGTGCGTTTCGGTATAATGCAGACCCCGACAATCTAATACTCCATATAAAAATAATTTTTGGTAAATGTTTTCTTGAATATATATCCTAAAATCTGATTTGCCCCGAACCCACCATTTAATCCCATTGGTTCACACAGGAATGACGATTTTCAAAAATTCATCAAACAATTGAAAATATTCGAGGAAATATTACATATCCGCCTTCGTTATCAGTTTTTTCGTTGCAGGTTATGAAAATAAAACATTTTTTTATGGAAAAAAAAATTCCCAAACTTATGGAGGGGAGTATACATTACATAACCATAGTGAGCCTGGTTACATTGTCGGATCAAGGGGGGGGGGCATTCTCCCCTCCCCCAAGGATGGGCCAAGAAAACTTTTGGACCTAAAATTTTGTAGATGAGTGGGCCGTTTGGGCAATGGACCTTATTCTTACTTTTAGGCCAAATTATCAACATAAAGCCACACATTTTTAAAATTTGGGCCCAATTTTTTTTCATCTGAATGTGCCCCCCCCCCCCTTTTGTTACCTTCCAGATCCGCCACTGGGTTATATAGATGAAAAAAGTGGAACTAAAAAATGAGAGAAAATCCAACCGAATACAGTATTTTCGATGGTCAATGTGAACCCTCCTGATCATCTTTCTCAATTTTCTACATTCCATCTTTACATTTCTCCCCCTCATACACTCCCCTCCATATGTTTGGCAACCTTAGCTCCCCCATTAAACTACGTGTTAAAGCCTCTTCGAATTTTTATTTACTTATAACCTGTGATGAAATAACTTATTATATTGATGGAAACGCAACTTGACTTTATTTCCAATACCTCCAAATTTTCTTAATTTTTTCCTCAACATACAATAGGTCGAAAATTGATGATAAATTTGATAACTTTTTGAAAATAGTCATTCCCATGTAATCCAATGCGAAAAGGAGGGTTCGGAGCAAACCAGAAATCAGGATATCTTTTCAGTAAAAGATATAGCAAAAAATATTTTTATATAGAAAATTGAATTGTCTAACTTTTTCGTACACTAACTGTTTAGTTTATTTGTTATTTGATTAATACTAAAGTTACAGCGCTTCAAAGTCATTTTTGAAAATAATTTTTCGTCTCCTGTGTTGTTTCAATGGGAGAGGTTTTTTGAAAAACAATTTTGACTTTAAAGCCCTATAACTTTGTTGAACCTGGAGAAACATATCAATTTTTGTTAAATAAAGTTAGCAAATTCAATTGCCTACCTAACTAGTATTTTTTTTCAGTTACTCTGATGGATGATATTCTGTAATATGACTTGCGGCAAACCTACCATTTCCCATTGGTTTTCATGGGAATGTCGATTTTCAATAATTCATCAAATTTATCATCAATTTTCGACCTATTGTAATTTAGGAAAAAAATTGAGAACATTTTGAGGTATTAGAAATAAAGTCAAATTACGTTTCCATCAATAGTATAAGTATTTTCATCGCAGGCTAAGTGAGGTAAAGAGGCTTTAACATCTAGGGGGAGCTGATGTTGCCAAACTTATGGAGGGGAGTGTATATCATACACCCCCAGATTCCCTCAGCTGTAGGCTATCCTATAGAGTTCCATATTTTCCAATTTTGTTAATAGCCACAAATGAGTATACTATTTTTAATAAGTCTTATCGGGGGGGGGGTTCGAAAGCACCGAATTATAGATAACTTTGAGCCATCTTAGTGCTATATATATTTTTAACACGAGCTGTTGTATCGCGCACTCACCAACAAAAGTGCTCCAAGGTGGGTTTGTTTCCCGTTTGTTTCTGAATATTATTTATAATCACGATCGACAATGTTCTCACGAAAATAAAAACAAAAACATAAACAATTGAAAAATGATGTATGGTACATCAAAGTAAGAAGTCAACTTCCCCTAATCTTATCATCTTAGCGGCTCATTAGCATAACAATTAATCGTGCTGAGTCGTATGTTAAACTCCGCCCATGTCCAGCCCATCCCTATGACAACGTCAATCACACCTGTCAAAATTTGGTTGTTGGAAGTGCAATCACATAAAACAGGTCAATGTTACAACACATGCTCATAACCATAAGTAGCTCACTCAGGCAGGACAGTCAACGCAAACGAACATGTCAGGAACTCAAGTAACAAATATGTCAGGAACTCAAGGAACTATTGCATCGCCAGGAATAGGAAGAGATGAAAATATATTTGATCCTTTTACGGATTATTTAAACTTACATGCAATGATCGGAACAACTACCGGGGATCAGTTATTCCCGCAAAACCCCAGCCTGGCCGGAGAATTGAACCGGCTCTTCGAACCCGTATCTGTGAACCATGTCGTTGAAAGGCAAAGATTCAATAGTACTAGCACTGTCTGTAGCAGTGGGTACATGAGCTGCAGCCCAACTTCAGACGAAGAAAGTGTTCAAGCCCCCATTGATGATTTCAGATCAAATGGTAGGGAATGTGAGATTGACGATATCGAGTTGTATTTTAACTCCCTACATTTGGACTTGGAGTCTCGTCTCCCACGACCATGGAATGCCGTCACGGAAGACTTAGTCAAAGCAGATATGCTTCAAATGAGACCAGGCCAGAAGAAACAAAGAAGTCCTCCGTCCACCTATCTGACCGAAGCACCTGTGTGTGTGTTTTGCCGCAATAACGGGGAAAGTGAACAAGTATATCGCGGACATTTCTTGAAGGACGACCAAAAGCGTATTACATGCCCTGTTCTCCGGGCGTACACATGTCCAATATGTAAAGCATCTGGTAAGTTTGTTTGTTTGTTTTTATAACACTTGTTGATGTAATCTCGGACTGTATGAAATGTATTTGTTCCACTGGCTGCTAATCAGTCAAGTAATTCTTCAAAAATCTTTACTCAAGATTTATGAAGCCAATCTAATGTCTGCTCAAAGAAAAACAATGCTAATCAAGCTTTGTGTCACTTGTCATATTATTCCCCATCAGACTGTATGTCTATTTTAAATCAATACTAAAGGATATGTATTAGAAAGATGTCCAAAGTAGTCTTATTAATTTCAATACTTTTTGTTAGGATAAACGATAATGGTCTTGTAATATCCATGTCCATGGATTTATTGGTAGCTCAATCTGGAGGAGTCAAACTCGAGATAATCCCATTGTAAGAGTGGGTGACCAATGATTTCAAAGCTACATATTCTATCAGCATTTTTATCATCAGAAACTATGTATATTTCGGAGATATGAAAGGGATGTTTTGGATCTCTGTCAAGACCTATTCAATACAATCAGAAATGCTCATTGCACCACATACACTCCCCTGGACTATCTATATCTTGCCCATAACCCCAGTCCCCAGTTGAGTGGTTGTGCTGACCCCTAAGTGAAAAAATGGAATTGCTCTGGACCCCCTCCCAAGGTATAGATTATTGAAAAATAAATCACTATTTACTTATTTTTCCTCACCATATTCTTTGATCTCACTTTCTTTTGGCAAACTAAAACATTTATTGCATCTTAAACCTTAAAAACTGAATATAATTAGGTCCCTCAGCTCAGTGCCACCCCCTGCCAATTATCTAGTCTCCCATATCTTCGTACCAGGTCATGGATCTCACTCACTCCCTCCCTAATTCCGTTCTCCATTTTATCCCTCCCTTCTGTTCTCTTCATTTTATTTAATTTTCCATCACATCCTTCCATTACTCATTCCTCTGATCCCCATCCCTGCAACTAATCTTTTATTTGTAGTGGCGACTTCAATATTATTCCCCAGATCTCAAGAGTGTGCATTTATTTGTTTGAAATTGCAATGGTTGAATTGTTGTCAGTCCCCCCCCCCCCCATCAACTTCAGCCTGTTGTTGAAATAGATAAGACTGCTCCCCCACATTGAAATCTCTGAGGCGCAGCACCTCCATGTATTTTATAAAACCAAATTGCTCCTCAATACAATTTGATGTGCCTCCTAAAATGTTACAATAAAAATAAAGAAATTCCAAAATGATGCACAATAAATGTCAAAATCATAAAATGTTGCACCAAAAGTTACAAAATGCTACAATGTTGCACAAAAAAATAACAAAATCCTCCACTCATAAAATCCTGGGTAGAGCACTGTGAAGGGGATGGGAGTCTTGAAGTTGAAAAGAGAGCTTCATTTTCATAATAAACAAGGCTCTGAGTATCACGGTAACTACATAAATATTATGTAAATAATGTACTTAACTTTATGATTCTCTTTGAAACATTCTTTAATTAAATGATTGATTAGTGATGAACTCAGATTTAGATGGGAGGCTCCTATAAACAAAAATAATACTTTTGTTTTTCATGAGGTCTTGAATCATGAAAGTATTTACCTTGAACACAGAGGTTAGTTAAAAGTAAGATGAAGCTCTCTTTTAAATAGCGAAGTTGAAGAAATGGAAAGGGTTTTAATTATAACATTTTGTTTTTGAGACTGAACATTCACATTTGTCAGGGAGATTGTATCACCTCTTCTATAATAGGTAATAACCAGCTCTGTTTCTTATATAAGATAGTAGTCATTATTCTCAACAAACAGCAATTATCCAGATTATGTATAATATTGTGTGGTCACCTTTGATTATATCTGTTCATAGACATTCCGGAACCTGAATTGTTTCTGTATTTCTTTCAAGTTTTCTATTTATATCAAATTAGATTCAACTAATTTACATATTTCTTATCTGTCTTTAATCTTTCCTTTTCATTTTTTTCTTAGCTGTGTCCAATCTTTCCTCTCATTCATATCTCAAAGGATGATCTCTTGTTTGATCTTTTATGAGACTGAATCATCAACTCCCCCCCCCTATCAGTCAAAACATCACTTAGAGCTCAAGTTTGGGGATGGGGGGGGGGGGCAATCTTGACAATTTTATTTTGCTTCTTTGAAAAGAGAGTTTTATCTCCATAATATACTAGGCTGTGACTGTCGGGTGCACATATTTCATGTTCAAAAATTCAGGTTTACTGTTGTTGTTTTTTCAGGTGATGATGCCCATACCATCAAATACTGTCCCCTGGGAGGAGAAACCACAAGTGCGGTGAAGGCTCTACGCACCCCCAGGACCAGTAATGGCAAGAAAAGAATCAATTAAATCAAGCTCCAATTAAATTCCCACATTTTAACTCAACATCAAATGGAGCCAAACCTATACACACTCGTGCATTCAACTCAAACAAGACAGGGTACAATAGGTAGGAATACAGTGTTGTTTATAGCCATCAACTTAGCCATTTTGTGTACATAATAAGACAGAAAATATATGTGCATTAAACAAGAAAGTTAGGTCTCGGAGAGAATGACTGTCTACTGGATAATAGAATATGACAGTTCTCTAGATTTTTGAGATGGACGGAACAGTAGATCCATCATATAATTGCCAAGTACATGTGAATGGTCAATGGACTAAACTACAGTATGTGTCCCCCCTCAGGTTATTTGAGTGTAAACCTGCTGTGGCTACACTAGGTTAACACAAACATCCATTTAGTTCAATTACACAATGTCACACCACAAAGCACAATGTATTGTACATATGATGAATGGTATAAAACTCTATTCAGCATGTGCAATCTACTGTAAAAATGTTTTCAAACTTTTCAAAGGGAGATCTGGGTACCAATTGCCCAATGTTACTTTTGATGTGCTAATTCCCTTAGTCATATAAAAGGCCTCAGGATGTTTCTATGCATTTGTGATATCATAAATTCCTTCACTTCAAACTTTTGTTTATTCACTTTTGTAGCCATAGATAATTTGAAGCTTTCATCATGGACCTTATCTGTCCGGAATATCAATCTCAATTCACATTGCAGTTTTGTGTGTATAGCTATTACATAAGTGATATGTGTGGGATAAATCCCTTTCAAAACATTTGCAGAGATATGGTACTTCGCTTTAAAAATGAAATTTAGTTAATTTTTTTGGAACTTATCTTAGTTCAACTAAACAGTTATTGGAATTTCTCCTTTGTTTTATAATAGTGCCATTTGATGTTTCTTAAGTATACTGCTGAATATTGACTAGATATTTGCAATGGTCATAATGCACATGAAGTAGGTTTTTATATTCAGTATACGAACATAGGAAGAGAGATCTGAATCAGTCATGTATTGAAGTATTTCAAGTAGTTATTTCTGTACACAGATTACAGTGAGAATAATCACATGATTATACTAAAGATTAATTGTAACAAAATCATAAAAAAAACATTGCTAGATGTAATCCTTTAATGCTTAAATTCATGATTGCCAATTTTCAAAAGACATCATTGTGAACTTTTTTTCTCGTTTTTAATGCTGACACATTTTTTGGAGGGGATTTCCAAATTAATGGTTATTCACATCTTATGCCCTGTAAGCTTCAGGGTCCGTTGAACAATTTTCATTTTATATAAAACTATCCATTACATTAAAAAGATCATTTTAGATGTAAACTTCATGTATATGTGTATAGTCCTTAATTCCTTAAGTTTGTACAGTGTGTAAACAAGGATCAGTTTATTATTCAGTTTTATTCCATGGAAAACCCAAGATTTGTATTTTATTTTTCAAACGGGTAATAATGAGGAGAATTAATAATGTGGTTATTCTCAGTGTATCTGATTGAGTTTATATATTGTTTGTGTTGAATAAATATCTAGTCTACATAACAGATCTGTGAAGTTCAAATTACAGCTTGTATTTTAGACAGTGATGAAGTAATGATTATACATGTACAGTGTATTGTAATTATGTAAAAATGTAATTATTCAAATGAAAGAAAATGAGTATTTTTTGTAATTCTTAAACTGCTAAGCTTCAAGAATCACTGGTGTAATTAGATTCTTTGATGCAGAGATATAAACATTGATTGTATTTGATTTGAGAGTACACCTCAATCATACAGGGGGTCTTTTATTGCATGATCACAAATTAGTGTCATATTTCATTTATAACATCATGTACATGCAAAATGAGACCCACCTGCATTTATAATGATCAGTGGGAAGCAGAAATTATAATTTAGACAAAAATGAAATTGTACATATGTTCTACTACAGCCCATTTCATTGTTTTATGTCGTCAGTAAAACCTAGAAAAAATAAGAAATACCATAATATTTTCAAAAAGATTTAACATGGCTGAAATTCCTTAAATTACAAAAAAACTAAATAATCTAAAATAAACAAATGTCATTCATGTACAATATTAATATACTTTTCCGTATATTATTGCACAATGGTCTCCTGATTTCTTATTTTTAGGGTTCTACTGACGAAATAAAACAGTGAAATGGGCTGTAGTTATCAGTGAAAAACTGCTGAAAATATATTTAGTTTAGCTTAGTATTCAGTATAAAACACTTCCGGTGTGTATATGAAAGTTTTTACTTTTTCAGTGTAATCAAATAAAAGAGCAATATACAAAGCTTTAACATTAGGATAAGAGTATCAGTGTGTTTACACAGTGTATGAATATTTTCTTACACAACTGCAAGTTGCAATAGATAAATGAAATATTTTGAACTTCAAAATGTAAATAGTTGTTGTGCAGGAGTAAAGTGATTATTTGAATGAATTATCAGAAGGGTTGATAGTGAACTTTTTCATTAGTCATCTCCATTGCTAAGCATCTGAGCCTTAGTCTTGCTTCAATGCCCTGTAACCTTCCCCTTGTCTACTTCAGCAACATTCTGTCTGTCAAAAGGTTGTTGAAGTCGGGGGATGGGGGAGGGGCTTGAAGCAAGACTATCTGACATGTTTGAGACTAGACTTGAATCAAGTTTCCTTGTGTTTACCCTAGAGAGGATGGGGCAACTGAAGGGAGGGGGAGGGGCTTGATGCAAGACTTTTCTCTAAAGCAACTGTCCAATGGGAATATTGTTACCCTTTGCATTCGTTTGACTTCACTTCTTAAAAGAAAGCTTCGTCTTCACTCTTTCAAACTAAAATAAACCTGTGAACTCACCGCGCCAATCAGTGTTCGTCGGCCAAATTTGACCGACGTTCTATATATGGGCATTCCTTCTGACGTCATCGTTGAGCCCGGGATTGACCAATGACATACGCATATTTAATTAGAACGCATTTGGCGTATGTTTCTTCAAGCTCGCTGATTGGTGGAAGAAAGGTCAGCACGTAGGTCAGAAGTGATTTATTACCCAAACTGTTACCGGTACCCGTCGTGGGGGCGGGGCTACTAAACTGTAATATGGTATCTACTAGGCAGAGTGTAGTTTAACTAGACTCTGCACGCAGGGTAGAATATTGTGGAAATGAATTTTGCATTGGTATCGAAACAAGGGAGATAATATGTGTGATTCACTATGCACTTTGAGATTTTGTTCAACAACTATTTATTCTACCATGGTAATGTATTTATATTACAACAAAATGACTTTGAAGGGAATTATATGGCCCATTAATAGTCCCATTCATGGCATACTCTTCAGATGGACATTAGTGTACTTGTTTACGATAAGTTGGCTATTGTAAATTGTAATGAAGCATGCATAATGCTGCTTTTGTCCGGGTAGTAATCTGATTTTAGGAATATTTATTTTTTCAAACTTATTTAAGTTATCATTATTTTACTGTCTTAATTTAAGATTTTATAGTGAAATATCATTCTGATGTATTATAAGTCCCTAGCTTTTGATTTCATGTGTTGTAAAATACCAATGACAATGTAACATGTAGTTATATTTCAATTTTTATTTGATGCTTGGTCATCTTATCATTTTGAAGTGGCCAAACAAATAAGCCTGAAGTGGCCTAGCTAACTGCTCTTATGGGAATTGACAATTTCCATGCAACATGTAATTCTAGTTTTTAAGTTCGTATTAGCTGGTTAGCAGTTTAGTGTTGGGCTAGGAATAAATTATATTTAATAATTACGTAATGTTTTGTGAATCATTCCATATGAGATAATACATGGTAATAGGGAAGTACAAATGATCATTGAAGTGGGTGTTCAAAATCTGAACATATAGAAGCAGCTGTGGTAAGTGCCCTTGCAAATGAGCTCCCCCCAACCATTAAACCTGAAATGAGTTGAAGTAGAATTGTATCTTCCCACAAATCTGTCTTCCATAGATTTTTGTCTACTATCACATTCATTTTCACGCCTAGTCTCAGCTCCTTTGAAGGAAATACAGATTTTCAAATTTTTGTAAACATCTAATTCATTTGTGATGTTTACAAAATGAATTAGTTTGGCCAACTCTTGCCAACGTCCTGTTTTAACTTTTTGTTAATTTAATAATTGCCCCATTTGTAGACTTGCACCAATACTTTGCACATTCCCCTGTCAATTACAGAAGGTTTAGGGAGGGGGCGCAGGGTTTTAATGCAAGACTACCCTGGATTTAAAAGATGGCATCAATGTTAATTAAAATACCAATTTGTCTATTTCATGTCCTAGTAGTATAGGAAACGTCCAAAAATTTTGCTTGCAATTTTGTCACCATTTGTATCTGATTTAGTTCATTTCAATTCTTGTTTTAATTCTGACAATTCATGACTAAAGGCGATCTACGAACAGGTCAAAATATTCCAAGGGTTGACTTAAATTGACAAATCACCAAAGCCAACATCAAAAAGATGTAAGATGCTCTAAGGAGTATCTGGAAATCGTCAACATAAGAAGTCCATAAAGCATTGCCCCTCGTGTTCATGGTCACTCTCCTAGTGACATATGTATGGTGCTATCACATGTGAATTGAACTATCAATAATTCCCCAGTGGTAATGTTCTCCTATACCCTTTTCAAGAGTGTGACCGTGTGTACTCTTAAAATGAGAGGATTGTTAATCTAGCTTAAACCTATCAGAGTACTGTAGATGCACTTAATTTGGCTCCTGTTTTAACTTAGAAGATTGAAAAAATCAGTCCGATTAAATGCGCCAATTTTCAGCAGGTCTATTTTAGAAGTTAAGAAAGCAATGCAAATTAAGATAAGTTCACTGAAACTCAACTAAGATTTATCTTGTGTACATTTCCTATTTGGATGTCAGTCAGTATACTGTCAGTAGTACACATGAATTGGGAAATGCTTATTTCCCAAATCCATGATATAACTTGAGCTCAGTCCTGAATCCGCCAAATTAAACAGCCTATTTTATTAGATGGCAATATGTCAAATTAAGTGTATCTACTAATCTTCATACCATCTCAAATGGAATACCATAAACTACATTTAAGATCATATAACATCAATATTCTAAAATCACATGTAATATTGAGAGGGTAACACAAATATGTGGATAGCTGATACAACAGGGTACTGTCAGTTGGATGCATCTGGAGAATGGCCATGTGGAAGTGATACATCACCCAGAGTGTGTCTTCACTAGTCCTCACCATGGGACCAATATAGCAACATAACAATTAATCTCCACAACAACCTGTTGACAGTTTACAACATAAATCTCACATTTTAATGGATCATATGGACTGGAATATATTAAGCATGACTATAGCTACAGCGAATTCCTTTGAATGTCCTGTAAAAATATACAATGAGAAAATATGGCAAGATCTGAACATTTTATGTTTTGATGAATTGTTGATTAATTATTAAAAAGGTTGACAGATCAAATGATGGTTTGTTGGGAAAATGTCTGGCAATCTACTTGTCTGAAAATACATCAATGGATTATGGAATTATAAATCTGGTCAAAATGACCATGAGGAATAGGATATATTGTCCCCCTCAAAGTTTTTTTCATAAAAATGCACCATAATTACCAGACATTCCTAAGATGATTTCCAATATTTTTTAAATCAGATCTGATACCCTTTTTAAATTAATTAATTTTGATTCTTTGAAAGAGAGCCATTATTTGTTTCAATAATAAGGACATTTAGTCTAATTATGATAGATGTGATTAGCCAAATAGTGTTAGTTTGTTTATTTAGTTCATTCTAGTCTGCATTTATATTTGGTTGTTTTCATAATGAACATGATCATGAATCTAAGGAACAGGCCAAAATTCCCACCAAAAATGTGTGAGGTCGTCTTGGTTACAGAGTGGGTGGATACTTTTTAGTTTCATTTCTTCAAAGTTAAAAGGCAAGAGAGTAAATACATTAGCTGAAAGTGAAACAATATCGCAAAAAGTTTGAGAAAAATTGATTTGGTCCAGTTGCAACATCCTTCTTCAAGGACTTCATTTATTCTTAAATTCATTAAATTATATACTTGTAAAATACCCTTGCAGCAAGGATGAGTTGCAAAGGATATATAGCTTGTCAACATCGATCAATGGCGATCATGCAATGCCCTCTATTATTTGTGATAATTAATTCATTATACAGATAGAGCGCATCAACGTTAAAAAGATATACCATTATGTGGTTGAATAAAGGGAATGCACAAAGTTAGTTGCCCTCTCAAGATATTCTGGTCAACAGTGCATTTTATATGGATTTTTTTGATAGCTGTTACTTTCTCCGAGAGTCAAAGTGACCACACAATACTCAACTGAACACCAATAATTAAAGGCAGATCTAGCAATTACTTCAATGTTGCCCCTTTGTTGCTTCATCTTGACGAAAATTGTTTCAATCTACGAATATTTTGGGCTCTTATCATGTCAATTTTCTAAGAATACCCAAAGCATACACTTTCTTTAGGAAAACTAAAGATTTTTAGAATCATGCAATCATTTCATCTGCCAACTATGATCTAATGCCAAAACCATCTCTCTCAGTCTGTGTACCCTTTCCAAAATATTTACATCCGGGATTTACATTTACTTTATACCCTCATTATATCCCCATAGACGTGGTGCTGATTTTTCACACCCACGTCTACTTTTGTATTAAAATCTTCAAAGGGCTGAAAAACTTTGTCAGTAGTTGACACATAGCTAAGTTTTATCTAAATTACCACTAACCCAACTTATTTCAACCGCAAGATTTCAATACACAAGTAGTCAGGTAGTATTTGAAAAATAAACCTCACATTTACCAGAAGCACTCGACTTCTAAAACTGGAAACATTTTGGGATTGATTGCAGTGTGCATTGCACCATGACCACTGAAAACTAATATGAACGGTAAAAATGACCTCTGACAACTGAAAACAATGGACCGCACCTACACTTTCAAATGAGCTTATAATCTGTTTTTTAAAAGATTTATAATACATGTAATAGAAAAGCGATCTTTTTGAGTGTTTGACATATATACGTTTGTTGGCTAGAGACTCGAGTAAGGTTATCCAAGACAACGCACAATCAAATCCTTGCAATCAAATAATGGCTGTAATTAAAAGTACGACCGCACCCTGAGTATTAGCCGTTCGCAGTTTTATCGGAACACACTAATTAAACATGGCGGCAGAAAATGAAAAGGTAAAAACTTCCTTGTAACTTTTTGTTATGTATTTAACGTATTATTTCAAATCATAAACGAGTAAATAATGTAAAAAGCGAAGGATATTATATATCTTGATTTGTGTGGGCGCAAAAGTTTAGATTATAAGTTTAAAACCAAAAGATCTGTAGAAATTCTTCCAGAGATAATTTATTTTCAATTTTTTGATTGACAATTTGAGTATTCATTTCATTTTCTATATCTACCTACATCTCTACATCAATAATTTCCAAAAGCCTAATACGTCTATTTAAGCAAGATATATAGTTAAACAATTATAGAGTTTGAATAGAATATAAATACCGATATTTCATGCTTTTTCTCAAAGGCGCATCGAGTTCACAGATGCTTGTGTTTACCCCGTGCCAGGACTATAGTCCTGCATCGAGCGCAATCTTTTGCCTGTACGATTACAACTTGGGAGAATTATCTACGCCCCTTACACTTAATATACCTACTTCAATATATTCCTGGGTATTTTAGCATTCTTTTCATGTAGTTGAATCCACAATTGTCTGGGTATATCGGCAGAACGGGAACATTTTTCATTTTCATCGAGAGATATTTCATCACTTTCCAAGATGGCGGTTGGATTTAAAAGGGGATTCCCTGTTTGACTGACCCGGAAGTGTCTCGGATGTACCAATAAATGGAGAAATTTGACAGTTAAATATTACACGCAAATATTGCGATCAAAAACGAAAATTTCTTTGTTCTGCCTATAAACCCAGACAATTGTGGATTCAACTACACGAAAAGAATGCTAAAGTGCTGATCCATATTAATTGATAAGTCGTATAATTGGCATATTTTCTTGAATTTTAACATTTAATGTCCCAAACTCTCACAAACTGCAGAAAAGTATACACCATAAATCATATTTACCAAAATGAGTGTCTCCAAGGCAGAATCACACCAGCGTATGCATAATGCATTTGTCACGAGTTTGAGTTGAAATTTCGCCAAAATGAAGTAGGCTAATGGTGGTCTCTGCCAGGTTTGTTTATTGTGGTAAGCTTGTAGGTGCTCAGAAGCAAATAATTCATGTGCGCAAAATAATCAAATAATCTGATTGGTTTAAACTTAACTATTTGTGCATTCTATCCATCAAATGAGAGTCTCACAGGTATTTAGGCAAATTCATTTTGGTAGGAGCACTCTGTTTAGTTTGAAAACGCACCGTCGCACCCTTTATTATTATATATCAGCACTGTAGAATACCAAGGAATCTATTGAAATAGATATCTTAAGTGTGAGAAGCATAGAAAATTCTCCCATGTTGTAATCGTACAGGCAAAAGAATAAGACATTTACAGGACTATAGTCCTGGTACGGGATAAGCTTGTGTACTTCTGTCATTTGGAAGGGTTTTCCCTCAATTGTTGTGATCAAACTCAATTGTGTTCCATTTTGACAGTTGGTTGTTCTGTTGATCTTCCCAATATACCAGCAATACTATACTCATTAGTCGAATCTCTAGCCAAATTACTTGGCTAGAAGACACATGTGGACCACCGTGTACTAGTGAAAACGTTTATTCTGGAGTAAAAAATGAGAATAATGAGAATATTTCATCAATTAGAATTCAAACGGACACTGTCCTTTGTGAAATATTACATTCTTTCGTCTAAACTTAAAATCATTTGGTCTGCCATTCTTAAAAACATCTGTTGAGGTTGATCTTTATCTCGCTTTAGCGAAAAACAAAATGGCCGTTTTTACCAAAGGAACTTTTTCAAAAGTTTGCTCTTAGAAAAGACTAAATAAAAGCCGACATAGATGGTCATTTGAACTAAGACTACATACTAAGTTCAATGAAGGTGTATTTATCACATTTGAGTTAATTCATAGCAACAGTCCACATGGAAAAGCGTAAAAAGCAATAAAACAAACAGTGCTTGATGAACTCATCAGTATCAGATATATCAAAGGTGTGAAAGATTTTATATAAGCACTTATGATGGGACATCAATGATTATCTGGCGGAGAAACACATGGCATACCTGGCGTACATGGCGTGCATTTTTCCAGAAAATATAGATGGCTAAGCAAGTGGTTGCGTGGAAGAAGGCAGCACATCTGGGGGTTTGAGGCATGCTCCCCCGTGAAAATTTTTTTGTCATTGAAGACTTCATTTGGTGCAATCTGAGCATCTTTAAGGACCATAAATAGTTTTATCATTTAAAATAGCATTTTTGAAGTTTCACTGAGAAATCTTATCAAAAAACTTTTTGGGCAGTTTCAGAGGGGGTGCACCCAACACACCTCCCATTTTGACACCCATGGTCTAAAGACATTAGACTCTGGAGAAACGTGTGAAAAGAGAGATACATTCCGATAGAGAAGATCATATGATCTGTTGACTTGTCGCCATATTCAAAAAAATAAATTCGTTCGACTTTTCACCTTTTCATTCCATCCTTACCGCACTAACTGCAACATCTATGCAATAACTGAATAAAAGTTTATCGTATTTTAAAACGCCCTAGAGCGCTTCACATGTTCTTGGGGGAAGAAGCACCCAAAACCACCTTCAAAGTTTGTTCGTTTAGCTAACTTGTGGCGTACACTCACAAAATACCCAGGCTATGCCACTAATAATTATAGACTATCCAAATAATAGGCTAAGGGAAAAGAAGTAGTAAGTTCAATCAGAAGATCTTGCACAACTTTTTAAAACCTTGCTCTCTTGGCACAAATTCTCATTACTGGTATCAAATTGTTTCCCCAAATCTCCAGAATCTACCCCAAAGTGTTTTCAAATGTATACTGTAAAAAGTGATTATTTTAACCCTCCGATAATACTGCATAAAAGACAACAACCATAAATATCATTCTGCAACTGCCTAGCAAGTTGAAACTTTGGGTCTAGTCTATTGGGTTTGGCATATTCACACTGGAATAGCCTGACAACGGTAAAGTCGGATACCGTTCTAACAAATGGCGGACATAACTGTCGCTTCAATTAGATTTTCTTGAACTGTATGTTTAATAATGTTCTACCATCGAAATAAAGTCTTTAATTTAACTGATCAAAATGAGATATGGGAAAACGGACACTGTAATTACCATATGCCGTTGTCTTTCTAAATTACTCAAATTCAGATTCCGTTGTCATTGACGATATCGAAGACGCTTTATTATGGCGATTCATGAGCCAATTTGATAGAAAATGGGATTTCATATGATACAGTATCACAAGAGCTCAATGTATGCACAGAATTAGCTACGATAAAATCCCATGAAATGAGGACCAAGTGATTGAACAGTTGAAGCGACGGTTACATGTATGTCCGCCATTTGTGACAACAGTATCTGACTTTACAATTTTTTAACAAGTAATGCATCTCGCTCAACAAAACGGTCCTTTGTCCAAGGGTATTTCAATTCTTTCCATAACTGCCATCGTAGTGAAGCCCAACTTGAAGGATGTAACAAAAGAGAGTAAGATTCTGTATGCACGTTCATGTACATGTACATTGTACATCTATATCAATTTTATTTCATAATGTTTATCACTTTTAGTATGACAAAGGCTTAGACTTGGATCTAGATCTGCGACTACGTAATAGCCAAGATAGTGAAGATGATGTCATTTTCACAAATATTCCTCTAGATGATAACAAGAAAGATGGCAACCAGGTGAACACAGAGCTTTATCCTCCAGGGGTGTACTACTCTACAGACACGCTCAATACTCCAGTAAGTAAAAATACAATTCTGAATTCTATAATGAGATATTACATTTTAATTGATTAAGACTGTTCGATATTCTGTATTGGCACTAGACTTTGTCTCATTCCGATACAAAATTTCTCAAACAGAATATATCCTGTATTGCACTTCAAATCATTCAATAACGTTTTTATCGTGTGATCCTCTGTATTGCTACTTAGATTGTCTCCTCCATACCAATATTTTCTGTATTTCGACGGAGGTGATCAACGGGGACAACCTCAGTAGCAATACAGATCGGTACAGCACAATAACTGACCAATCAGAGGGCTTCATTTTACAGATCATTCGATAAATTCAATTGTACATATGCTTATGTTGCTATTGCTAGCTAGGTTTTGGTTGAGGGAATGCTACTCTTGATTGAGTTAAGCCATCATCCATGTATGAAACATACCAAGCCTGAATCTAAATCATCAATTTAAGACATGAAAAGACTAATGGTGCCTTCTGTTGCATTTCTGAAGTACAAATAGTGGTTTACAAACAAATTTTACTTGTTCCTGGCTAGAGACTAGAGATTTCGCTGCAGAATTCCAGGCAGGATTGCACCTGTTATATCACCCTCCCTCTGGTTATGGGCCATTTATTGCTATTTTCAATGTTTGAAACAATTAAAATATGGAAATACTGAAAAGGGTAGTTTGTTCTTGTTTTGCAGAGATCTGTAGGGGAATCAGAAATAGATTCCGGCATTCTTACTTATGGCGAAGATGAAAATAAGGAGAGAGGCAATTGGTCTGGAAAGCTAGATTTCTTACTTAGTTGCCTTGGTTACGCAGTCGGTTTAGGTATTTTATTTTTATATTGTTTGACGTACTTAGAGAAACATTGTTTTTACAATGAATTTCATCCTTTAAATCTGTTTCTCTGTTTTCTAGTCATGCTCTAGTTATCAAAAAATGATTATTCCAAGTTATAAAATAGCATGATTTTGGGGTATATGTAAATACATGGTAATGTTCTTTGTTCTATTTATCAAAAAGGATGATGGTTCCAAGTTATGGAATTTCATGATTTTGAGAAATTTGTAAATACCCTGTAATGTCCATTGTTCCTGAATTGTAGGAAATGTATGGCGATTCCCCTACTTGTGTTACCGGAATGGTGGAGGGGCATTCTTGATTCCATACGCCATTATGTTGGTGTTTGTGGGTCTCCCATTGTTCTTCATGGAGTTATGTTTAGGACAGTTTTGCAGTAGTGGGCCATTGACATGCTGGTCATACGCACCTATGTTCAAAGGTAGGCCTTCTCAATATGTTTTGTTTGATACAGTTAAACTGGAAAGTGGAACACATTTGGGACACCTAAAAAGTGTTCCATTTGAGAAGAAGGCTCATTTACAGTGGTTCATTTAACATTTAGTGAATAGGTCATGGGTGTTCCTTACCAAGGGTGTTCCACTTAACAGGTTTTACTGTCATAGTATTTAACTACCATATGTTATTCAGATAGGCCATTTTAAGTTAATGATATGTTTAATATCCTTGTTCTAGAATATTATCATCTTTCTGTAGAATCAGTTTTAGACAATATGAGCTCCCTATTTTATTTGAAAAATAGCCTCAATTGATTGTCTGACTCTCATACAATTATTTTTTATTATTTCCAGGGATAGGTGTTGCCATGATGATTGTGTCTAGTCTAGTAGCGGTATATTATAATATGATCATAGCCTGGTCACTCTATTATCTCATAGCATCATTTACATCAGAGTTACCATGGGCTGACTGTGACAATGATTGGAATGGGAAAGGTAAGTTAGCACACAATAACTATACTCAAACCACTGTTCCACAACTAGTTACTTCGACGGAACGTCAATGTATCAAAATGGATGAACTTCATTTGAGCAAAAAATGTGTCTTTTAGTAATTTGCAACATTTAAGATCATTATGTGGAAGAACTTAAAAGAATTCTGGTGACATGATAAGTGTTTGTATAATAAAGCTACTACATCTATGTATGAGTTCTAACAAATGTTATTGATTATTTGATCAAAATGCACTTAAAACCATAGCTTATGGATCAACTTCTATTTCACACACACCGTAATATAAAAAGATTCTTTATAAGTTTTATTTTGGCAGTATCTCTCTCTTCTATATTGCTGTATTTTACATTTGGATATTGAGTACATTGAGTGTGTTGTGTTGTAGGTTGTAGTTTAAGGTGGCCTCTATTGAAAGAAGATGAGTGCCAAGGTCGTGGAACAATCGAATACCCCAATGGTACATGCTATACACAGCAAGACGACAAGACATACAAATTTACTGGTGTTTACAACGAATCTCTATTTTTTCAACAAACAAAAATTAAGCGTATCTTGCCAAGTGAAGAATACTACAAGTAAGATTTTCTTGGTTTCTGCTCAGTAGATGCACTTTTGTAAATAGTTGATTGATACAACAGTGATATTTTTAGTATTGTAGCAAAATGTCACCACCTGTCATTTGTTACAGATGCCAAACACTGAATGCCAAATTCCAAACCACTTGTGGGGGTGACATGAAAATAGAAGAGAATAATACATACTTTTTGTTACCACCATGAGTTGGTGACAAATTGTTACATGAAGCCGTTTTTTGTGACTTTTGTTTTGGATAAGGCATTGAGAGTTGGCTTTTGCAACAAACTATTTCACTTTTGTAACTAGTTGCAGGTGGTGTATTTTAACACATTATTGCCTTGGAGTTTGATATTCTTTAATATGAGCCTTGTATACATCATAATTAGTGTTTGATTACAGTTTTTGCATGTTAAAACTTTATTTTGATTTTCAATTATTTTATGTTTGCTACTACCCTGCTACATTGCAGCATGTAAATGTACAAATTGTCAAAGAAATGTTAAAGAGCTAACATATTTTACTGCATGATTTTTAGATCTTTCTAGAAATTAATGTTACCTTGAATTTTAGTAATCTTGCTTTGCATCAACCATTGAATTGATATTACATCTTCATTTTCAAGAAAGATTGTCGTTACTTTCTGCTATAAATATTCCTAATTTAAATGTGTTTAACAAGCGAATCACTAATTTCACACCAATTTGTCAGTTTTTCAAATGCTGGACAGTTTTCAGGTTAAAGTAAAAAATTCAAATTTTGAGAAAAACATGAAAATTTGACAAATAGTGTATGAGGAACAAAAAAGAGACGGGTCAAATGTTAACACACAAGGAATTGATGCAAGACATTTAAAATTTGAGCTATATATTTTGCTATTTTGATCTTTGTGTTTTCCAGTAATTATGTGCTGAATCTCAGTAGTGGAATAGATGATATGGGAGCCCCCCAGTGGAAGTTGGTCCTTGCCCTTATTGGGGCATGGGTCATCGCATTTATGTGCATGATTAAAGGCATCAAATCCTCTGGAAAGGTGATTTGTTGGCCTTCCATTGAATGAAGCATCCACAATGTTAATACTATGAGTTCTGGGATGTTCAAGTGGTATCAGGTTGATCATGTAATCTTGGGAGATGTTACTTTTTTGGAAAATTTTATCGAAAATTTGCAAATCACATTCTTTACTTTTGCATTCACAAATTTAATCACATAAAAGATGCAAACTGCTAATTCACAATGATGTATATTGCGATTGAGTGTGACGTTTTGTGAATACAAAAACATGGGAATTGCAACAGAATGCGAATTTGGATTGAAAATGTTAATAACAATATGCCGATGTGCTGTTTTGTGAATAAGTTCTCAAATATGCTATCATTTCATGACTAAGACATAGATATGCCTGCAGTTTGAAATCCCCTGAACCTATCATACAGTGTCAACATTGTGTTTCAGTTTCATGACTTGTAATATATTTTGTCTGTGCATGGAGCTTTTCCCCTTATAATATCTACATATAATATAAAGACTAAGTATCCTTTCGTTTGCTTATTTTAATAATTATCATACATTCATTTTGATTCATATTTTTCGTTATTTTGAAAATGTACAGGGTTTTTATGATTTCAGTTTATTGAATAATTAATGACGTGATAGATTAAAAGACCAACCTGTATATTATATTTATTTTTTGATTATTTTGCTTGATTTAAAGTTACTCAAATTCTGCATGCTTTTATAAATATTTAAACAATAACCCATCAAGAGAAAAGAAAGTCTAATTCATATGTAACATAATAGTGCTGTTTTCTTGCAGGTTGTGTACTTTACAGCCACCTTCCCTTATGTAGTACTTGTTATTCTACTTATACGTGGGGTGACCTTAGATAATGCGGGTCAGGGAATATTATTCTACCTTCAGCCTGACTGGCAGAGACTAGGAAATGCTAAGGTAAGGTGCTTCAAAAAGACATTTGGGAAAGTTGTCCCAGCTCTAAGGGAATTGAATGTAATATCTTTCATGCTGATTTCCTTACAACTCTCACATACAGACTGCCTTATACATGTACAGTAAAACCTGTTAAGTGGAACACCTCTGTTAGTGAACCTCTTTAAGTGGAACACCAATTTGAACACTTTTTAGAGGTACCAAAGGTTTTCCACTTTGACAGGTTTTATTGTTTTGTTTTTTTGGATCGTAATTAGGCCAAATATTAAAAGTAATAATTACCTTTATTGATTTGCTTTATATTGTGTCATCCCAAAGCAAAACCAAATAGGAAAATCTTAAGAAAACAAAACAAATTCAGTTCAATTCAGATGAATTTGTCAAACTAGTGGAATAAAACTCGTACAGTAAAATCTGTCTAATATGATCACTACTTGGACTGGCCAAGTATCGAATTGGCAGGTGTTCACATTTCACATGTACATTTAACATTGTAGTCATTGTAAATAAAAAAAAATGGGATAATTAGTGTTCATATTGAGAGATGTTCAGATTAGATAGGTGTTGGGGTATAGAGCTTTTAATGTACTTGTTATATTTTATTTGTATATATTTTTCATTAAGGTATGGAATGACGCTGCAGTTCAAATCTTCTTTTCTCTGTCCAACTGCTGGGGAGGCCTCATCGCTTTAGCCAGCTACAATAGATTCCACAATAATTGTCTCAGGTATGTTATTGTTGTTTTATTCAACCCAATCTCTGACACTAGAGAGAGTTGCATGGCTGCAAAGTGCATTTGCAAGAACACCTTTCACTACTCAGCGCATATTTTACAAAGTAGCACAACTTATTGCATCTTTTACACAATAGCCACTCTAAACTATAACTCATATCTTTATTATCCCAACAAATGAGGTTTGGAGGGGGATATTGTGAAAACTCATGTTGGTATGTCCAGATGATAAATTGCTATTTTGACCAGAGTGGTGAATAAAAAAGTCATTGATTTATTAGTAAAAAAATCAACTTTATTTAAGTTAATTTAAGTTGTTTACATTATGTCATATGATATACAGTGTGTGGTAAATTCATTGGATTTGGACTATTTGACTTAAGAAAATATGCAAAACATAGAATGATGAGAGCAAAACAATATTGTAAAATTGTAAAATATTTTGAGACATCTCTATTTCTACATTTTGCATAAATATATAATATAAAATACTATAAACAGTGCAAAACAATAATATACTGATTTGAATTTTTATGTGTGTTAGCAACTTAGCATGTATCACATACAGTAAAACCTGTCTAATCTGAACTCCTTTTGGACCAGCCAAAAGTGCTCGGAGTAGCAGGTGTTCAGATTTTAAGCTTTTTTAATATGAGAAATAACAAATTTGGTGTTCAGAGTAGAGAGGTGTTTGGATATACAGATCTCACACTGTAGTGCTTGAATTATAATTCCTATCACTTTTTTTCCTTGATACATATTGTATCATAAACCTCTAACATTCAGTTTGTTAATTTGGTGGTTCTAGGGGGTAATTTCAAACCCAATTGAATAAATCCGACATGCTTTTTGATTGAGTTCAACCCAGCCACCAACTATAATGTTGTCTGGTTCAACATGGCCTTGCCACACCCTGCCATCTAGTACACCAGGAGTTCCACTTCTGCACTGCTTATATGTGATACCTGCGGGGCTATCAGCATGAAAGAAACCAACTTTGTCAGAAGGTTGAACCTGGAACCAAAATTTTAATGTTACATAATATGAAAGTATACTCTATATACTCCTGGAAACTTGAAGTAGTATGTCAAACTAATACAAATCATGTAGTGTATACATTAAAAAAAGTTTATATGAGCTGCTGTTACTTGTCAATCTTTACAATCTCTAAGTTTTATGCTATGATTAAAAAATTACAAGAAGTTGATAAAAATTTTAAAAATCAACTTTTTTTTACAGCCACCCTACATAACATTGAATGAGTTTTACCTGAATTCTCTTTTCGGCTTCTATATGAAATGTATTTATTCTTCTCGGGTGTATTAACACTTCATTTGATCCCACTAAAGTGAAATTTAATGACAACTCATTTCGACGCCATATTTGCATGTGAACCGTTGTGTACATCTCAGAGTAAATAACCCATTTGGAGATTCCCCCTCCTTTTGTAATGCGTAGAGTCTTCATGTCAATCACAGTCACCAAGTTTGGACCATCAACAGTGCCGTAATTCATCATTGGATTTTCTTGGTAAATTGGTACAGTTGATGATGCTTTAAGAAATGGAAGATTTAGAAACTGCATTACATACACAGTATTCCACAATTCATTGTTATAGTACAAAAGTCTTGTTAGCACTATGTAAAAAATGTTGGTTTTGAATAATTTTTCTGACTTAAAACAACCTACCTTCACACTTAGGGACGTTTGTAGAACAGTCTGAAATTAAATGAGTACCAATAAATTGTATATTATGGGTCCCATGATAATTCATTGATTTAATGCAATATATCTGAGTCATGCTTTGAAACATGTTGCTTTATTACTACAAAAGAAAATTCAACGTTGGCACTTTTTATCAAATATTTGGAGTGTAATGGAGTGACTTATCCAACACAGAATCATTCTTAAAAATTATGAAAATCATGACACTTATGAGAGACATTTGGCCAAGATAGAAGTCATATTTAAAATATTTCCAGTGTATCATTATAGTTGCTTCAGAGTTGTTTACCAAATAGACCATAGTATTATAGGTTGAAATGGTCTCATTAGGTATTTTTTTGTAGATTGTGAATCATTATGTCACCAGAAGTGGTGACATATTGTTATAGTCTCCAATTTCTTTATGGACAGTGTTTGGCGTCTGTAACAAATTACAAGGTGCTGACATTTTGTCATGTGAATGTCTTGTAGGGGTTTAATATTTCCATACCTGTTACATCATACTTGTCCCTATAATCTTTGTTTCTGCAATAGGTCTCAGTATTGCCACACCAACCACCTGTACTACAACATGGATAGATCCCATCCCAGCCAGATATAGGGGAATCAATGGGGCATTCAAGGTTGTTAAACAATGGCCCACATCTACCATCTTGACTTACTATTGAAGGGTGTTGCACTAAAAATACATATAAATGCTATGATGTCAAGCATTTGGACCAGGCTCAAGATAAATTTTAGAGGTTATATTGATAATGCAGCACACATAATATTGTTGTATTGTACTGTACAATATTAGCCTATTTTAATCTTATTATTACATTTGTTAAATTTATCTCTCTGTATCAGTTTTCAATGCAATTAATTTATTTCCTATTTTCTTGAATTAAGTACAACAAATGATATACACTACCTGACATGTGCTTGTAAACGTTTTGGCTCACATGGTGAATTATTTTGGATCATATTTTAGCTTGTTAGTATTCTTACCCATGCATTGATCATGTTTTGGTACAATTGTAGCAACACCATTTATGGAAGTGCATGCCATAGAGTGGAACCCATTAGTAATTTCATAACCATCATTACATTCATATGTAACACTGTCACCAATCATCAAAGAATCATCTCCAGAAACAATCATAGCATTTTCAACATTTCCTAGTTGTGCACATGCTGTAAAATGGAGTCTACTGTTATTTCCAGAATGGGCAATGTTTAAAAAAGTCAATCATGCATACATTTGTAGAATCATTCATTACATAATAACATTATAATATAAATTGATTTTTTGTCTTGTTCTCAAAAGAATTATGTACGTGTGGTTTAAATGATTCTTTGACCTATATTTGCCTATGCTTTACACTTATTGTCTGAGCTAAAATTGCTTCTTGTTTTTAAAGATGTCATGGTTTGAGTTCTTTTAATTTTTACTACCTGTTTGGAGTTTCATTGGTCGTTAACAATATTTAGATAAAAATGCATATGAAATGTATATTTCATACCTTGGGAAGAGGCATATTTCTCTCTATAGTCTACACAGCCAGAACATGTACAATGTGGCACCTCTTTGCCACACCATCCTCCAGGGCTGCAACAGGGGTAGATTCCATCCCACCCTGGGATTGAACTAGCAATTGGACACTCAGTGTTGTCAAACTGTGCACCACATCGACCAGTGGAAGTAATCTTTGAAGGATCTTGTTCTTTCAAAACAAATCAGTTGTTTGTATTGATTTAAATCGGGAGAAATCCTGATTTTTATCCTGATTTTAAGAAAATATCTGATTTTAAGAAATATCCCGATACTAGCTTAGACTATGCATCTTTTCTGGAGAGATTTATTGAATCCAAAGATAAAATACTGACAAGAAATATTCAGTTTAAAAGTAACTCTTCATGATGATCATTTTGAGCACTTAAATGCAATATTAAAATGTACTTACCTTTCACACGTGTACATATTCCACAGGTTTGCTTGCAATAACGTGTGGCAAAGTCATTCTCTTCAGAACATAAGGTTGGCATGTGTTCCAAAAGTTGCAGACAATTATTTGCATCATCCAAACAAGCTACATCTATATCTGGTGGGATACCTTTACAGACATATGCTTTTTCATAGGCACATGACGTATCATCCCAGTGCCATGGATCAGTTCCCCAAAATTTTTTATTGATAAAGGTACAGTTATCAAGTCCTTCTTTACCATTGGGTTTTCCCACCTTCCAATCTGTATATGGTTCATATGATCCATCAGACCATTTCCAGCGGTTTTCCTGTTCTTGGTCATTCCATCCTATCCAGTATGAACCAGTAATACCACTAAAATTAATTATTTTAAGAATACAATGTAAATCAGAGATTGCTCAGTACTAGGAAGTATCATGTCATATCAGATAATACAGTACACATGTTGACATTTTATTTTTTATTTTACCCATTTGATGCTACATTCTGTATGAAGTTATCTTCAGCTTCATCATGCATACTGGCAAGGTGACCTCCCTCTGTTATACAATACTCTTCTGCCAAATACCAGGTATGGGCACTGGGGAATGCCTTGTAGCAGTTCTCATTGTAAAAACTCCATCCAGATTCGCAACCATCTAAAATATACAACTCAATCAAGAATTTCTTAATTATTGTGTTTTCACAGATTGGTTATTCTTGTACCATTTAAAAAAGTATTTGGGTAAATTCCAGATTTAGCTAAATCTCACAAAAAGCAGAAATCCTATTATGAAACAGTGCTTGTTTATTACATTATTTTTGATTTAGACTACAATAGTGAAAGAAATTATATTAGTGGCAAATGGATGAATGGTTAAAAAAAGTCATATGAAATCATTATCATACCCTCAGCCATTCTTTTGCATATAAACTTCATAGTAGCATTGCAGTTCTTATCGTCCCAATATCTTCCACTTTTTTTAATAACGGCTGTGCAATCTTCACCGTTACTCCCTCCATTATTTGGCTTATTACGATACCACCACCTTAGGTATGCAGATGGATTCCCATCCAACCACTTGAATCTTGGATATGTGTTGTACTCGCCAACATCCTCTGTTAGACCTATCCAAAGATCATATACTCCATGGCTGAAGAAGAGAATATAACACTTAAATGCTACAAGTCTACAAAGACATATACAAATATATTTATTTCAAATGATAGGCAAGTGACATCACTTCAATAATTCCATCTTTCCAAGTATATCTTGAAACATTTACACAATTGTATGAAGCTTTAATGATCAGATGATGACCAAAGTTGGTTTAAAAGCATTGGTATATCACTCTATAGATTGCCAATGTGTTTGCCTTAATCTCCTTATGGAATCTGTGTACATCATTAATATAAATCATCTGTGCATACTGTCCATTTACCTTTCTGCTAATTCATAGATGAGCGTTGGTTTTGGCATATCCAATAACCAATTTTACAAACAAGCCTCATTTGACATTAAAATTTATCTCAGAATGTTCATATAATAATCATATAATATGTAAATAATTCATAATAATAATCATATATATATGTAATGACTTCAGTATGAATGAAATGTCCCTTGGTCTTCTGGTCTTGGATTGTGATATTGATTCTTGAATGGTGGGGGGAAAGGGGGTATTAGACTTTTGGCACTAGTGCTTATATATTTCGCTGTTGTCTTATGATTATTCTCTACAAGAATGGATAGCGTAAATGATGTTGAACTGAAATAAACCTTGCCATTTCCATGATTTCAAATTTTACCTTTCGCATGCATGGCTCTGAGAAAACATTTGCTCATGATTGTTCATGTGATAATATCCTGATATTGATTGGACATCATGTACTGATGAGCTTGATTTTAATACATTATGTTAATGAATACGAAAGAATTCGGGGAGCTACTCACTTCTTCTACTGCTGGTTTTTACAAAATCAAATTACTTAGATAAATACAGGGTGTCCAAAAAGGCATTGTGTGAAAATTCAGATAAAATGCATATTTATAAGTTCTAATATTTATTGAAATGACTTGTATCCTAGCATATACACACATGCACATGTTTTTTTGTTTTGTGTTTTGTAGGGATACACTCATCGTGGCATTCGGGAATTGCTGCACCAGTGTGTTTGCTGGCTTTGTCATCTTCTCCTTCCTTGGTAACATGGCTGGCATCATGAATACCACTGTGGATAAAGTCGTTGATAGCGGTAGGAAAACTTAGCCCCTTTTGTTTGTTCAATTGTAGCATAAGTGTATTAATAAGTCATAAAAAAGAGAAAAGTATTCATTCACTTATAAACACCTTTTTATAAATGTTTGCTCTATATAAATGGATATAGATGTGCAACAGATAATGACTTAAGACACACCCGTTATAAACATGGTGTATAAACCATTTGAAACCACAATCGAAATTTGGCATTTCCGTGTGTTGGACATTTTTGCCTTTTTCTACTTGGTATTAGATCATAAAAAGACTTCCTAAGAATTTTATGCAGAAGCACGATTGACATTGTCATTGTAAGTGCTGGTTTTTCTCTGCGAATAAGTAGCTTTTCAATTCAAAATATATTGCGTGAAAATCTGAAATTTCTTGTAAAAATGAACTGCTCCTTCGCATTGACCAAATTCACAGGCTGGTATCGTAAGATTTGTCTGCTGTGACGGAGCATGCTATTTTTCATAAAAACATTAAGAATACTTCACAATTTATTTTTTAACTTATATGTTTAGTTTTATCAAAGAAAATTACCTACTCCATGCAATGAATATATCATTTGCGGATAAGCTTCACTTCTATTTGAAGTTCAGTAACGCTAGGAACAAAAGCTATTGAAAACGGCTCCAGAGTATCAAACTCTAAAATGTACCATTTCTTTTTTAACTTTTTAATGGCATGATATATTGACATGATAATATTTACATATGTTTTCAGCATAACTCTGAATGTATTTATGAAATCTGGATGTATTTGGTCTTTTTAATTTTCTTTAAAAAATAATGTTTAGATTTTTTCTGTTGTGATGGAGCAGTTTCACAGTTCATATTTGCAACTGCTCCGTCACAGCGGACAAAAAATTAAACATTATTTGTATAAAAGAAATTAAAGAGACCCAATACATTAATTATTTTATCATTACCTTCAGAGTTATGAAAAAATATGTAAATATTAATGGGTCACTATATCGTGCCATTACAAAGTTAAAAAAAGAAATGATAAATTTCAGATTTCGATACTCTGGCGCTGTTTTCAATAGCTTTTACTCCTAGCGTTATGGGACTTCAGATAGAAGTGAAGGTTACCCGAAAATGATATATCCATTGCATGGTGTAAGTAATTTTCTCTGATATAATGAAACATATGAGTTAAAAAATAAATTGTGTGGTTTTCTTAGTGTTTTTATGAAAAATAACATGCTCCGTCACAGCTGACAAATCTTTCTATACCAGCCTGTGAAATTAAGTGATGCGATTCAATGGAGAATTGAATATTTGTAAGCAATTCACAGTGTCTTGTGACACTTTTTCTCAAAGGTGTTCATAACAGCCATTTTTACTTGTGTTATTTTTCATTTTTTTACTGTCTTGAAGAATACTGTATAACATGAAATATTGCCGTGGATATAAAGTTGCCGATTGCCGAATGTAAAACAGAAACGGCAACATAAAATTCGGAAATATAATGAAGTAATTGAAGATCGATCTTAGTGGGCGATAATATGGTAGTTGTCTAATGTGTGTCAACTTACTGTAATAGGGTAATTTTCTAACGAGTATCAACTTACTATACTTTAACAAAAATCATAATAAAATACGATAAAACCGAAGCTTTATTCCCCAGCATAAAATTACAATAAAAAGTTAATAATAAAAATGTTGCAGTTAAAATGTATGCAGTAAATTCTATACAATATTAAATGGATTGTCATGTTAAACTTTCAAAAGATCTAATTGTATCCAAGAGCTTTGGAAATCCCAGTATTAAAAGTTTCTAATCCCGATATTAAAAGTTTTTAATCCTGGTATTAATTGTCCTGAGTCATTCAAATGCGGGTAATCACTCAAATTGTCACTCATAATGTCAGGATGTCAGGTTTTCTGAGTCAGTCAAATGAAGGTAATTAAAATTCAGTTGTACATCAAAATTATATTAGGGGTGTCAGCTTAGCAATATTTTATTTGGCTTTACATTTAGGGGTGTCAGGTCGGCAAACTTTTATTCGGCAATAACAATTTTAATCCAATTCGGAAAATAAAGCACCCAGATTTAATACATGTTATACAGTAGTGGAGCGATTTGTTCATATATGATATGTAAATATTTATAAGCAATATACACAGTCTTATTGCACTTTTATAGTATATTCTTGTCTTGAAGGGCCAGGCCTTGCATTTATAAAGTATCTTTGTTTTGTAGGGCCAGGCCTTGCATTTATAGTGCATCTTTGTCTTGTAGAATCAGGCCTTGCATTTATAGTTTATCTTTGTCTTTTAGGGCCAGGCCTCGCATTTATAATATATCCTTGTCTGTTAGGGCCAAGCCTTGCATTTATAGTGTTTCCTTGTGTTGTAGGCCCAGGCCTTGCATTTATAGTGTACCCATTTGCTGTGACAATGATGCCAGTGTCTCCCCTTTGGGCCATCCTGTTTTTCTTCATGCTCATAACACTTGGACTTGATAGTCAGGTCAGTAGCATGCTACCCTTCAACAGAGATCAACCATGTATGAACTCTAAGGAATTTTTTCATCTTAAATGCATAGCAAATGAGTCAGAAAATAGTGAAGCAATATTTTGAAGCTATAAGTAGCTAGTAGTTATCTCACATTTGAAATCCCAGTAGTAATTGATTAGTGATTATATTACACAATCCTAATCTTCAGGGTACATTCCTCAAAAATGATATTTGAATAAAATAGTTGACCTAATGACCTTTGTTGGTGATTATAGCCTCTGAGCATCTGTAACAAATGGTTACATTTACATTATAATGTCAAGTGAATGCTTGTTTCTTTTCTAGTTTGCCATGTTGGAAACAGTCATGACGTCTATAATGGACCAATTTCCACATGTTCGGAAAAAGAAGACATTCATAATTCTCTTCATCTCCATTTTGTTCTTCCTTTGTGGTTTGACATTGACCTGTAGGGTAAGTACGTCAAGGTCAAGGTCAAGGTCATGTAATATTGATGACCTGGGAATGACATCACAATATTGATCCCTGGATCCAGGCATACAGCCATGTGGTAGATTAGGAGAGTGCAGGTATTCACCAAAAGTGTTCATTGTTGTCTTGTGTGAACAGAAAATGAAGCAATATGACTTGTTAGTGTTTGACCTTTGTGGGATTTATATTAATGTATAAGTTGCTGTTGAAATAGAATATAACTTTCAAAGCAAGCTATCTCTCTATTCCATAAGGCATAAATATGAATTAATAATATCGTTTTATGAAAAACTTGTGTAATGTTGATTGAATGTAGGTAATGTTCATAGAATATTTTCCTATTGCAGGGAGGGGCCTACATGTTACAGTTAATGGACACATATTGTGGAGGATGGGCCATTCTCATTATAGGAATTGTTGAGAGTATATCTATAGCTTGGATTTATGGTAATTTGTACATCGATTATATTTTTTATTTGGTCTATTTGGGACTTGATTAATGTGAACAGTCTAATCAATTTATGGATGTATCTTCTCACTTCAATAGATTTAACTTATGCACATAATCATACTCATACACACAAGCAATGTTGACTTCCCAGGGTAGACCACATCTACAGTATGTACAATATTGTCAAATTTTCAATATTTTATTTATATTATCAATGCAGCGGTATGCATCTTGCCAGTTTTAACATGATTTGCACCCTTTGACTGTTCATTTCTGATTCATCATTAATATATCTAATTTCAGGAGCAGACAGGTTTATGAATGACATTGCATTGATGACTGGAAAAAAGCCTTCTATTTGGTGGCGAATATGCTGGCAAGGCCTGACTCCATTCCTCATCATTGTAAGTACATTCTCAAATCTGTAATGATGTGTTTGAATGATAGTATATCATTCTTTTTCAATAGTGAATTTAGTATTCCACATCATATATTTTGTAAGACTATTATTTGTCTATATTTGTTTAGTAATGGCTTGTTCATGGAATTGACTATAGTTGTTGTTGCTTAATTGTGAAGATTGGTCAAATAAGGCTAGAACATATATAGTCTCCAACTTTTTTGTGGATGGTGTTCGGTGTTTGGTGGTTGGTCATTGGTTTATGTAACAGATGGCATATTAATGCCATGTTTTTGTATTATTTTCAGTTCATTCTATTATTTACGTGGATAGACTACTCCCCAGCTAGGTTTGGCGACTATTCCTTCCCTGAATGGGCAGATGGCTTGGGCTGGTGCATGAGCTTTACTTCTGTTATATTCATACCAATTATGGCTGTCTATAAGCTTTCTAAGGAGGAAGGGTCATTCTTAGAGGTATGTATCAAATCTGGAGATTCTATCTGATCATGGGCTTCATTTTTTCTGGTAAAGTTTGGGTCATGAATCATTTACTTTACTTACAGACTTCTTATAAACCTGGAAATGTCTGCATGCATTTATTTCCCATAACAGGGTCTAAGTGTCAGGGATATTGGGAATAATAAAACGTGTCAGGGAAATGTATGAAACTTAACTTAGTATCAGGGTTGAAATGTTCTTTTGACATTTTGAGCATATATTTTCTGAATGACTCAAAGTTACAAATTGTTTCATGATAGCGTCTACGCCGGGTGACGACACCATCAATTGAGTGGGGCCCAGCACTAGTGAAACATCGCAGATTGGTGAATTATGTGAATGGCTTTTGGACTGACCCTAAAGCTGCACTGGGTGTTGTCAACCCAGCTATGTCATATAGCAGTATGAATGGAAGCTCTGTCAAGGTAGGTAGATCTGCTACTATGTGTAATAAGTATTACAGAAATACACAATTTTATACTATGAAGTGCGGTATGGTAGAAAACAGACAAATTGTTTGTGGTTGAGTGCAGTGTAATCCTGGAAAATGCATGAAAATTGAGGTTGAAGGGTATGTTCTATCCGTTTCCATGGCAACCAGTTAACCATGTGACATGGACTTTTTATAACACAGTAAGTTACCCGATACAAATATATCCTAGTAATTTGAAAACATCCTGCTGAGTATTTAATAAGTTCTAGCCCACTTTCATAGTAGGGGTTTAAATTATTGTCTAGAAGGGAATAAATGGCCACAAAATCTCAAAGCTGAAAATCTTAGCTCCAATAATTCATATAATTATGCAAAATCATGCAAGTAAAATGAAAGATTATGTCCCATGAATTTCCTCTGAGTGCATGTTCATATCCTCATTCTGAATGTATTAATCGGCTTACTCATTATAAAACACTCCATTGGGGTGTCTTTATTGCTGTTATGCAAATAACTTCACGAGATTTCATTTAAAATCAAAGAATTGAATGATGAAATTACTTTCTGTTTCAGGTGAGCTACAATGGTGTGCCAATAAGCCTGACTCCTGGCTATTCTACCCCTGGGTACTCCACCCCTGGTGGTGAAAGTATAGATGGGAGGAGAACTCCAGGATCTCAAGCTACAGGAACATCGTACATCTCACAGGCCAATAGTTCAGTGTCATATGAAAGTGTTGTATAAATCAACATGTTGAATACCGGTGAAGAAAATCAAGACTAGAATTGAAATAATAAACAGGCTGTCTTGACAGGTTTTCCTGATAAAATGTTAATTTTATATAAAGTTGATATCTATAGTGTTTAAACAGATGCTTGGTTGATGCAGTCTTTTTAGTTCTTCCAAGATAATGTTAGCCTTGCCCAAGTCGGTATTTTTATCGTACCTAATAAAGGTACGATATGTTTCTACGTATCAAAGTTAAGAACTGATTAGTTTTTGGGCATTCTGGGTAAATTTTAAGGTGGCCATTTTGGATTTTCCGTCCTAAAATCTTCACTTTCAAGACTTGTCTACAGGTTTCCAGCCAAACCATTTGACAGATTCATCTGAAATTTTCAGGAATGTTTCTACGTATCAAAGTTAAGAACTGATTAGTTTTTGGGCATTCTGGGTAAATTTTAAGGTGGCCATTTTGGATTTTCCGTCCTAAAATCTTCACTTTCAAGACTTGTCTACAGGTTTCCAGCCAAACCATTTGACGGATTCATCTGAAATTTACAGGGATGTTTCTACGTATCAAAGTTAAGAACTGATTAGTTTTTTGGCATTCTGGGTAAAATTTAAGGTGGCCATTTTGGATTTTCTGTCCTAAAATCTTCACTTTCAAGACTTGTCTACAGGTTTACAGCCAAACATTTTGACGGATTCATTTGAAATTTACAGGGATGTTTCTACATATCAAAGTTAACAACTGATTAGTTTTTGGGCATTCTGGGTAAATTTAAAGGTGGCCATTTTGGATTTTCCATCCTAAAATCTTCACTTTCAAGACTTGTCTACAGGTTTCCAGCCAAACCATTTGATGGATTCATCTGAAATTTTCAGGGATGTTTCTATGTATCAAAGTTAAGAACTGATTAGTTTTTTGGCATTCTGGGTAAAATTTAAGGTGGCCATTTTGGATTTTCTGTCCTAAAATCTTCACTTTCAAGACTTGTCTACAGGTTTCCAGCCAAACGTTTTGACGGATTCATTTGAAATTTACAGGGATGTTTCTACATATCAAAGTTAACAACTGATTAGTTTTTGGGCATTCTGGGTAAATGTTAAGGCGGCCATTTTGGATTTTCCGTCCTAAAATCTTCACTTTCAAGACTTGTCTACAGGTTTCCAGCCAAACCATTTGATGGATTCATCTGAAATTTTCAGGGATGTTTCTACGTATCAAAGTTAAGAACTGATTAGTTTTTGGGCATTCTGGGTAAATTTTAAGGTGGCCATTTTAGATTTTCCGTCCTAAATTCTTCACTGTCACACTGCTGTGTTTTAGGTACGATATTGTTCACGTCTGTGCCTTGTTTTGCTTATCTGATCTTAATGTCTACACCAACAATCCTGGAAGCATCGGGGAGTTGAATTGAAACAAGGGGTTAGAAGGAGGATGAGACAGCATGTACATCTGGGACATTGATATGTAGATCTAAGACATTAAACTTAATATGTAAATCTGTGACATTAAACTTGATTTGTATATCTAAGACATTAAACTTAATATGTAAATCTGTGACATTAAACTTGATTTGTAGATCTGAGATATTAAACTTGATATGTAAATCTGTGACATTAAACTTGATATGTAGATCTGAGACATTAAACTTAATATGTAAATCTGTGACATTAAAATTGATATGTAGATCTGAAACATTAAAATTGATATGAAGATCTGAGACATAAAACTTAAAACCTGTGACATTAAACTTGATATGTACATCTGTAACATTAAGCTTGATATTACATCTGTAATTTTGAACTTTATATGTTCATCTGTGGTGTGTTACTTGATTTGCAGGTCTTTGACATTTCACTTCATATTTATATTATACTTGTACATAATAGTTGATGTGTAGATTTATGACATAGAAACTCACTCAATACATGTATATCTGTAACATTTGTGAATTTAATTATAGATCTGTGACTTTGACTCAATATGTGTATATATAGGCCTATTTATGACATTAAACTTATGTGACAAGTCCTGCAGATCTGTGATCATATGGAATATTTTGAGCAGAATTCAATTGGAGATTATTATGTGTAGTATATATTCATGCAGATCTGAGATTATATGGAATATTTTGAGCAGAATTCAATTGGAGATTATTATGTGTAGTATATATTCATGCAGATCTGAGATTATATGGAATATTTTGAGCAGAATTCAATTGGAGATTATTATGTGTAGTATATATTCATGCAGATCTGTGATCATATGGAATATTTTGAGCATAATTCAATTGGAGATTATTATTTGTAGTATATATTCATGCAGATCTGAGATTATATGGAATATTTTGAGCAGAATTCAATTGGAGATTATTATGTGTAGTATATATTCTTGCAGATCTGTGATTATATGGGATATTTTGAGCAGAATTCAATTGGAGATTATTATGTGTAGTATATATTCATGCAGATCTGAGATTATATGGAATATTTTGAGCAGAATTCAATTGGAGATTATTATGTGTAGTATATATTCATGCAGATCTGTGATCATATGGAATATTTTGAGCAGAATTCAATTGGAGATTACTATGTGTAGTATATATTCATGCAGATCTGAGATTATATGGAATATTTTGAGCAGAATTCAATTGGAGATTTTTATGTGTAGTATATATTCATGCAGATCTGTGATAATGAATATTTTGAGCAGAATTCAATTGGAGATTATTATGTGTAGTATTTATTCATGCAGATCTGAGATTATATGGAATATTTTGAGCAGAATTCAATTGGAGATTTTTATGTGTAGTATATATTCATGCAGATCTGTGATAATGAATATTTTGTGCAGAATTCAATTGGAGATTATTATGTGTAGTATATATTCTTGCAGATCTGTGATTATATGGAATATTTTGAGCAGAATTCAATTGGAGATTTTTATGTGTAGTAAATATTCATGCAGATCTGTGTTAATGAATATTTTGTGCAGAATTTAATCGGAGCTATTTATGTTCAGTATATATTCAGCAATATTATTATCACTGATCAATTTTGATATTTTACTAATTATATCACCATCATAAGTGGTGAGATGTTGTTATGGTGACATTTTGCATGTTTTTGTAGACTATTTAGTAGACTGCACCTGTACAGCCTATTTAATGTGAAATAAGACTCACTCCCATTATAATTGTGCTTATATAGTACTTGTTTTAGTTCTTCCAAATGTACTGTAATGATTATTCAGTACAAACACTTGCCAGCTAGTTTGTTTTATGCAAGGATTTATTTATTATCCCATCGAACGAAGTTCGGAGGGATATAGGGAACGCCTCCGTCCGTCCGTGCAATAACTCAAATACGGTTGGCCCGATTTTGTTCATATTTTGTACACATATGCCCTATGGGGGTAAAAGTTCTGCTCGAAAGCCGATTTTCAAAATGGCCACTCATTTCAAAATGGGGGCCATTTTAGTGCCGATTTTACAGTAATTTAGGTGCAATATGTAGAACTGTTATATATATATGTTTTAAATGTAAAAAAAATGATTAAGGACATTAATAAAGCTACAAATGTAGATATTAAAAAAGCACATGGCAGCCATCTTGAAAAATGGCGGCCTTTACTCATTATTTCATGATTTTTGCTCTAACTCGAAAAGTAGTGGAGCGATTTTGTTCATATTTGGTTTGTGAATACTATAAGCATTGCACACTGGCTAAAGACACTTTTGGTAGAAGGCGGCCATTTTGAAAAATGGCTGCCATTTTAACTTTTTTTTACTATAACTCGAAAAGTAGTGGAGCAATTTTGTTCATATTTGGCGTGTGAATACTATAAGCATGGCACACTGTCCTATGACACTTTTGGTAGAAGGCGGCCATTTTGAATTTTTTTTTTGAAAAATGGCCGCGATTTTAATGTATTTTACTATAACTCGAAAAGTAGTGAAGCAATTTTGTTCATATTTGGTATTTGAATACTATAAGCATGGCGCACTGTCTAATGACACTTTTGGTAGAAGGTGGCAATTTTTCAAATTTTAACGTATTTTACTATAACTCGAAAAGTAGTGGAGCGATTTTGTTTATATTTGGTATGTGAATACTAAAAGCATGGCACACTGTCTAATGACACTTTTGGTAGAAGATGGCCATTTTGAAAAATGGCCGCCATTTTGAAAAATGGCCGCCATTTTAACATATTTACTATAACTTGAAAAGTAGTGGAGTGATTTTGTTCATATTTGGTATGTTTCATATTTTATATGTGAATACTATAAGCATGGCACACTGTCTAATGACACTTTGGGTAGTAGGCGGCCATTTTGAAAAATGGCCACCATTTTTACGTTTTTACCATAACTTGAAAAGTAGTGAAGCGATTTTGTTCAGATTTGATATGTGGATACTCATGAGCCTTGCACACTGTCTCATGACACTTCGGATAGTAGGCAGCCATTTTAAAAAATGGCTGTCATTTTTACATTTTTTACTATAACTCGAAAAGTAGTGGAGCGATTTTGTTCATATTTGATATGTGAATACTTAAGCATGGCACATTGTCTAATAAAACTTTGGAAAGTAGTCGGCCATTTTGAGAAATGGCCATCATTTTTATGTGTGTTATTTTACAAGTACATGTGTGCGATTTTTCAAAAATTTTATAGGTGGCTACTTCAAAGAATATTATTTCTTCTGATGACAACTTGGCTAGTGAGCAACCATTTTGAAAATGGTGGCCTTTCTGGTGTGTTGTTTTATGATATTTGCTATATATTTCGTTTGTAAAAATGCCAGCCATTTCTGTTCGATGGGATTCGCTACGCTTTGGCGTTGCCGTTGTTCTGGTTCAATTAGGTTTCAAGTCATACGATAAATTGTGAAATGCAGGAAGACCATTGAATTGAAGAATTTAGATTAATGAATCTCTTGGAAATTTCTACAAGAATACAGTGCTGTTGTTGTATTGCTATTGCTGTATATTATTATATTTGTATTTGTAAATACTTATACTTGAAGCAATCTCATTCCCAATACAAAATCTATGACAGGTTGTTTTGGTGCAGTATGACGGGTCTTGCTATACTAGATATAGTAGTTTTTATGGACTACTACAGACCTATTCATGATATTCCATATTTATTGGCTGGATTTGACTGGCCCTACTTTGATATTGTTTTGTTGTGTTGTATC